GGGCGTCGGTAGGTGCGTACGTAAGCGACGGGGCTCCGTTTGCCATGTGCTGCTTGGACGCGCAAAAACAACGCCATGTCTATGTGCGTGTGTGTGTGAGTGAGTGCTAGGAGCAGCGCAAACCCGCGCGCCGTGCTGCTAGTGAAGCCGAGGCAGAGAGGGCGCGTGGGAGCGTTGTGCCATGTCTTGGGCGGTCCCTGCGCCGGCGGCACGGATTGCGCGCTGGTGATCTTCACATGCCAAGCCTCTGCCAAACCGCCAGAAGCTGAGAGGGGGGGGTCTGGTCTGATGCCCGCTTCCCACCGCCTAGACCACGAGCACCCGCAACCGTCGACTCGCGCTGACGGTTCCCGCCCCGAAAAGTCGCTCTGCCTTCGCCTCGCCCTCTCTCTTCCACATGTCGTCGGCCTCCATCAATCTGCTAGGGAACAACTTGTTCTCCGACAGCGGCTAGCCACTCAACCCTCCCCCCCCCCGACGGACCGGCCCGCCATCGTTTTCACCTACAGTCTTTGGAATTGCTACCCCACCGCTGTCATTAACCCTCACGCACACACACACGCACACGCATTTCCCCCCCACATTCTTCCCGACCAGCAGTCCGCGCCACGCGGCTGGCCTTCTGAGGCTCCCCCTTCCAGCCGCTGCTAGCTCCGTCTATGATGCCATAGAACAAGCCCAATTGTCACCTCCAACCACCCCCAGCTACCCCGCGAACACGACTGCGCTCGACCGCCCTCTTGTTGCCAACTTTGTCACCCGCCATCCCCGCCTCCCCCCCGGCACGCGACCTCGCACCCACTACTGTATTTTCACGCACCCGCCTTGCACCCGCCTTGCCACGCACTGCCACCATGGCCTCTCTCGAAGCTGCCATCGACGAGGAGATGCGAGAGGTGGTCAAGCTCCTCGAGGGCGACCAGAGGCCCGCCATCCGGCGCCCAGATAGCCCTGCCGCACGCGCGCAAAGCCCCAGCTCCGTCGCCTCGCCCGTCCGGAGCATGCTCGACGTGGATGCTCCTGCAAAGCGCAGGAGCACGAGCCGTGGAAGCACTGGAATTCCCTTCGCCATGCCCTCGTCGCCCCGCCGAGTAAACCCCGAATCAGCCTACAAGTTCGAAATGCTGCCCTCGATCGATGCGCATGCGATGCCCAAGCGAGTCTCGCAAGGTGGGAAGCTCGACGCCTCTGCGAAGCCCCGCGCAATGTCGTCCGTCTACGGCAGCTCGGCGGGCTTTCTGGGCTCGTCCAGCTCGAGAGACAGGCCCAATTCCGTGGCTGGTCCTCTGGGGCGGTCAAAGTCCGGTTCCCCAGGACCCCGTAGATCGGCCTCTCCAGCAACGCGCATGCTCAGTCCGACTCCGCCCGCCGCTGCTTCCAGCAACAGCCTCGTAACAGACTCGGGCAAGCGCATCGACATGGACACGGCGTACCGCAAACTGTCGGATTCGGCCTTGGCGCGCTCAGAGGGCGGGCTATCCTCGCTTCCCACCCGCAAAGGCTCAGACCCGGTCAAGGGCACTTCGACCGCTCCGGGCGGAGGCGTCCGCCTAGCCACAGACGATGACGGCGAAGACAGCCCCGCTGTGGACAGCAGCGAAAACGGCTCGGACAGCTCAGACTGGGAGGATGGCTGGCGCAGTAACAACAAGCGAGAACGCGGCAGGCAGCGGTCTAGGAAATCCTCGGGAGGCACTGATAGCATGGGCCGGGAGATCATCACGGCTAAGAGCTTGCTGGCGGCTGCCGAGCAGGAGCGTAAGTGTTGCATTTCGCCGACACTGGTCCGCCTTGATGCTAACCTCAGACAGGGAGAGAGGTTGCCGTGTCGTACAAAGTGCGGTCATTGCTTGAACCTTCCATCAACGTCACTGGCCCAAATGGCGAGAGAATGTCAAGGAGAAATGCATCGGGCGTGGTGCACCCCCACACAAGTTTCGACCAGGGTGGTTCTGGTCTTTCTACGCCAGTCCACTCAGACCACGAGGACGAGTTGGCCGAGATCAAATCGGCGCAACAGCTCTCGCTGAACATCTCGCCCATCCAGTCAAGTCCGGAAGCGCATCGCTGCGTGCGGCAGATTATTAGGGGCGACTATATTCAGTTTGCAGAGGATGCCACCAAAGGCCTAAGGCGGCAGCGTGTGTACCTTGTATCGACTGATCTCAGCGACGAGGCCGCGTATGCTCTCGAGTGGACGATTGGGACAGTATTGCGAGACGGTGATACGCTACTTGCCGTGTACGCAGTTGATGAGGAGACGGGCGTCGCAACCACTGATGCTTCTGGAGCTCCTATTAGTCAAGGCACGACTGGGCGTCAAGAGTCAGACCACCTTAAGAGGACGCTGTCCAATCATGACGGGCTGCCAGCAGCACGACCGGGGTTCTCGGCCTTGTCAAACTCAATCATGGCGACTGAGGCCAATGTGAATGCCATGAGCAAAGCAGAGAAAGATAGGTATCAGGCCTGTGTGGAGGTTTCCGACCGGTGTGTCAAGCTACTTAGGAAGACTCGCCTTCAAGTGCGAGCGGTTGTCGAGGTGTTCCATTGCAAGAGCCCCAAGCACATGATTACCGAAGTGGTGAGTTGCTTCCTTGGAGACTCTGGTCTAGGTGCGTCGCGCTCTGCTGACTGACGACAATGCTGTGTAGATTGACTTCTTGGAGCCGACGCTGGTGATACTTGGCTCGCGCGGACGCAATGCTCTCAAAGGGTGAGTGCGCTCATGCCCAAGGCGCGGATGCATGAAGACTGACTTTGATAGTGTCTTGCTCGGGTCTTTCAGCAACTACTTGGTGACCAAGTCATCCGTGCCAGTCATGGTTGCGCGGAAACGACTCCGAAAGCACAGCAAGTACAAGCGGCAGAACGTGCGGATGTCCAACGTTATCCAAGGCTCCAATGACCGGCTTGCAAATGCAAAGATTGATTAGCTGTTTGGGTGTGTATTTGTCAGGGCTACGTTTCGGTTGGTGTTTGTGGGCGGCAATGGAGTTTGCAAGCCTGAGGATTTGAATTGAGGTGTCGCGAAACGCATGGTGTTTGGCAGTCGAAGATCATGTATGCCTTGCCCAGCCATTGATTGCTGGCGCGCGGTAATGGTACTTTGGCTGCATGTTTCCCGTGGACCTGTTTTTTGGGCAGTGGTGAGCGTGGGCCCGGCGGGCAGGGTGCACAGGCACCGGTCCACGATACGCCGAGAGGCTTTCTCTTTGGCCATGGCCCTCCGCGCCGCCAATGAAACGAGGCGGGCTGCGGGTGGCTTGATTTCTCAGCGGCGTGAGAGCAAAAAGAGCATATTACGACGGTTCTTGGGCCAGCTCAACACATTCGGAAATTAAGATTCCGTGTGAAATTGCAGTACTGCGCTTCTTCCATTTGCTTTTTTCCTTCTAGAACTTCTAGCGCCTGACGAATGGGCTGGCAGCCGCCGTTAGGCGAGACACGCCCTTGGAGTTGCATGTTTCACATGGTATATTCCTTTTGGCTGGTGGTGGCTAGTCGTGCCGATGGCCTGCCGACGTCATGCTCGCCGTGCAAGTGTCGTCCTTCCGGGGCCCGTGACACTTGGCACCACCACCCGACGGTCTGGATCATTCAAACTCTCCCTCCCCTCTGCCATCCGGCACTACGCCCCATGCATCCAGTCCTCTTGTCATGGCCCGGCCAAGACCCGCGTGTTTCCCCGCAAATGCGTAATGCGGTAGCTGATGCGCAAGACGGCGCTGGTGGCGCTGGTTGGCTGACAGAAAACGATTATGCATGGCGTCCATCGGTCGTGTGCTGCGAGATGGACCCAACCGTGGGGATACGACTGTGCACCGGCACGCCCTGGTGCTGCCAGAGCCTCCAAGGATTGTCGTCGCCGGCCTGGGAAACGTCCACTGTCAAAAAGGTCTCTTGCCTTGCCCTCAGGCCGCAACTTGTCCTTCACCCACTACCATCCTCTCCTCCCCCAGCCATTAGGAAATGTATTTTCACATGGATCTACAAGCCTCAGCTCCTTGGTTCTCCCGTTTTGGCCACTGCGAGTTCCTCGACATCAACCACCAAGACTTGGACACGTCCTCTCTCCAAGCCAGACTGCTCAAGTCGTCGACACGGGACACCCTTCTCAACAGACACAAGTGGACCACCATACCCTGCCAGGATGACATTGATGCGCCCACGCTCTTGTCAGACCTTGGCCGCCTGGCGCCCTCGGTAGTCAAGGAGTTTGTGCCAAAGGACCATCTCGAGAGCACCTTTGCCTTCCGCCTGATCAACGACCTCAACTTCATCGGCGATGAAGTCAGCTACATTGCTCTGAGCTACTGCAGAAAGCAGACTGCCGTCACCACGCCAAGAAGAGTTCTGACCCCTGTCAGCGACCTTCCGTTTGGTTGGATGAAGGAAGTGGAGCATTTTCCACTCCCAACCACCTCGGCCCTCTTCCAGGCCGTGGTGCGAGAACGGAATCCTCAAGAGGGATTGTGGTTCGACCAAGTGTGCGTCGAGCAGGACGACGAAGCCGAGAAGAGCGCAGCCATGGGAACCATTGACAATGTGTACAAGAACGCAAGGGCGGTTGTTGCAGTCCTCGACGACATTGTGGTTACGCCAGACGAGGAGCAGTTTCTGCGCTACTACGTCGAGCAGTACAGCTATTCTCAAATACCTCTCGACCAGCAACCCAACACTGGACTGCAGCCGCCTCTCATGCAGCAATACAGCTTGCTCGACACGCTTGTCCAGCGCATTCTCTCTTCCGAGTACTTTGATCGCGCGTGGTGCAACCATGAGATGCGCATGGGCCGAAGCCATGTCTTTTTGATACCGTGCTTACGGCATTACGAAGACGAGGTGCATACCGTCATGCGTTTCACTAGCGCCTTCTTTACACATCTCCTGAGCCTTGCGAGCGAAGTCAGCCATTTTCCGCCGGCCCTATCTACAAGGCTCCATTCGCTGCTTGACTTCTTCCAGCAGCAAGACGCATTCGACAAGGGCAGCCTGGCTGCTCTCCGGACACCAGACAGCCAACATTGCCCAGCTTCAACTGCGACATGTTCCATGTCAATGATGGCAGATACGTTTCGCTTGAAAGCCGGAGGAAACCCACGCTTGCCAGAGTATATGCGGAGGCTGGACGCTAACCGAGACAAGACAAGCATTGCACTGAATGCTTCAGGTCTTCCTCTCGCACTGGCTCCTCCCAATCCATATTCGAGACCCACCCTCGAAGACGAATGCCTTCGCTCGCTACTTCTCGTTGGCATTGCGGCGCGAGACCCAGTTGCACTCTGCACCATTGGTACACCCTTGCAGCTCCATGACGGATCGACCTCATGGCTATGCCGACCGACGTCTATGGATGTGAGGGCATCTCGAATTCCTCCACATTTCCCCAGGGATACGAGCCACATAGTCCAAGCGACAGACGGCCGAGCAGAATACGCGCAGCTTGATCTCATCTTCATGGATCTTCCGCATCGCACCCAGCCGAGCTCTTCCTTCCCAATACACGTTGCGCGCGCGCGTATGCTCGTCGATCTTTGTGTTCAATACCAAATACCAGGAAGCGGTTTGTGGGGATTCTCCCAGGCACCTAGTCACCCACGCACACCGGCCTTGCGCAACATATTCATCCAGACACTGGCGTGCATCTTCCAATGCGGACCGCAGTGGGTAATGGATACCATGTCGAGTATCCAGGAGCCCAACGCACCGCGCATGGAGCCATACACCATCGAGATGCTGCTCAACCCACACCTCATTCTGCAAAACTACATTTTGCTGCCGGAAGGGCGGACAGCGATGACGTCTCTTGTGCACTTCGTCACCACGCTTATCGCATCTGGCATTCCATGGCCTTCGGGTGCCTCGGAGCGCACACACGGACCACTCATCATATCAGCACCCACGTCAACCGCCTTTGACTATGCGGGCCCACCCACTCAGAGCAGCAAAGCCATCATCTTTGCGCCCTTTGAGCACTCCAAGACGCTATTGATTGCGGTGCCCAAAGTCGTCAAGGGCGCCGAGTATAACACGCTAGCGCGCGGCTGGATCCTCACCAGCATGAACCCGTACACCGGCAGCCCCAAGCCCACTGTAAGCTGGACCTTGCAATCGAAGGGCGCAATCTTTGGAGACGCAAACTTCAATGCCAGCTTGGCTAGTAGTGCGGATTCAGAGGTTCGGAACCACCGTGTGTACGGACCATCGTCTCGCTCATAGTACCGCGTTTACTGCGACTACTTTTTCGTCTTCTTTTGTTGTTTCCTTTGTTATTACACGACTATAATGATATTTTCCGAAGGAATAATGAATGATGGATTCATGTTGTATATAGACCATAGATTAGAAAATTGTACATTATCAACTTCAATGTGTATTCCACTGCCATTGCCATTGTCCATCTCTCCACCATATCGTCTCTTACACCTCTCTTACCCTGTCCTCAACATTTCTCGACTATCTTCTTGGTGAGACATGACTACCTGTTCGGAACTAGTCGCAAAGAGGCTTACATACACTCCACGCTACATAACCCTGCTTACACTTTTCTGCCTGCAGCTCCGGTTAATGCCGCCCCATCAGCAGCAAGAACCCCAGCGTCTCATCATCGACATCGCCACTTTATCTCACCTTCCCAGTACCCGGCGCGCCAACAAGCCGAGCGTTTCCACAAGCCCTCTCACGTCATCACTATGTTCTAGTTTTCCCCCTTCCCCCCCCCCCTGCCGATCGACACTTTGCTCCGCTTCCACCGAAGCACTGCACTATACCGCAAACTTTGTCGCAACGTCACGATAAGAGTCTACCCTACCATCCTACCCACCCAGCCACCTAGCCACCACACCATGTTACTTTTTCCAATCCTTTCGGCATATTCCACCCGAACATCCAGGCACCACATCATCTTCCTTTCAGCTAGCCCTGTCCTAAAAAAAGTGAAGAGCGCGCCACCACCGTACAGGAATCCTTCCAGAATGTAACTAACGATGCACCCAAACGCCGCATGCGGCCCACACTCGCAACTCGTGCGACCAAGCTACTGTAGACTTACCTACCTAGTTTGAAATAAGGTGAGAATAAAGAAAGAAAGAAAAAAAAAGCGGGAGTTTTTTTTTCCTCTTTCAAACGTCAAACTGGGGGGGAGAGGGGGGCTGACACCCCTAGTACCTGGTGCACGTATACATGGGTGGCACTGCCGCTCAAGACGAGACATGACAAGACGATGCAAGGCACCAGCAAAGAAAAAAAAGGGCTGAGCTGGTGAGTGTGTGGGTGTGGGTGAGATGTGAGCTTGGACTTCACTCACACATGGACGCACACACGCACTCACACATGGGATGCATGGGTGTGGGTGTACGGCATGTGTGAGTTACAACGCCCCCCCCCGTTTCCAGTTATCTTCGTTAATTCCACAAAATCTCGTTTTTGCTTTTTCTTTACATCATCTACTTCGCTTCCTTTTCTCCCTTTCTCCCCCCCCCCTTTACATATACGTACGTACACATACGGAATACTACACAAACTATTCCTCTCTAAGCGCTATCTGTGTCAGTGCTCATCTCCGATCCGCTTTCCGCATGCATCGACGTGCAGGAAAAGAAAGGAAAAGAAAAGAAAAAAAGCGGGTAGGGCAGAACAGGGGCTGTTGGTGTGGAAGCTGGGTAATTTTCCAGAACCCATGACCCTGGTCTCTCTTTTTTGGGGGGGCTGGGCTAGGTTGGGTTGGGTTAGAAAGTTGGTATTTTCTTTTTCTCTCTCTTTCTTGAGGCTATCGAAATCCTGCCTGGCTTTTGAGGATTGCTTTCCGAACTTGGATTCCTGCCAGACATTGAGCCAAGTACTAAGCTGCAATTGTATGGTGCTATACTAACTACTACAGTATGGGTTTTGTTGTGGCTTCATGTGGCTGCTACTATTGCTGCTCCACCAACACCATACGTACGTACGTATGCTCCCCACCACTGCCGGCACCACCACTACCATTACTACCACACACACACACACTACTACGCCCATGTCCCGGACCACATATATGTCTTGTATAAGCCCCCCTCCCACACCCTTGTTCCGACCCCACCCGCAAAAGCAGCGCGGCGCCCCCAAGTTTCCGTTTCAAAAGCTTCCATGCGGGGGGTTGCTTCGAGAAGGGCACGTAAAAAAAAAAAAAAAAAACGGATACAGTAACGGGAGAAGGTGGAAGCGAGTTATCGTCTTGGCTACTATAATAATAATTGCTTTTTTATTTTTGATTTTATTTTTCCGGTGCCCTGACACATGCGACTCCCACACACACACACACACACATACTACGCAACCCCCCCCCCCCCAACTACCAAGCCTCTACCAAGCCTGGCATGACTGACTTGACGACATGCATGCCTGCCTGCCTGAGGCATTGCCGCCTTCTCTCTCTCTCTATCGCGCACGCGCGCAACACGCACGCCCCATGACCATTATCATGACAAGCCGTTTTTTCCGCCCGTTCGCCTGCCTATTTCGGAAGGCGAGTGAGAACGGGATTACGTAGATGCCGCTCTCCGGCAGATACACAAGCGTATGGTAGGCCTTTTTCGAGTCATGGATATGCGAATGTGAGAATCTGGCATGGCTCTCTCTAGGTGTATAGTACACACACACACACCTGCATCTACACACTCCGTCTACACATGGTATCGCGAACCACTATTCTCTCCCTTTACCCTTCACCTTTTACTCTCTCTCTCTCTCTCCATGTCTCGCCCTCCTCTCTCTCTCTCTTGCAAAAAATGAAAAAAAACATTGACAACAACAACAACATCCAACATGCACATACTTACACCACGCAAACCATCTGAAACACAGCCCCCATGCCACTCTATCGGAAACCCCACAGGTCTACGCTACATACACACAAGAGCCCAGTCGCAGCCGGGGCCAAGGGTTTATTTGTCATATTTGCTTTTTCTTTCGCCCTCTCTCTCTCTTTCCAGCACCACACCCATACCACCCATACCACCCCCCCCCCTTCCTTCCTTCGGAGTCTCCGTCCCAGGATCCTCTTCCTTCCTTCCTTTTTTCATTCCTTTTCATTTTCTTTCCCCCTTCCTTTCTAGCTTCTGGCTTCTGGTGTTCCCCCCCATGTAAAACACGCAGGGGGTTGTGGCGGGTTGCGGGTCCTCTGCGCCTCCCCTCCCCCACCCCCCACCCCACGCCTCGCCTCAAATCTGGGTTTGAAGGAAGAGGGGGGGGGAGAAATAATTCATCAAGATAAGGCGGGAATAAGAAAAAGAAAGAAAGGAATACAGCAAAGAGGTTGGTGCGTAATGCTGGTAGTGGAGCAGAATCGCTGCTGTCGATCAAACTTTCTCGGCATGTATGTTGATTGATATGCTCGCACGCATGCACACAATGGGGAGAGGCGGGGCGGCGCCGACGACGACGGGGGGGGGCTACTTACGCGCGCGCCATCGTGCATTGCATAAGTGCGGTCGGCCGGTGGTGTCAGTGTCAGTCAGTGTCAGTAAGAAAAAAAAGGTGTCTTGGGGGCTCTTGGGCCTCGACTGGGACTGGGACTGGGTTGTAGGAAAGGCGTCATAAGATGTAGAGACACGGACAGAGACAGACAGACAGAGAGATATGCGTATATCTGGGCAAAAGAATACGAGCATCTGAGACGCCGTGGATGCGAGGGCGAGGCTTTGATGATTACGTGTGCAAAGATTGTTGTTGAGCGCTTTCCCTCATTCTCGGATTCGCAACATCATGGAGGTGCACGTGGCGATGAAACAGATAAGGCAGGGTTGACGGCATGATGCGGATCGATTTGAGGGGAGGGGGGAAGGAGTAAGCCACGCAAGAGAAAGAAGAAAGCAATCATCAACACGTAACACACCCGGGGACTCGGAGCGCATGCGACAACGGCATCTGTTAATATCTACAGCCCATGCTATATTGAGACGTCTATCAGACACAATGCTCCGTTTCTGTAATTCCCACAAAAGGAAATTGATTAGATACTTTCTTTCCCGAGTGGGATTAGCTCCTCTTCAATGAACGCCCTGGCCGAGTACAGCTTCGTACTGCCGTATACGATCCGTCGTTTCGGACCTGTCCCAGCTGCAGCACTCGTCCGCTTGGCCCACGCCTGGATGTTGGTCTCTTCATCCATACTACCCCCGCCAACGGGAAACACAATGGCTTCCGAAAAGCCTTGCCGCCTCTGTCCAAATGTCGCGTCGATGCCGCGTCCAACACTGCTTTGCTGGTTTCGTGATTGACTTGCCGGAGGCACGGTTCCACGAGCATTAGCTGACCGGGGATCAAAGTAAAGGTAGTTTTCAGTCTTGTTAAGCGCGCTCGACGTGGCGTTTTGGGGATCCATGAGAGATTCCGTAATCTTGGTAATGGTAAGATCTTGATTGGCAGGCAGATATGATTTGATCCCCGCAAGTACACCTTCAAAGTTTGCACCCAAGCCGGCTTCTTTGAATCGGTCCGTTACCCTCGACGAGAGACTTGTGAAGCCGCCAAATAGTTGCGAAGACGCCTGCGCGGGTTGTGCAGGGGCCGAAGACGAGAGCATGCTCATCTGAGTGATTTGCCGCACTGTCTTGATGTATGCAAGCGGCGTTGTGTCTACGCCGGCGGCTTTGAGAGCATTATCGAAACCTTCCAACTCAGCGCGCGACACTTCTTGTTCAGTCGTCAGATACCACTAAATTTGGCTCCATGTTAGCGCGACATTCCAACTCCTCTGTAGGTGTCCACCGTACCTGCAAGAAAAACCTAAACTTGTCCATTGGATCCTGACCCTTTGCTGGGTCTTTGAGGACCTCCATCATGGACGATTTGGTTTGCTTGTCAATCTCTTCCTCCAACTGGAAGAACTCGTCAAGTTTACGTTGCTTGATTCCCTCCATGATGGCTTCGAGGATGGACATGTGGGCTTCAATGGTTGCTTTTCGCTCTCTAAGTTCGGGGAGCAGAGTCAGCGCACCCTTGAGATGTGCTGCGAACTGATTGCTTTCCCCTGAGAGATCATCCAGTGACGATGATCCCGTCTTCTTGGTGAGCGCATCTGCATCTTCTGAGTATTTTGTCCACTCATTCGTCACTTCCTCAGCGACATTTGGGAACGGCTGCGAGGCATTGCGGTTCCAGAACTGTGTTGAAGAGCGTGGTTAGTCGGTTCTTCATACACAAGCCGTATGACTACTTACGTAATCCGTTGCAGCCAAATCGTACGACTGCTTCTTGGTGCCGCTCTCTGGCTTGTTCTTGTCGTTTGGAACAGTCACTTCGATCTTGTTCAAGTGAAATTTGCAAACGTCATACACGAGGCTTTCTGCACGTTGTCAGCTCGATGCCGTTGTCAGACGGACGTGTCTAGCGTACGATATATCCAGCTGTGACTGAGCATTGGGTTGAGATCGGCGTTCCTGTCTATAATGACGAGCAATGGACGAGAAGCTGTGGATGATGCAAAGAGGCTTTCCTTGTTGTTGAGTACGTGGTCCCGCAACTTTCGGTCGAGCTTCGCAGCAATAACTTCGGCCGCGCCGCCTCTGGGAGCTCTTATAATCGGGACGACTGCCATGGTCACCACGACGGAAAACAGACCCGAGACGATGCGGTCCATGTGCGCGTCGAGCTCTGCATCTTCTGTGCGCGAAGAGTTTAGGCGGTAATATGACTGGTCAATGTTAAGACTGCGGCAGAGTCAGCAGAGCCAGCATGCTCCCGATAGATATGATAGTACCTGAACTGATCATGGCCCAACGTCACAAAGTTCAAGTATCTTGGCCAAAGTTAGCGTCGGTGGAACGCGGTTTCCAAACATGGCATACTGATCGTAAATCTGGGCCAGGTTGCTAGCAGCGTCAGGCATGGTCGCCAGTTCGGCGCCCCATGATTCGAGCAGTTGGCGGGGAACGCTTGAGAGGAAGTTGACGTATGCAGGCGTATACAAGCCCTCGCCCAGGTCTTTGGTAACGAGGGATAGGTTCTCAGCCGTGGGGGCCATAAGGTACTGGGGTATGTGGTCAGTACGTGCGTCGTAGAGCAACCGTATGTTTGAAATGCTGGTGCATATTTATCCCAGTCAACTACAAACAAGATCCGGGTTGTTGTTTGCACAGAAGCAGTTGCTTACAATTCCAGGCGCCGGGATAGGACTGCGCCGCGATTTGAGATTCAAATGCACAGTGACCTGTACGGCTTTCAGTATGCTGTCTTAATAGCCTGTGGGAGAGCCTGGCCATACCCCAGCGGCGCGCAGGTCGTTGACGCGCAGAACAGAGCTCACGACTGCCTTGGCGGCATCGTCGTAGACCAGGACACCTGTTTACACGGCAGTCTGAGCACGGGTTCGGTCGAGTATACAGACATGGGGGCGGCGCGACTTACGCCATGCTATTTCGGGGTTCGTGACCTCGCTGGAGTCGTCTTGGGCGGCATCGGCGTCGACGGGGGGGTTGAGGTTGAGCAGGCGCTTGATTGAAGCTGGAGGGCGCAGGTCAGTCGGGGGCGCGCGCAGAGCAGAGCAGAGCAGAGGGGCCGGCCGCACCTATCTGTCGGTCCCGCAGTGAGATGGCCATGGTGGATGTGGATGTGTGTCGTGGCACCCGCCCGGCGGTCAGGTTTGCAGCATGCGGCGGGGGCGGGGTGGGTGCAGAGGCCGGCGACGGGGGCAATTGGGCGGGCAGCAGGCAAACAGGCAGAGGCGAGAAGACGGCGACGCGTCGTGGTGGTGGTGGTGCTCCTCCTCCTGCTGCTGCTGGCTGCTCGGCGAGTGTGTGGATGATGCAGCCACGGCAGGCTCCAGGCTGGCTGCCCCGCCTGGGACTAGCGCGGCGCGCTACTTGGCGAGCGGGCAGGCTTTCAAAACGAGCTCGCCCCTTCGCCGCGCTCCGTCGCTCCTCAACTCTCACCTCGCCCACTCGACCAAACCACCCTTCTTCGCTCTTGACACTCATGCTACTTCTCAGTGAACTCTCGCCCACCTAATAAGGGCATCTGATTCTGAGGCTAGATTCTCCTTTCGAGTCCTTGCTTTGGGGGAAGTGTGCGCTCAGGCTGGCAGCGGCGTTTGTCGGGAAAGGCGTGGGTTGCGGAGGGCAGAGTGACCATCATCGTTTTCCAGCTCCTGCTACTAATCCAGGTCCGTCTGCGGACTCGACAGGCTTCGCATCTCAGCAAGACAGGGCCGCTGGCCGATCTGCTGGGCGGGGTGGCGCTCTCGTCGGCCTCGCTGGCAGCAGGACAGTGGCGCGTGTGTTGTGCTTTGGCTGCGCGCGCGCAAAAGCGTCCAGTGACGCCTCGGCAGTGTGCTCCCCATCCATCGCATAATTCGCGAGGCCAAAGTGCCGCGTCTCCATAAAAGCCAAAAAAAGACCGCAGACCGCAGACCGCAGACCGCGGCATCGTGGACTGGGGGACTGGGGGACACGGTTGCTCATCATCATCATCGTCATCATCATCATCAAGCCTCAAGCAAGCATCAAGCAATCTGCCCGCCACGCTCGCCCCCCAGGCACGGCAAGGCTGCACGCAACAGTAGCAGCAGCAAGCAAGCAGGCAAGCAAGCAAGCAGCACGCAGCAGCAGCAGCTGCACGCCAGGCCAGGCCCTCCGACTCTCCGCACCACCACGCTACCGCCCAAACCGGTGTTTTATCGACCTTTTTTTTTCCGCTTCACGTTTCCCCGAATCGGCAGCCTATTCACGCTCGTGACTCTGCGCCAGTCTTGTTAGCGCCTAGTGCCTCTGCAGCGTCGCCTAATTAGTCCTCTTTGGCCCGGCCCAGACACTTGTGCGTCGCCAGCCAATCACAACCCTGCTCCTGACAGCTGACACTCTGCTAGCCAAGAACACCCCCTCCCTCCCTCGACACGCTGCACGATGGCGTCGAATCACGTGCCTGCCGACCAGGTCCCCATTCAAGGCCAGGTCTACGCCGACCCCTCGTACCAGCACCTCTTCTCGTCGGTCGATCGCTATGGCACACCGACATGGAACTCCCAGATTCACCAACATGCCGCCCTGGCCCCTGCTGCACACGGCCAGACCTGGCATCCCGGTGCATTTGCACAGCAGCAGCAGCAGCAGCAGCAGCAACAGCAACAGCAACAGCAACAGCAACAGCAACAGCAACAGCAACAGCAGCAGCCACATCACCAACAACACCAATCCTTTGGCGCCATGAACCAGTCGTATGCGGCACAGAACCACGGCCTCCGCACAGAATCGCCCTACCAGTATGGCCAGTTCAGTCAGCAAGGCTCGCTGGCCAACTACGCCCAGCCGTCCAACGTTGATCCATCCCTGGGAATGGACCCCAATGCCATCCGCCAGCAGCAACAATCGCCCTACCAGATGCCAATGCGCACGCTGACTCCCCAGAGCCATGCCAGCACCGTGACACCGCAAGCCCTCCAGCACGATGTCAGCTCGCTCCAGCAGGCTCGACCCACTGCCACCTCCTACCAAGTAAGCTCATCCCGTGACACAGACCATGTCATGCCAACTGACACGGTACAGCTGCCCAAACCCACAGCAGAGACTTTTACTCCGCAGCGTGCTGCACCTGCATCGTTTGTAAAGCCAGTGCCCATCCCTGACTTGGAAATTCCAAAGGGAAGGAAGTCAGGTGGTCTCTATGTAATTGATCAGGCTGCGTTGGCAAAAGCTACTAATTCTACTCCACTGAATAAATTCGTGACTCTGGGCAATGAACCCTTTCATTTGACAACCAATAGAAGTAAGCCTCAACATTTGAACATGATTTTACAAGAAATGGAATCTGACGTGTGTATAGCTGCACTCCCAGTCTATGTGGCTCGAAACTCGCTCAAGGATCTGAAGAAGGCGGGAGCAGACAGCAAGAAGCTTCGCGCCACGCAGCTGGCTTCCAAGTCGCAGTCCAAAGCCCTCAAGTCGATCAAGAAGCCCGCAGAGTCAAAGAGGGAAGTTAGCGACAGTGGGAGCTCCACAGATTCATCCGAGTACGAGACGGACTCTTCGGATGAAGAAGAAGAGGAGATGCCGATCCCCGCCATACGGCCCGAGGATCCAGACGCGGCTGTCCGCTACGACGTGGTCAAGGCTACGTGGCATCCGTCCACATCATCCCCGAGCTCCGAGAAGATCAAGCTCAGTATGCGTGAGGTCTGGGAGGTGCTGAATACCATTCAAAAACGGTGGCGAGCCGACAGCAAAGCTGTATCGGAAGCCGAGGAACAGAAGAAGACAGGTGAGCTGCCGGTACTCAAGAGTCGTGTGACGAGCCAGCGCGACTTGCTCAAGTCTGCTCTTGAGGCGGCACTGCAGTCAGCACACCCTGATGTTCTTTACCAGTTGGGGCAGATCAAGCCTTTCCTGTATCTGTGCTACCAGTTTCTGGCGAACCGATTCCATAGTAAAGATTACGATGGGCCCTTGTCCGCAGTCATCTACGAGGTTCTCTCGCGATGCGGTACACTGACTTCTGAGCTCCTCGAAGAGACTAAGCTTATCAAAGCCCTTGCTTCCATGAAGAAGCATGCAAATGAAAAGCACAAGACTTTTATTCAGCAAGTGATGGACAGCGCTGCCGCCAATTCCAAAAAGGCCAAAGCAAGTCCTCCGCCAAAGACCGAATCCGCAGACAGCAAGGGCGTCAAGCGACCAGCCTCGGACGCTGCAAGCCGCCCGACAAATGAGGCCAATTCGGTGAAGAAGGCAAAGGCACCTGATGCTGTCACCTCGGCACCCAAGAACTCTACAGCAGCACCGGGTTCAAAGTCGGCAGTAGCTCCTGCTGCTGCGACCATACAGAAGCGACCTGGCGACAAGACGACATCAGCACCAGCACCCGTCAAGACGCGCGTCAGCCAAGTCACCAACAAGCCCTCTGGTATTTTTGCCTCGCTCAATGCGGCCAGCAAAAAGACAGCGCCGGCATCAGCCACGGCAGCGGGAGCAAAGGGGGCTGCAGCGTCCAAAGGGGCTGTGCCAGGGGCAAAGGAAAAGAAAGTGGTGGCCACACCGGCAGCAAAGCCCTCTTTTTCGTTTGCCCAGACCATGGCCTCACTCCAGAAGCCCAAGGAGCAAGAAGCGGCGCCTGTAAAGTCGGAGAAGCCCATGCCAGCGGAAACCGAAGAAGAAAAGGCCAAGCGGCTGCGCAAGGAATCCCGAAGACACCTGCGTGTAGCCTGGCGGCCCGACACATCACTGGTCGAAATCAAGTTCTTCGACCACGAGGCCGACGACGAAGAGATGGACCGCAAAGAAGACCACCTTGTCCGGGATGCTGGCGACCTTGGCGGAGAGGGACGCATGTTCAAGCAGCACAAAGAGCTGGATCTCGATGACGATGACGAGGAATGGGAGGGCGAACAGAGATCTTGGTTGCCACCATCTGAAGTCGACTTTAGCGTTGTACATCCCGAGGAACGCCAGCGAAACTACATGCCTTTTGGAGGTGGCCTGATGCAGCCGTCTTGCCCTGAGAAGGAAGCCAACATGCTGCGTGAGAATGCTACACTGATGGTCTATTATTCCAACAGCGAAGACATCCCGCCGTCTCCAAAGGAGCCCATGGAGCAAGCACAGGAGGACATGTCTACTGCCACCGTCATCAACTTTGGACCACCCCCTGACACGGTGCTGAGGAAGTGCCCGCAACAGCCAGCGCCCACTGGTGTTCCTGACCTCAGTCAATTGGAGAACATTATTAAGCAACTATCGGCTACCAACTCAACTCCAGCCGCACCGGCGCCAGCAGCTCCCGTTGAGACGACATACACACCACCACCTCCCGCCTCGGCGGCTCCTCCATTGGGTACGACGGGACTTCAAAATCTTCTCAACTCTCTCAGTAATAGCCAGCCTCCGCAGGCTCCTGCACCTGTTTCTTTCCCGATGCAGAACGCACCGCAACAACCCGCTATGTCTCTTGACATTGCTGCCCTAATCGCCAACATGCAGGCAGCGACCGGGGGTGCGCTTCCACCACCGCCTCCACTACCGACTGGATTTCCTCCATTTCCATTTGCATTTCCCACTCAGCCCCAACAGCCCGATGCTGCTGCCTGGTCTCAGGCGATGCCGGATGCGGCAACGTACCAAAGTCAGACGCAGCCCGCGTACAGCCAGCAGGCCAATGCTGGTACCAAGCGGCAGCGCGACGAAAGCAACGGCAACAATGACCGCAACCAAGGGAAGCGGCCCAAGAATCGAGGAGACCACAAGCCACATAAGGTACTCGCATGCAAGTTCTACCTCAAGGGCCAATGCAACAAGGGCGATAACTGCACTTATATCCACGACACCAACCAATGATTTTCCTTTCGGACGCGGTATTGTACGTTTCCCGGTAATGCCCACTGCATCTTCAACACTGGTTGCTGAACGGATTTTGTCTCTCGGAAATTGCTCTAGTTTCTGCAGAGAGACGGGTGGGCTTGTATAATAAGAGCATTCCCTTCATTTTGTCATGTTTCTTTTCCTTTGGTCATGATTCGAGCATCTGCATGCATACCCCGGGCGATGGAGCGGCGCCCTTGTGTAGGGCTCGAGGCATTTAACGGCGTTTGTCACAGCATTAATAGGATAGCATTTGAGCGGCGCTGGACGGACACGGCTATGGACGAGAGATATGGACGGGGGCCAGGCAGCAGGCCCAGTGTATAGGCAGCCCGTATTGCAAATGTTTGCGCGTTCCAAGAGAGTTTGTTCCGTGGCCCTTGTTTGCGATTGCCGCTGTGATGAAACATGGAGAGGCAGAAGCTCTGCCCTACGACCTGACCGGTTGCCACTAGATGGGCAGTCTAGGGCGGTTCGCAGCCTAGCTGGCGGCCAAACAAACGCAGCCAGAGAGCAAAAGCAACGGCGGCGCCAAGGCTTTGCCATGACACGGCCGACGAGGAGGCAGGTAAAGCGCTCAGGCTGCCGCCGCCGCTGGTGTTGTTGCTGGCACACGCATCCTCTCCGCACCCGCCCCTTGGCTGAGACGTCGTCGTCGTCGTCGTCGTGTTGTTGGTGTGGAGTCGTAGTAGCGCGCATCAACCGGCTCCGCGACCAGTCGTTCCCGCACGGCAAGCTCCGTCATAGGTATTTTCTTGGGCGGCGTCAGACATCACCCACCGAATCAACCCAGCCCAGCCCTTCCGCCAAACACGCAGTCCTGCTCCATCACACCCGCAATCGCTGCACCTCCCGGACCCGCATCCTCGGCGCTTTTCACGCTGCCGGCCTCTTCTTTGCGGACGCCCATCGCAGCCGAGTCATCGCCCTCGCCGTTCACGAGCCGATCCCAGGACCACCCCCACGCCGACTCTATCGCGCCCTCGACCCAGACCTCCGCCGCTTTCCCCCCAGACCCCGCAATCATGGCTCCCGCCCGCAAGAGGACGACCAACATTGCGCGTCGCCGGCGGACCGACGACGAGGATGAGAGCCAGTCGGTGGCAACGCTGGCCGACGACTCCCAGAGCGACGATGCATCGGTGCTCAGCGACGTGGACGAGGACGCCGATGCAGACAACAGCGACCTTAGCGAGGTCGACAGTGCTCCCTCGCTCACCCAGGGCAAGACAAAGCGCAAGCAGAGCGGCCCGCGGGATGCAAAGCCCCGGCAGCATGCTCCCCAAAGGCAGCCCTCGCCCCCCATTGCCCGCTCCGATGCCGCCTTCGCCTCCCTCAAGGACACGGAAATGATGGTGAACGGCCTCAAGATTGCCCCCGATGGAAAAGAGGCCGACGTGGTTGATTTCGACACTGGTGCGGCAGCTGGAGACGCCGCACCAGCAGTTGGCGCGCCCTCCTCGCGGACAGAGACGCTGGCGGAGCGCCGGCGGCGGGAACACGAGGAATACAAGAAGAAACGCGACTCTGATCCCGCCTTCATCCCTAACCGCGGGGCCTTCTTCATGCACGACCAGCGTCACGCACCCGGCCAGAATGGTTTCAGACCCGCTGGCCGCGGAAGAGGGCGGGGTGCCCCCATCGGAGGGCCCTTTTCGCCAGCCAAGTACGTCGAAGCGCAGAGAAACAAGATCCGGCATGCTGCTGACACCCGCCCTAGCATGAGACCGCAGCCTCCCGAGGCTACCGACTCGCCATGGCAGCACGATCTCCACGAGACGGTCAACGCACCGGGCTCGCAGCATCAGCCCGAGCAGCCATCGGCCGCCTCTCAACAGCACCATCCATCCAATGCCTCCGCCTTTGCATCACGGGTACCTCCGGGGTCCAGCCAGAAGCCCGCACAAGCCCGCAATTTCTCAACAACAGTACACACGCACAATGCCATGGTCCGGGTATTCTTGCCAAACATGAAGAGCCCCATCCAATTCCAAAACGTTCCCATCAAGCAGCACACTCGTCTCCCGAACCACAGACCGCCGCTCCGCCGCGACAAGCCAGTCCGCATATCGCTGCCTCCCGCGCCCCCGCGCTACATCTTCCCCACGGTTGAGCGCTCCTTCATCTTCATTCCGCGTGCGCTGCGGCCCAACCAGCAGGGCTTCGGTCGGGGACGTGGCCGATTTGGCTCGTTTGGCGGAGGCTTCTCCAGCAGGCGGACGAGCGCATACGGAGGCAGCGTCTATTCACCGAGCGTAGCCATGAGCAGACGGTCGTCAATTGCACGCGAGATAGGCCGCGAAAACCTAGTCTCTCCCGCTGGCTCCATCATGTCACGCAACGGAGGCTTTGTCGACCCCAACCGCCCTGTGGTACGTCTCCCGCCTGGTGGTCCTAGAGTGCCCAATGGATCGTCCGTCATATCGCCTACAAACGGTACCGTGCAGCCGCCTTACCCACTCCCGCAGAAGCCGACTTTCCGCGAGAATTGGCAGGGCCAGCTTCCCATGCACCAGCCGCGTCCGCAGAAGACTGTGTCTGTTGCTGGTATCGAGTCACCGGCATCTCTTAGTTTCAACCCTCCCCAGCAACAAGAACAGCAACCCTTCCATCAACAGGTACCTGCGCACATTAGCAGTGCAACTGCTCCTGCTTCTGACCAGTCATTCTATCAACATGGACGTCACGCATCTTATCCCAGCCAGGTATCTACCGGAACTCCCCTCAACAATATCCCCGAACGGGCCATCCACGCGCCAGCTTTCCAGCCGTATGCGCAGCCCGGCTTTCAACCCCAAGCCTTTGTGCCACAAGGCTACTATTATCCACAAAACGGCGCTCAGCCCCAGTACATGGCACCCGCCGGTATGGTGCCCATGTTTGTTCCTGGCGCACAGCAACCAGGCTATGTCATGCCGGTTACTGCTCCTCCTGTCGCTGCTCCTCCAGCTCCTGCCGGTCAACCCAATATGGTCGCCTATGAATCGAATGGCATGACATACTACGTAGACTCTACGCAACTGTATGCAGCTCCACCGGCGGAGAACTACGCTCAGCCAAACTATGCTGTTCCGGGCATGGGTGGTATGATGACACCAGGGCCAGATGGAGCCTACTATTACCCACAGCAGATGCAGCCAGCCGGCTACTATCCTCAGCAATAAATGGCAAACCGTGTCTTGCCACTGCATCTACCGAGGGCCAATCGTCTTGCATTTTACGTGTTGCTCACCACTATCCACTATCCTTCTTTGCAGCTTGAGCATGGCGTACCTGGTTTTTGATTACGATACCTGATATTTTTCTCGACGAAGCATGTTTCCACAGCGCATCTTGGTTATTCAATCTTGACGACGGAGAGCGACTTTAAAAATTCAATATCAAACTTTGCGGGAGGCAGGATCTGGTCGTTCTCCCTTTTGCTCTTTTCTTTTTCGCCCCTTTTTCTTCAGCTCAACTCTTTCACTCACAGGGAATGATTGGTTTGTGTATGCATGGTGTTCTGTGTCGTGTGTTTTGTGTTTTGGCTCGTATGGTTGGCTTTCATTCCTTTCGAGTACTTGTACATTGACCTAATCTGGCCTTGTATTAGTTCCTCATCATTCGAGTATCAGCGTGCTTTGAGTACTGGCTTGTCGGTTCTTGAATGATGATGGTATCCAGCGTTGTGTTCTAGTGTGGGGGGGATGCAGCAGGCACACATCCGTGTGGGCTTGGCTTTTGAGTATGATCTATCTCGATAATCAATACCGGCTCTCCAAGCAAAACCTGAAATGTGTCGCGGCTCTGTGATGGTGGTCCACTGGGGGTGAAACACGTGAGCTGCACGGTCGCCAAAAGCAAGTGACATCAATAGTGAGGCTTGGCGTGCTGCATGGCGCTAAGGACCTGGTTCGCCGCATCATCGCAGGCGTTCGAGGCAGCTCTCCATCAACCACCATCTCGCATATCGCGTCCGCCCCCATCACCCCCCGAGACAAGCACGCCACCGTCCAAGTCTTGTCTCTCGAGCCGCCATCATGGCGCCCCCCAAGGACACCATGTTCCGCTCCGCGGACATGTCCCTGACCCAGCTTTACATCGCCAACGAGATTGGCCACGAGGTTGTCTCGGCCCTTGGAGAGCTTGGGGTCATGGATTTCAGAGATGTGAGTATGGGTCGACGTGTTGTGCAGCTTCCAGCACAGCTTCTGGATGGATGCGATGGAACATGGAGCTGACAAGAGGTGACAGCTCAACTCGGAGACGACAGCCTTCCAACGCACCTTCACCCAGGAGATCCGCCGCCTCGACAACGTAGAGCGACAGCTCCGATACTTTCGCAGCCAGATGGAGAAGTCGAGCATTCCGATGCGCTCCATCTACGACTTCAACAACCCCTTCACGGCGCCCTCTGCTTCGGAGATTGATGAACTCGCAGACAAGAGCCAGAGCTTGGAACAGAGAATCTCATCGCTGAATGAGAGTTACGAGACGCTGAAGAAACGCGAGGTGGAGCTTACCGAGTGGCGCTGGGTGCTGAGAGAGGCGGGCGGCTTCTTCGACAGGGCGCGCGGCCAGACCGAGGAAATTAGGCATTCTGTCGATGGAGACGATGCGCCACTACTCCAGGATGTTGAGCAGAATGGACACGGCGATGCGGGTGCTGAGCGCTCCTTCACCGTCATGAACATTGGCTTCGTTGCCGGTGTCATCCCTCGCGAACGCATCGCCGCCTTTGAGCGCATCCTGTGGCGTACCCTTCGCGGTAACCTGTACATGAACCAGTCGGAAATCCCCGAGCCCATCATCAACCCCGAGAACAATGAGGAGACAAGCAAGAACGTCTTCATCATCTTTGCCCACGGCAAGGAAATTATCGCGAAGATTCGCAAGATCTCGGAATCGCTGGGTGCCGATCTGTACAGCGTCGACGAGAACAGCGAGCTCCGTCGCGATCAGATCCGCGAGGTCAACACGCGCTTGAGCGACCTGGCCAGCGTCTTGAAGAACACCAAGTCTACGCTGGACGCAGAGTTGACTGCGATTGGACGCAACCTCGCCGCATGGATGGTTGTTATCAAGAAAGAGAAGGCTACGTATGAGACACTGAACAAGTTCTCATACGATCATCAGCGCAAGACGCTCATTGCCGAGGCCTGGGCACCCACCAACTCGCTCGGCTTGATCAAGTCGACCTTGTCCGATGTCAACGAGCGCGCTGGTCTCTCTGTACCAACCATTGTGAACCAGATCAAGACGTCCAAGACACCACCCACGTACTTCAAGTCAAACAGGTTCACGATTGGCTTCCAGACCATCATCGACGCGTACGGAACTATCAAGTACCGCGAAGTCAACCCTGCTCTGCCCGCCATTGTCACGTTCCCATTCATGTTCGCCGTCATGTTTGGTGATGCTGGACACGGTGTTATTCTTCTTCTGGCAGCCTGCGCCATGATTCACTTTGAAAAGCGACTTGAGCGCAGCAAGCTGGACGAGCTCTTTTCGATGATGTTCTACGGTCGTTACATTGTTTTCATGATGGGTCTTTTCTCCATCTACACGGGTCTCCTCTACTGCGACGCTTTCTCTCTTGGTCTGCCCTGGTTCAAGTCGATGTGGGTATGGGACAACAACGGCAAGGGCCCGACAGCTACCCGTGTTGAGGGCTACACGTATCCGTTTGGTCTGGATTACCGCTGGCACGATACGGAGAACGACCTGTTGTTCTCGAACAGCTACAAGATGAAGCTCAGTATCCTGCTCGGTTGGTGCCATATGACCTTCTCGCTCATGTGGTCGCTGGTCAACGCGCGCTACTTCAAGACCAAGATTGACATCTGGGGCAACTTTGTGCCTGGCATGATCTTTTTCCAGTCCATCTTTGGTTATCTCGCGTTTACCATTGTGTACAAGTGGTGCATTGACTGGAACGCGCGCGGCGAGAGCCCACCCAGTCTGCTGAACATGCTGATCTACATGTTCCTGAGCCCCGGCACGCTTGAGGCTGGTACCAAGCCGCTCTACCCTGGCCAGGCTACGATCCAGGTCATCCTCCTGCTCATGGCTCTTGCGTGCGTCCCTATCCTGCTGTTCTTGAAGCCGTTCTACCTTCGCTATGAGCACAACAAGGCGCGCGCACTGGGATACCGTGGCATTGGTGAGAGCACTCGTGTCAGCGCTCTGGATGACGACGACGAGGAAGACGGGCGCCCTCTCAATGGTGGCCGTGAGAGTTTTGGAGATGACGAGGATGGCATTGCCATGATTACACAAGACATTGGTCACGGCGAGGAGCACGAAGAGTTTGAATTTAGTGAAGTCATGATCCACCAGGTCATTCACACGATTGGTAAGTGTGAAGGAGGAATTGCGTCGAAGCAACCATGTACTGACGATTATCAACAGAATTCTGTCTCAACTGCGTTTCCCACACGGCTTCGTATCTGCGTCTTTGGGCCTTGTCGCTCGCCCATCAGCGTCTCTCGATTGTGCTGTGGGAGATGACGATGAAGAATGCGTTTGCCTTTACGGGCGTTGCTGGTGCCTTTGTCATGGTCTTTGTCTTCTACTTCTGGTTCGCACTCACGGTTGCTGTGTTGTGTGTCATGGAGGGCACGAGTGCCATGTTGCACTCTCTGCGTCTGCACTGGGTCGAAGCCATGAGCAAGCACTTTATCGGTGATGGTGTGCCGTTTGAGCCGTTTAGCTTCAAGGTGTTGCTGGAGGAGGATCCTGTAGAGTAGGTTGTCCTTGTTATCTTGTTGCGGTGGCGCCTTGTTTTTTCAATGGTGTTTATTGTTTCCCTTTGTCAAATAATGCGTATGTATAGGCGTGTGCATGTAGGACTATGAAAGATTGTATCTATGAAGTCATGCATGCTATCTATGTTGTGATCAAGCCCAAGTATTTGCAACACAAGTCGTCATGCCAAATTAACTTTTGCCCATTTGCGTGATTTTTTTTGTTGTACCCGGAGCAAATCGGATTTGCGGCTCAGGGGGGTTCAAGGGCAGCAAAAAAAAGCAAGAAAAAAAAAGAGGCTGGAATCATGACAGTTAGCCCTTCAAGTCGCGATGACTGGGGGGCTGTGCGATGCATGCACATGTTTCATGGCTTGGCTCCGACAAAGGCTTGTATCGGAAAGAGAGAGAGGATCCAGTAATACATACGTACCTATGCCTAAGCAGCGCGAACAAGCGAGTACGAAAGCGTTTGTGTCGCGCATGGGGTGGGATATACAGGGGGGAGCGACATCTTTTTTGATCGGCCGTGTGTCATGTTTTATGTCTCTCTCTCTCTTTTTTTTTTGCTCCGCGCCGCGGACGGAGAGAGAGAAAAGAGAGAGAGGAAGGAAGTGGGAGGGAACATGAATCGATGATAGCTGGTGGCCTCGTTCGCGTCACATCGCATCGCAGCGAGTCGACTTTTCTCGGCGAAAGGCTTATCGCAACGTCCAAGAAGACGAGAAGCGCGCGTGGTTCGAATAATACATGTATACTTACATACTTGTGAGAACCCCCATAACAAGCTATGGACACACACACACACACACACAAAGATCGACAGACAGAGTCATGCTTATAGACACCCAACCAACCCAGCAAACAGCCTCCTCGCATCCACCCATCCATTCTCCAAGTGACCAAGTAAGTAAGCAAATTATCAAGACATACCTCCATACTATACTATATTTCTCTCAAATCCCCTATATTCGCCCACCCTCGCATCCCCCCCCCCCAAAAAAAACACCCCCCCCCATGCAAACACACACACGCACTCGCGCTATCAACGACCACCCGGGGCGAGTACATATCCATGTACCTGTAAGTACCGTTGCTTGCGCGTTCGTGTTCGTGAGGGAAAAGGAAAAAAAAACTGTCAAGTCGGGGAGAAGCGACATGGTATAAGAAAAAGAAGCATAGTCCAGACCCAGAAAAAAGAAAGTATAATTCAGTGAGTGAGGCATTATCGGGATTGCAAATTGCCTCTTCTTGGGCGCCCAGGTCATGTTAGGTAGCAATCGGGGGGGTGTGATCGACGGCAGAATACGGATGGGTAGGGAAGGGCACACAGAGAGCGACAGAGCGACAGCGCGTGCGTGTTCAAACGGGTTCCAAGCAAGAAAAATGGGGGGTGGAGGAGGGCATGATACAAGTATGGTGGGTGACAGGGGCACATGTTGAAGGTGAAATGCAGCATGTTGCGCCGCAGTGACATGGTGGCTTGCGTGGTTTGCATGGCGAGAATGTGGCACGCCGCCATGCCTCACCCGCGCCCCTCCAACGCCAACGCCAACGCCAACGCCAGCGATGCATTGCAGCATGCGAGTGCTGGTTTGGAGGGCTGTGCGCATCGATATGCGGGTTCATCGTGGCAACTGCTTTTGCCTTCTGCATCGTCAATACGGGGACTGTACATGATAGATACATATGTACGGATTATTCTTCCTCGACAGACTGCTACGAGAGCGGTGAGACGCGGCCAGCGTATGTAGTAAGATGCAGCCGTTGGGCTGGACATGGGCATGGCGAGAAAAGAGAGGGTCCCTACAATGTCTTGATCATGAATGGCACACGCACACCTCCCATGTGAGACACTCGGGCGTTTTTTTTCTCCCTTTGCTCGTGTCCCCCCTCCCCCTCCCCCCCTGTGATGCAATTGATATTATTAGAGAGAGAGTTCAAGTGACAGGTCTAAGTTAAGGCAGAGCGGGTAGGGATGCCGGGTGCCACCACTGCTGCCACCACCACCACCACCACCATCCGGGTCCACGTAGCTATGGCTAACTTGTGGCCAGCGTTGGCAACTGGACCTTGTCCGCTCCCAAAGAGGATCTAGCCAGTGTCCATTGTAGATAGATTATCCCCGGGTGGCTGAGGAACTGGACTGGGACTGGACTGGGACAAGGGCCCAGTCGATATATGGGACGCTAGGTTGGTTGGTTGGTTGGTTGGTTAGTTTGGGCGGTCAGTGGATTGGTAACAAGTAACAGCGGCATGTAGGGGGGGGTGTGGGAAGCTAAGTTATGTACGTACTACGCAGCGTTTGGCACGGAGAGAGAGGAGGGGGAGGGGTTGGAGAGCTGTCGGAGGTGGGCACACGGGAAGGGGAGGGGGGTGGGTGGGCGTTCGCACCATCAAAAGTCTAGCAGCAAGCGGGCAAAGTCGCTCAAAGCAAGTAATGAAAAAAAAGACGGAGGCCTTGTAGGCTGGGCTGCGAATGTTTGGGTTGCATGTGTGTGTGGAGTGGGTAAGCCAGCATTCGACGGAGCACCACAGGCAGGCGGCGCACGCCCGCTGCATGCGACGGCGAGTTATAAAGGCCCGACAATGGTAGCTGAGGTGCTGCTCGTTCTTCTCTTTCTCTCCAACTTTCTTTTCCCTTGGCTTTGACAGTTGTCCTTGCTGGCTGCTTTTCCCTTTGGGCTTGCCCCGACCCTACCTACCTACCTACCTACCTACACCCACTTTACCCACACACACCTGTCCCAGGGAAAGAAAAAAAGAAAAGAAAACTAGACTCCTTCTTTCTCCAGCTGCTCGGACCCCGTGCTCGCCGTGGCGAATATTTAGTTACCCAGGGTCCTGTCCTCTTTCTCCGTCTTTACACCTATCTCGCCCGGCCGTCTCCACCTGCGTCTGCGTGCCCCTCCATCGAGCCTAGAGCAGAAAGCTTGGTTGCCCCATCCTTTCCATCCTTCCTCCCCATCCTTCATTCTCCCCCCCATCGATTAAAATCACCCACCATGTCTTTCTCGGCAGACAAGGTCAGCCACCTCAAGGGCGCCTTTTCCCACCGCCGCTTCTCAAGTTCAAAGGACCCCACCGAGAGTGGTACGTATTCCTCTCCCTCTCCCCGTTTTGGCGTTTAGGCGAGTTGCCCTGCACCCCCACCTCCACTACCACTACCACCCCCGCGAGGGTGAGACACACACACACACGAGCCGCGTTTTTGCATGGTTGTTTCTACGTCATTCTTTTGTGTCTTTCTTTTCCTTTTAGATCCATTGGCCGCCCCGGTACCAAGCTTCGGATGCAGGCTTACCATGCAATTGTCCGTGTCGGTGGAGCTGGCCTGCTGCAAGAGGCTCTGGAAAATCGGGGCCCTCTCTGCTCCATTACGAGAAACGGGTAGAGGCTAAATGTCTATCATCTGGGGGGTGCATGTGGCTTTTCCGATCCTTGTTTCTTCTCTAGTACACGAGGTCGTCTTATTGTCCCTGTCGTTTTCCAGCTGTATGCTGTTTGTACCCTTTTAGTCGGGTTTCCTTCTCTTTCTTGGGAGGGTTCTTTTTTTTTCTCTCTCCGAACATTTGCCCCTCACTACGACTGCGATCAGCAATCATGCCTCACGGAAGACACGAATCAGGTCTCGCTTTTTTCTTTCCATTTCTGCATTCTGATTCCTGGAAACGGTTCGCGCATGCATGCGACGACTGCTGACGCGCCATAGAATTGGGCTCCTCGATCCATCGCCAATTCCGCCAGTCACACGAAGGACACAAGCCACACGCTGGTCTTGACGCGACGCGCGCTTCCACCGGTGTCGTCTGGACGTCGGAGCAAGCATACAAACACGGTTTCCTCGAGCACCCAGAGGAATGGGCCAATTTGGGTCAGGGTGCCCCCGAGGTCGACGATAGCATCGAGGGCTGCTTTGAGAGGCCGAGAGAGGTGGATATCAGTGCTCATGGCAGAGAATACGGCCCAACCGCCGGTATCAGGCCGCTGAGAGAGGCTGTCGCGACACTCTACAATGAACACCACCGCAAGTGGCGCAAGAGCCAGTACACATGGGAGAACGTGGGTCAATACAGCGGGATTCCGTCTGGCCTCTATTTGCTGACTGCGTGCAGGTCTGCATTGTTCCTGGTGGACGTGCTGGTTTGATCCGTATCGCTGCTGTGCTGGGCAACTGCTACTTGGGCTTCTTCATTCCCGGTACTTTTTGGCCCCTCTAACATAATTGCGATGGAGGCTGATATGTACAGACTACACCGCATACAACGAAATGTTGTCGCTTTTCCGAAACATCGCCGCCATCCCCGTTCCGCTAGGCGAAGCAGACCAGTACCACATGTCGCCCGACAAGATTGCAGAGGAAATTGCCCGCGGTACCTCTGTCATTCTCACATCAAACCCCCGTAACCCAACCGGCCAGATGGTCACCAACCCCGAACTCGCCCAGATCCAGAACATCTGCCGAGACCGCGCGACTTTGATCATGGACGAGTTCTACTGCGGATACAACTACACCACAAACTGCGACGGCACCGTCATCTCGGCCGCCGACAACGTCGAGGACGTGGACGAGGACGATGTGCTCATCATTGACGGTCTCACCAAGCGATTCCGTCTTCCTGGATGGCGTGTAGCCTGGGTCATTGGCCCCAAGGAGTTTATCCAAGCCATTGGCTCATGCGGTTCCTACCTCGACGGAGGCTGCAATGTGCCCTTCCAAGAAGCCGCCGTGGAAATGATGTCTCCCCCACGCGTCCGCAACGAGATGCGCGCTCTGCAAATGCACTTCCGCACCAAGCGCGACTACGTCATTGGCCGTCTGCAGGAAATCGGCTTCAAGTTCCCCTACATGCCAAACTCGACCTTTTACCTCTGGCTCGACCTGTCCAACCTGCCCGAAGGAATAAACGACGGTCTCAACTTCTTCCAGGCCTGTCTGGAAGAAAAGGTCATTGTCGTCCCAGGCATCTTTTTCGACTTGAACCCCAGCAGACGTAGGGACCTGTTCGACTCGCCCTGTCACCATTTTGTCCGACTAAGTTACGGCCCGAGAATGGATGTCCTCGAAAAGGGTCTCGATGCCATTGAGAGAATTGTTGTCAAGTACGTTATTTTTCGCCCACACGCCGACTAGATTGTAATAATTATCATGCTAACACGCCGTCAATAGGTACAAGGAGCAGCCGCAGAAGCACCGCGCCGTTTCGCACAGGCCCCGTGGCACCGGTGCCCCCATGTAACAAAACCCGCTTTTTTAACCTGTGTCTAGCCACAGAGTACAATAGGCTGGCAAAACGCCTTGTTTCGAACAATCGTCGCCGTGTGTAGCCTCGGGTTTTTGCCCGACTGGGGGAGGTGAGCCGTGCGCGTAGTAGAACTAGAGTAGCCTGCCTAAATGAGAATATGAATACATATATTATATTAACTACCAGATGTATGCATTTTATGCTTTGTTTGGATATGTGCTAGTTATCTGATGTGTTCTGGTGATGATGTACTGGTGTATACGAGTGTTACTGGGCTTTTTATTGATATTAATTAGCAAGCTGTTTTTGTCTGTAAACATTGGCGAGTTTTACTTCAAGATGTTGGATCGTGGACGTGCGCTATGATACCCACTTTATATCTGATGAATCATTTGACAATGATACGGTACCCAAAAATCAAATGCATTCATACCTAATATACACACAACATCCTACCAAAGAAGGAAGAAACCTCTCATCATTTACTCTGAAAAAAAAACAGGCTGAGCAATGAAAAAAAAAAAGGGAAAAAGAAAACTATGGATACGAAGTTCTCAAAAAAATACAAGGTCGAGAATAAAGAAAACAAACACGCATTCAAGTAAAACATGGTTCCAAGCATGACAGACGGAACACCTCCCAGCGTCATACAGCTTGCCTTTGCAATTTCAATTTACTTACTTAATTTACTTACTTACTGCATGTACCAAGTTTGCAGCGAATCCTCCACGTTCTGCGACCGCGAAACTCCCTCCCCCCCCGAACTCAGGATTTCCGTCTCCCCTTCGAGAGAGACAGCGATGCAAACGATTCCGCAGCATCGTCGTTGTTCTTCCTCAAGCGGACTAGATTAGCCTCAGGCGACGGAGCTCTGTTATCCCTCGACCGGACGGCACTGGTTTCTAGCGGCGACGGCGACGGCGACGGCGACGACGACGCTTTGCTGTGCGAGACAACGGGCTGGTGGCGGGGGCGGCTTGTCGTGGAAGACGGAGTATGTTTTCTGCTCCGGGTTATGCGCGGGCTAATGTTGTTTTCGTCTTGGTTGCCGTGTCCGTCGTCGTGGTAGTCTTTGTCGTTTTTGTCGTCTTCGTCTTCGCTTTCGCATTCGTCGTCTTCCGGCGTAGAGTCGTGTTCGTGTTGTTGCGGTGCGGTGCATTTGGTTACAAAGGTGTCTCGGCATGGGTCGGATGCGCGGCTTGAGTTCTTGGATGTACTGGATGGGCTCTTAGATGTACTGGACGAGTTCTTGGATGTATTGGACGCGTGACTTGAGAAAAGGAAAACCCTGATGCGCTGGGAGCTGTACGTCACCCGCTAATTGAGTCATTCTACCCGATCTGACCTTTTTTTTTTTTTTTTTTTTTTTTTTTTTTAGATTTGAACATGTTCACTGGACTGAACTCATGCAACCATGTGTAAGGCCTCAGAGAGTTGGCTTGAAATTCCCAAAGCCCGACTTTACCTATGGATTTCCCATCATCGACCCAGACGATCCCGTTCACAAGAAATACGCAAATCACCGTTCGGTCAAGAATTTCTCCATCCCAGTCCTACACAATCTCAGAAAAGAAAAGGGCTTGATATCCTCTCCAGGAACGGCGTTGGGGCGATGGAAAGGTACAATGGGGATGCTCAATGCAGCAGATCTAATGTGCTTTCCTTGGGCTGTCGTCGAGGTAAAGCCTGCTGGTGCGAATCCCGGGGCCATAAACTACTGTTATTGTCAAGTTGCAAATGCTTCCGCTGCTGCTCTTATCTTTCGAGAGGAACTGCTGCAGTCAGCTTCGAAAAAGACTGATCCTAACCCGGATGCTCTTGTCATCTTCTCTTTCACCTGCATTGGTCTCGACGTCAGGCTCTGGTTCACATACAGGACAGAAGTGAGTAATAAAAGGCCCCCACCCGTTCTGTCGCTTGCTAAGACACGCTAGGAGAAAGTTATTGTGAAATGTGTGTGGGCCACTTCGCTGAAGCTCTTATGGGGTGTCTTTGCTCTACGCATGATTATTCAGAACATGTGTGAATGGGTAAACGGAGATGTCAGACTTGAGCTTGTTACTTGGATCGAGCGTGCAAGAGGATTTAAACCAAGCGAGGTTTTCCTCTACCCCAGCGGTAGCCCTGTCGAGCTGAGTACACCTACTACATCCAGTCAAGCACAATCTGGAAGCCTGCAGGGCAACTATCTTGGTTTGCCAAAAAACCCCAGTGCACCACAATCTAAGGATCTGTACGACCCTTTCATTGGTTCACGCAGGCAGCCCAGTGCATCAAAATCTGGAGGTCTGTTCAAAGATTATCTTGCTTCAATGAGACGGCCTAGTCCAGCACAATCGAGAAGTCTGCAAGGAACTCCTCTTGACTCAACAAAACGGCCCAACGCGCCAAGCCATACGTCTAGTACATCCAAGACCTCCAACCGCACGTCTAGTACACCCAAGAGTTTGGTATTAGTTATGTAGCAAGCAAAATAGTCTAGGGACGTACTTTATAGATCCATGGCCATTGTCCATATTCTGACACAAGGTGAAGATATGCTTGCTCAACGCTCCTTGCCAGCCAGGCTCATTCGTCGCTGTTTTATCCAGATGCTTGAATTCGTCTCGAATTTTGGTGCAATCATCCAGTTCCAATTGTACCTGGGATTCAGCATCGTTTTTGCTGCAGCTCTTTCTCCGTTGCTTTTTGTTTTCAAAGTCGTGATCTTTTGGTCGCAAATCCCAGCCACATTTCGAGTCAATTTCACTGCGATCCATTTCGCTGTGGTCGATATCGAAGTCGTCTTTTGCATCAAAAGGAAGCTTGGTCCGCCGGCACGTCAGAATTTGACGTACAGATTCAAGCCACGACGGTAGTTTGGGTGAATCTTTTATGTTCGATTCGAACCAGATACCGTTTTTCCTAAGTGCATCTTCATTCAATATAGCTTTCGGGGAACCTGGGGTTGGTGACGACATCTTTGGATGGATAAGACGAGGCTATGGTGTTCACTGTCCCCACCCATGGTGTTGCGTTCATATACTTTTCGTAATGGTAGGAAATGGATCCTCGCATACTCGATGGCTGCGCCGCATGCAAGGCTGAAACGCTGTTAGTAAGGCACCTACCACTCCAGCTTCGACACTCCAGCCCCCAATTTGTAGAGACGACATTGCTACTGGCGGGCAAATCCTGTCGTGCATCCCAAAGAGTGTTGTTTCATCAGTAATACGGTGTTCAAGGCCAGTGTGCCACGTTTGAAACAGAGAAGACTGCTGTGTTGAGGTGAAGGATGGTTCGACTAGGGGAAACTTCTCTCTCCCCCCACAGGCTCTTGCACACAATCGCGGCTTCCATAACCATTTAGGAAAACGCCCAGTCCTCGGGACACGAGATTGACGCAATTCTCGGAGACTGCTACTACTTGTACGTGTAAAGGAGTCGTCCGTGAGGATGACCAAGAGATTGGAGATAGCCGCAGAAGAGCTGACACAGGTACCTGACACACACCCCCTACAAAATATACGATAACGTCACTCACACCAACCCCCTTAACATTGCAGGTTTGACAACTATCTCGGTACTAGCTGGAGGATTTGAAGACGGATAAGACGGATGCAGATAGCAAAAGCGGTGCTTTAACCGAGTATCATGGTTGATTTACCCGCTCTGCGGTGTTACTTGTAGTCCTCTACTCACACCGTATATTACATATCCGCTATTTATAGTGTATACCGGAAGAGTAGTCCGGAACCATTCGCTACCCCTTCTAAACCTACAGCCTGGTCCGACTTGCGATTGAGCTTTTTGAGCCAAACCCGTAAGACAATGGATGCAGTTGCACAACAAAGAAGCGCTACAGTGAGTACAATGCATCCCATACGATAAAGACTAGACGATATGATCAGTTAACGATGTCCAAGCAGCAAATAGTACTCACGGTGCACTCCATTCGGGATAGAGGTATGCAGTAGCGATGTTCGTGGCGTTGGAAACCGCAGTAGCCAAAGCAAGCACCACGGCTCTCTTTGTCTTTGGACGCGCAACAGTTGCCGAAACCCACGGCAATATCAGCTGGAAGGCTGAAAAAGATCCCATGGCTTGTAGGAACATGGCAAAGTATCGAGGCCCCGTCTGATGTGTCGACATGGAGATGATCTGGCCAACCGCGGATATCACACAGGCAGTGACAATGTGGAAGCAGTGTTCGCCCATGCGTCCAGAGTGCCATGAGTTGAGGATTGAAAACAAAAAGGCTAGGAAGTAAGGAGGGGCCGTGAGAAGAAGGGTCTGAACACGTGGGAAGCCGAGTGTGTTGACGATGGATGGGAAAAAGTAAGTGAAACTCATAGATACTACCGCACACGTCTGGATGAAGACCAGTAGTGGCTTTCAAAGTTTCTGTTAGTCTGGAGCCTCTCTAAAGCTTCTTAATTACGGTTACTCACCACCTTTGGGTCAGAAAAAGCCTGCTTCAGTCCAGTGAAGACAGACTCTTGAACCTCATCTGCGACGCCGTCATTCTCGCGTTCAACCCGCCATTGAGCCATTGCAGTCTCCTCAGGCGACAAGAACGAGGTATTCGAAGGGTAGTTGGGCAAGAGTATGTATCCCGCAAATGCCAGGACAATGGTCAGGGCGCCTTCGAGAATGAAGCTGAGAAGCAGATAAGTAGATACTCGACTTATGAGTAAACCAAAACACTCACATCCACCGCCACGACGGATACCCACCGAGACCCTCCATTCCATCAACAATTCCAGCAGCGATCAAGCCTCCAAACGCCGAAGACAGCGTGTACCCCGAGTAAAAGGTTGCAATGCGACTAGGCAGCTCTTTGCGAGTATACCAACAAGACAGGAAAAAGATGCAGCCAGGAAAATACGGCGCTTCCGTGACCCCAACCAAGAACCTCAGCGCCACCAGCCCAGCATGATTCTGCACGAACCCCGTCGCACCAGACACGATGCCCCAAACGATGACCACAGTCGGCAAGTACAGTCTGGGCTTGAAGATGGAAAGAAGCATGTTCGATGGCACCATCATGGAAATGTAGCCAGCCCACAGCACCATGACGGCCGTCTGGTATTGCACATCGTCGATGCGCAGCGAGGCTTCCAGGCCGCCGAGACGCGCATTGGCAATGGCGTTTCTATCGAGTATATTGAGAAGAAACAAGACGATTAGAATCGGCAGCGCGCGGATATCAATCTTGCGCACGAGTTTCCTCTCGAGAGATGCAAGCTGCGACGGCGAGTAGTGGCGCAGGATATCTGGGACGGGGCTGTTGTGAGCATCGAGCGTCGTGGTCTCGATGTGCTCGCACGACGCCTCTTTCTTCTCCACAGAACCTGCTGTGTCCATTTCCATGAGAAATACGTGGTAGCAATGTATATTGGGAATTTGAGACTTTCGATAGGACTGCTCTTAGGGGAAAGCAGCGTTGCTGCAATCTCCTACTACCCCGCAACGCTGGCGTTACTCCACTCCTTATACCGCAGCGTGAGTATGGTTACATGTTTCGGCTGTAGATGATGAGCCGAACTTCACTGCACCCCGCGCTCCGCGGGTGAGGCATACCAATACAGTGGTGAGTGGTAGGATCATCAACCCTGCTATGCGCGTTGCTGGCAGCCAAGCACGTAGATCACGGCATTTCGGCCGACATTATATATTTTATTTTTCTAGTGACATGATACCGGATTTTGTGTCATGCGAGTGGCCTGAGAGGATAACTCGGGTGGAGCATCAAGTGTGTTGGTGACTGGAAAGCCGATGGAGTGTATGGTGTGAGAGGAAGTGACGTACATAGTGTTGGAAAGCTATTGTGCAGATAGCCTCACAAGCCGCAGATATAGACAGAAACTCTTTACAATATTCAAATTTATCATTTATAGATCAATCATCGCTGATGAAGCACATTGTTACTCGTCTAACCAAATCCCAGGTATCAATTTAATGCAAACTCCAGAATCAAGCCACCACTTCTACCGTACTCACCTTCATATTCTCAACCTTCCCCGCAGCAGCACTCTCATTTCCATTCACTGTCTGTCCCAAGCTACCTACGTAATCTCTGACAATCTGATCGAAGCTCGTGTCTCTCACAAAGCCCAGCTCGAAAGCCTTTGTGTTGTCAAGCTCGGCCGGCCAAGAGTACAAGATTCTCTTCAAATCAGGCTGCTCTTTCATCTCCAGCAGCGCTAGTTTATCACTGCCACCAACTCTTTCCAGCGAGTCCATCATATCCTGGATCGAGACGCCGATGCCGGGGAAGTTGAGGGAACGGTCGAATTTGGCGAGGCGGTTGGTGTCAAAGGTTGTAGCTGCATAGACGAGATTTTGGACTAGTATACGTGGAGAACAAAGCCAGTGGCGCCACTGCTTGTCCTCAAGCGGAATCGTGCATTTGATACCGTTCATAGGCTCGCGGATCATGCCACTGATAAAGGAGCTTGCCGCTGCGGTAGGTTTGCCGGGTCTTACGCATACAGTGGGGAAACGGAGAGAGATTCCATCAATGAATCCGCGACGAGTGTACTCGGCGACGAGGTACTCGCACATCATCTTTTCGGCGCCGTAGCTTGTTTCAGGTGTTGGCATTTGCGCTTCTGTGACGGGGAGTGTGACCGAGTTGTTGTATACCGCTTGGCTTGACGCATAGATGACTCTCGCGCCAGGGCATGTTTTTCTGATGGTTTCGAGTAGAGCGCGGGTAGCGTCGAAATTTGCTTTCATGCCCAGCTCGAAATCGGCTTCTGCACCAGAAGACATGATGCCGTGGAAGACGAATGCCGCTTCTATGTCTTTTGCAACAACGGTTTCCGATTCGGTGCATAGGTCTGCTTTGATGGCTTGGACATGGCTGGAGGGGCGCCGGTTCTTTGGGATGGGGGGTTCGATGATGTCAGTGAGGATGAGTGAGTGTGCGGCGTTTTCATCCTCGAGAAGTTTCTTTGCTACGAGTTGGCCTACGAAGCCAGCGGCTCCCGTAATCAGAATGCGCATCTTGTCAAAGTCGAAAATTGCATGGGTGATTTGGAAACGAGATAGCTACGCCGAGCTTCTCATATACTGATAAAAAGAGTGCTTCGGCCGACATTGTAACGAGGACCAGGTACGGCCCGTAACCGTCGGCTCCTGATCTCGATGTGGAAATGGCATCGGTAGAACTCGTGTGTATTGCATGCTCGTTTGGGGGGGCTATGCAGGACATGAGTGGTTCTCCACGGCGAAGACACCGTCGGAGTTTCGCCGAGCCCACTTCCCCGCAAGGAATCCCCCGTAGATCCACACACGCGATACCTTCCTCACAAAGCTTGGCTCTTGATTGTGTTAGCGATGGGCAAGATTAGTCTCTTTGGATTCTCCACCCCCTGCCTGAATGGGTGTTATAAGCACTACAGGAGACATCCGTGCATTGCGCGATGCATCAGTTTCGTCTTTTAGTGATTAATCATCAATTAACCTGCAACGACACGAACATGGGTTCCTCATCCGTCGTCCTCCCGTTCCGATACATGGCTGTTGGAATTGGGGTACTACCCGAAGCGTGAGGGGCAGGGATCCTATCCTAACCTTGACTGTTTTTAGACATCCTTAGCCCAAGGCGTGGTAACGTCTTTCTTGAACTTCCCGTCCAAACCGGCCGCTTTCAAAACCGCAAATCTGATGTGATCGATACCTAGTCTCTTGCCGTCCACGAGCGTCTCCGCGCTTACGCCCAGGATCTCTCCAAGAGCGCCTCCTCCAACCGGCGGCTGAATCTCATTTTTCAACTTCTCCATAGTCCGCCTCACATTTTCTGGTGTGCCTTTGGGTGCCAAATGCCGGGCAGATTTGCCGTCGAATCGTTTGATGTCCTTGGCTTGGGGTATGTAGAGCTTGTCTAACTTGGACAGGATGACCTGGTGACTAACGCCAGCTAGGCGAAGAGAGGCCAGTAGCGAGCGATCCTTGTCCTTGATACCATGCTCAGCATCTAGTAAGACGAAAACACGGCGGAGTTGTTTGCGGCTGCGTATGTACTTCATAATCTCGACTCCCCAGGAAGCGAGGGAACCCTCGCCATATCCGGGCATGTCGACAATGGTCAAACCGCCAAGGCCAACGATTTTGTCGCGTCCATTAGGCTGTTTCTTTATGATAACGCCGTTTCCAGCGCCCAGACCATAGAGGTTCATCGTCTTAGTAAAGCCTGGCGTCGAGGATGTACGAGCTAATAGCGCTTTGATGTCCGCATTTACAATGGCATTAAGTAATGAACTTTTGCCGACATTAGAACGGCCGACAAACGCAACCTCGGGTACGTCAGACTCTGGAAACAGGCGGAACTGGGCGACACTTCGTAGTAACTTTGCGTTCTTGCCGTGATTTGTAAAGAAATGGTTCGCCTGTGTCTTTTGTGCAATAGTTGGGGGAAACGATTCCCAGTACCAGTCGAAGTCTTCCAGGTTGGTAAAATGAAGCTTGACATGGCTAGAAGGAAGCTCCTGCTTGATATACGGTAGTGTGGGTTCGGCCTTGCGCGAGCCAAGTTGCGGCGAGGGTGCAGATGGCTGAAGCTCTTCTCCAAGTGCTGTAGCCCTTGCTTTTCGAGAAAGTCTTTTTGTATCTCCTCTATTTTCTGTGGGTGATTTTGAGGGTGAAGGCTCTGAGACTTGCGGCACTGAAGTTTCGGGAGACACATCCTTGGCCTCTGGTTTTCCACCTTCTAGCTGGCCCTGTAACTTTCGCTTCACTCGGTCCGGTAAATGCGCTGGATTCACAGATACTTGTGATGGTTTTAAAGTTCCACCTCTTATTCGTCGCCGTCTTTCTCTCATCGAGAGTGGTCGTGACTGTTCTGAGGGTCCTCTGGTCATCACAGAGGGTTTTTGCTCCTTGCTCAATTCCAAATGAAAAAGAGCTTGTGTCTTACTCATGTGTAGAGCACTTTCTGTTGGTGGCTCTTCCCTATACGTCGACCTTGCATCTCCCTTCCAGTGTTTCTTAATCCGCAATTTTCCATTTGGCACGTCCTCATGACCAGCATCGGTGGATTGCGACCGAATATGTGCTCGCGTAAGCCGAATAGAGTGCTGATGGGAGAAGCGTCGTATATAATGACGACATGCATATCCTGATCTGGATAGTAGATTATTCATCGCGTGTGGTTTTCCGGAATCGACATCTGTGCCGTTGGACGCATGCACATGCGAAGTTCACGACTGGTCCAAGCTCACCCGCAACTTTTCGCAGCACCTCCGCGGCGAACTTTTTGCACAGCCTACCTCTTAAGCCACGAACCCCAGCTCAAACCTAATCGGTCGCTATTATTCGCCCCGATAGTCTTGTACCTCGGGACAGCAATCGCATCCCCAGCCATGGCGCAATCGGCATCGCCCCAACTCCGTTCCATCTATCGCCGTCTCCTCCGCGAACTCCCCACGGCGCCGCAAACGACACGCACGCAGCACCAAAAGCTATCCTCGCCTTCGGTCCTCCAAAAAGCCATACGATCCAGTATCGCGACACCGAAAGCTGGCCCTAGCACGCAGGGCCAGATTCAGCAGGCGGAGCAATTCATACAATACGTGCAAGCGCAACGGACATATGCGTCGCTGTTGGAGCGGTACAATCCCGGCATGGGCATGACTGAGGAGGAGAGGGTACGGTTGACTGCACGGAGAGTAGGCATGGACCTCCCGATTGAATATGGAGGGGGCAAAGAAAAGGCCTAAGCCACGGCGTGGAGAAGTGGCGGGGTAAACGAGGCATATGAGGGGGTGTATACCGATTGGGGATTTCCAGGGACGGTAGATCGAGATGGTCAAGGGAAAAGCGCAAGGAAATATCTCTGGTCAGGGCGTACACGGGTTGATGGAATTGGCACAATCCTACGCTCGCTGCACATGAAGGTTTGGAAAAGATGGCTGTATGAATAACTGTAGGATGTATAGATATCTATCAACCCACCCAGACTATGGGAAGACGTCTGTTAAAGTTCAAAATATAAAGTGAACTGCCGTGATTGAAGGGTATGGTGCTTTTGGTGTACATGATAACTCCGATTCGCCATAATCGTATGCGCCAATGCTCAGAGGCATCTCAGATGATCTTTCTAGCTCCAAGTCTGATACTCAATGGAATAGCAGAGACATGGAAGGGCATTGGACAAAAATTTAAAAATCTACTCCATGATCTAGTCCTCGAACTTGATGCCCTTGCCGCCAGACGTGTCAATCATGCCACCTCGGTAGGAACCCCTCTTTCCCTTGTTCTTCTCCTTGGTGAATCCTTTGCCCTTTGTGACAATCAATTTGGCATGCGCGCGGTCGGCATAGTCGTATGAAACATATGCGTTGCTTGCGAGCTTGGGGTCAACCTTTGTATCGGGTTTGATACGCTGGAATCGGTTCTCGATGTGGCTTCGCTTTGACTTGGGGGCGTCGGTAGAGGGTGAGCCAGCCTTGCGCTTGTTGCTGGCGGGTGCAGGCGATGTTGCGGGCAAGGTGTGGGACGAGTCGCTGGCAGAGCCCTTGCGCTCGGGCACCGGGGTCTTTGTCTTTTTGTCGGATTCGGAATCAGAGCTGTCAGAAGAGCTGGAGTCGCTGTCCGAGGATGACGTCGCTGCCTTTTTTGCGTTCTTCTTTGCCTTTGCCTTCTTGGCCGGCTTTGCGTCTGAGTCTGAGTCTGAGTCGCTGTCGGACGAGCTGGAGTCGCTGGAGTCGCTAGAATCCGAGGAGCTAGAGGCAGACGAAGACGAGACTGAAGCCGCCTTCTTTGCCTTGTTCTTCTTGCTGGGCTTCTTCTCAGCCTCGGATTCAGAGCTGCTATCACTGGATGAGTCGCTGTCGGAGTCGCTGGACGATGAGTCGCTGGACGCGTCAGAAGAGTCGGAACCGGGTAGAGGGACGTTTGCAGCTTCGTCGTCGGAGCTGCTGTCCGAATCGCTGGAGTCGCTGGAGTCGCTAGCGTCGCTGGATGAGGATGCGGAGGACGAAGAGACCGACTTGGCCTTTTTTGCTTTTGTCTTGACAGGCGCGCTTGCCTTGTCCGACTCGGAGTCGGAAGAGTCTGAGCTCGAGTCTGAGGAACTCGCGGAGCTTGAGTCGTCCTTCTTCACGGGCGCCTTCTTTGCAGCAGCCTTTTTGGCCTTTTTAGGCTTCGTCTCGGCCTCGGACTCGCTGCTGGAGTCACTGGAGTCGCTAGAGTCGCTGCTGGAGGTGTTCTCCTCGTCAACGTCCATGGGCTCGGGCGCCCCCCCATTCTTCTGCCACTGCTCGAATCCGTCGAGCTTAGCAGCCGCGCCCTTCTCGCCCTGCTGCTCGAGAAACTTCTTCACCAGCTCCAGCGGCGCCTGGGCAGTGCTTGTTGCAGCTGCAGCTGCGGCAGCCTTCTTCTGCTTCTTGTCGCCGCTCGGCTTCTTGGGGGCTCTCTTGTCGGCAGCCATGGTGCGCAATTGGGGGCCGTGTCTCGCAAAGCAGCGGGGTAGGTGGATGGATGGGGTGAGGGAGAGTCGGCGGGCAGCAGGCGTCGGCGCAAGAAAAAAAGTTACGGCGGGCGGAATGCGCGTCGGGCAGCGCTAGGCCGCAAACGTGATGCCGGTCCCGCGCGCCTGCCGTGTCGTCTCACATGGGGAACACGACGCCAGTGCCGGACGTCGCTCGCCTGCGCTGTGAGACATTTGCGGCCTCTTCCTCTCCCTCGCCCTCTGCCCCGTCCCGCATTCTTTGGCCTCGCACGCATTGGCGCCAGCTCCCGCGGCACGGCGAAGCTGAGCACCGCACACTGCTGCCCAACCCACGACGCTCGCTCCTCGACGGCGGGCGGGCTGGCCAACTTGGCAGCGCAGCACCCAAGCACTAGCACGATTCGCAATTGATGGCACCCCCAGGAGAGAGACTCGCTACCGCCGGGCGACAGTAGTCGGTGCATCACCCCATCCGGGCCTGGCTGCCACGACGCCGCAGCCGCACTCGTTCCCTCCCCCAGATGGAGGGGAGGCCACGCAACTACACCAACGGGGGCGGGGATCCTCGAGCTCCCCCAAACCGTCCGCCCACCGCAGGCTCGCGAGGAGTCCCGTCCTCGGCGAGCTCGAGCTCGGCGCCCTCGGGCATGTCGCGCGCTGAGCGCTTCGACGACGAGCGCCGCAGGATTACCGAGAGCTGCTTCTCCAAGAAGGATGAGCAGGGACAGCGTACGTGTTCCTGCATGTGTACTACCGCAACAGCTGGACTACAGGCCTAGGTTCTGCCTATCCTTGCGGGTGATATGCGTTGTCGGAGCTGCACTAACATGGCTCAGTCCAGGAATCCTACATCACCCACATCCGCGTCCAGGAAGATGGAGCCTATCCTCAGACGCCTCCTCCGCCAAACGCACCCCCCCAGAACAAGAAGGCGAGGATCATCATGATATCTGTGCGCAATACCGGTAGAGTGAAGCTGCACAAGGCCAGAGAGAATGCCAACGGCACCTTTTCTATTGGAAAATCATGGCCCATGGAAGAGCTGACGGCCGTGGAGAACTATGTCCATTCGAATCCTACGAGCGAGGAGGAGGCGCAGCACAAGCAGTGGGCTGGGGACAAGGGCTTTTCCGTGACTATCAACAAGCCGTATTACTGGGAGGCCGGCACTGCAAAGGAGAAGGAGTTCTTCATTGGAAGTATGGTTAAGATCTACAACAAGTACACAAAGGGCGAATTTCCCATTTTGACTGGATTTAGCGCGGCCGAACTGAACAGCCTAACAAATGGCCAGCCGCACCTTGCTACACCGGAGGGCCGGGCTGCTTTTGCAGGAGGTCAAGGCGGCGCAAGCCCAGGGCCACCACAGCGACCGCCTCCACCAGACCAGAGGCCTATGCCTCCAAAATCGGCTGGGCTTCCCCCAAGGAGACCTGGGGAAGTGCCACCTCTATCAGCCGATGACAGCAGGCGAGGACCTCCCTCTGGGTCGAACCCAAATTTCAGAAGACCGCCAGGGGAATTTCAGGGTCCAAGAAGACCCGGCCGACCAGATGACGACCTTCGCTCTGGGGATAGGCCAAACACGGGCGACGATGCTCGCAGGCGTCCGCCTTTCTTGCAGCACCAAATGCAAGCTCCTCCATCCATGCCCAACCTCAGGCAGAAGCAACCAGTGGATCCGAGTATCCGATCGCGACCCAGCGGAGATAGTATACGGCCACTACGTCCTGGTCAACCCGCTAGTCCAAATTCCATCGCACAACCACTGCCGTTTGCATCGCGAAACTTGACACCACAGTCTTCAACTGCAGAATTTGTCAATCAACCAAAAACACCAGATTCTGCAAAATTCCCGTCAAGTCCAAGCCCTGCGCGCGGGCCGCTTCGTGAAGATGGTCAGTCTCAACGGTCTGAGAGACCTTTTGACGAGCGATCATTCGACGGTATGCCTTTGAACATTGCGCCACCAGATCCACGCAGACCGAAAGAGTTTGCTTCGCCCCGGAGAGATCCATCCCCAAGAGGTCTGAGACCTAGTACGGCTCAGAGCGGCGCGCGACCAGGTACTGCGCAAAGTAATGCCAGTTCAAACTTCAACCGGGTCGACGACATGCCACCGGAAGAACCTCCACAAAGGAGAAGGCCGCTCATGGAAACTCGACCGTCCCAAGCGTCGCAGCGTAGTTTTGACAGCCAAGGCACAGACTCGCGTTCGAATTTCCATACGCCTTCAGCCTCGCCTGCCCCGCCAAACGATGTTCCGCCTAGAAGAAGACCTCAGGAAACACCAGAAAGAATGAAGCCTCTTTCTCAAGAGAGCCCGGCACGCGCAGAGCATACACTTACTCCATCGCAGCCTATACCGCCACCCACTTCTCCATTGCCTCAGATACCAATGACTCCTGTACCACAAGCGATCCCACAAGATGAAGTAGCAGCATCTCCTGTACGAGCTCCATCGATAGAGAAAGCACCTGAGCCTGAGCCTGAACCACAACCTGAACCACAACCGCAATCCCAACCTGTGGAGAATACTACCCCTCCAGTAGACGAGCAGGAGAACGAGGCACATCGTCCTGGCCTTGGCCCGATGGTCAAGAAGCCCTTGGTCGCTGACAATGCGGCAAACAAATTCAGAAAGGCAGCAGCAGCAGCGGGCGCGTTCAAGCCTCGTGCTGGCGGTGCCGCAGCAAAACTCTTCAACAAAGAGACAAAGGCATCTGACGAACCTGACGGTGTCAGCGCAGTGTTTGTGCCTCAACGGTCAACACCAAAAGAGGCACCTAAAGAAGCACCCAAAGAAGAAGAGGAGGAGAACAAGCCAGAGGCAGCACCTCAAACCACGCCAGATCGATCGTCAAAAGAACGACCGCGGATCAGTACCGAGGTTGTGCCGTCAGTTACCGTGTCTGGTCCAGCAGTACCCACCTTGGCTGAGATTCCGCAAGAAACAAAAGAGGAAGCCCCTCCACCGGCTCCAGAAAAGGCAGCGACAAGAACCGTTGAGCCTGAGCCGGAAGTGCGACGCAAGAAGCGTAGGTCCAACCAGCAGATTGTAAATGTTTCGAAGCTTGGAATAGATCCTGCAATATTGGACGAACGGGGTCTGGAGTTTGAAAGCCTACTGTCAGAACTGGGCTGGGGCGGTAACGAGCTTGCTCCAAAGCACATTGAATCTCTCGAAGCCGACATCAAACGCGAAATCGCCCGTGTTGAAGCAGGAAGTTGGTTGAGCCATCTGGAGCAAAAGGACGACCGCGTGGAAGCCGTTGAGCGTCTGCTAGATCGCGCCATTGCTGAATGTGATGAACTCGAGGGTCTGCTGACGTTGTACAATGTCGAACTGAGCAGTCTGAACGACGACATTGCTTTCATCGAAGCCCAAAGCCAGGGTCTTCAAGTACAGACTGCTAACCAACGTCTGTTGCAGCAGGAGCTCCGACAACTTGTGGATACCATTTCCATTACTTCTGATCAGCTGGAGCCTTTGCGACGTGCCCCGATTGGAAAGATTAACGGTCTCAAAGACATTGAGTCCTCTTTGGTTCTCCTTTACAAAGCACTGGTTACAATTGACCCGTCTTTTGTGTCAGGGAGCCGAGCAGGTGCTAATGGTACTATAAGCCCAATGAACAGCAGATCGGGAATAGGCAACAGCGACCTGGCCACGATGCAGGCTCTACAGGAAAAGCGCGATCGATATCTCGGCGAGGGCACCATGTTTCTTGAACGACTCAAGAAGCACATGGAGATTACGTTTGGTGCAGCGTTCTTGTCGACGAAAGACGCCCTTTCCAACCTCGATCAGGGTTCTATGCCTTCTTTGAGGAAGAATATTGAGGCACACGATGCTGGCCGCAGCGAGTTGTGGATGCTGAGCCCAGTGATACTTTTTGCAAAGGAGATTGATCGGGTTTCGTGGGATACACTCCTTCGGATGTATCAGACGCAAGCAGCGCAGCTGTATCAACAGGAAGTCCGCGACAACATCCTGGCGTGGAGGAGGTTTGCTCGGAAACCGACTGGCGAGGAGCAAGAGCTGCTTTTTACCGCACAAGAAAAAGAGCCCGAGAGCATCACGGGTACTGCCAGAAAGCTGACTGTTAAGCGAAGTCAGACGCTCGCTCGTGGCCTACGATCAACTTCTGGAGACAAAGAAGGCAAAGAGGGCAAAACAAAACCTTCTAGTCAAGACGGCAAGCTGCATCCCTTTGATGTCTTTGCCAGAGTCTTGGAAGATACAGGCCCTGTGCTACTGACAGAGCAGAATTTCATCACAGAATTCTTCCACGCTACTTCTACTGACTCGCTCGACTTTCCTGATGCAGTCAGGGCAGCACCTCCAGAACGTCGACAAGGGCCCAACCTTTGGATCAGGAAGCAATTCGAGCCAGACAGGGCCATGGCCAAGCACGTTACTGCAGTCATGGAAGACATCTTCTCCTTTTGGCCTGCTGAGATTTCGAGTCTTGTTGACTGGGCCACCAAAGCCGATCCTTTGTAGGTGTAGTTTTTGCGGTATACAGTGCTGGTACTAACTATTTGCAGGCAGGGAGTGGGCATTCTCTGTGCAGTCGACCGAAAGCTGCTCGACATTGAAGAAACGAACCAGGACTTTTTGACGAGAACACTACAAAAGATACACGAGCGTCTCCAAGGACTCTTTAGTCGCTTTTTGGATGAACAAATACGTGCGATTGAAGACACAAAGGTCAAGATCAAGAAGCGCAAGGGAGTCATTTCGTTTATGAAGACATTCCCGCACTTTTCTGTTGTGATTGAAAACATGCTCCCCTCTGCAGCCGAGGGTGGGGATCAATTGGAAATCCGGCGCATGGTCAATGACGGATACCAGAGACTCAACAAGGCCATGTTTGAGAGTTTGAAGGTGATTGCAAAGGAATCTCCTACGGTCATGGCTTCGCAGGGGCAGGGCGATCCCGAAGACAAGGAGGCGCTGAACTACCACATTCTGCTCATTGAGAACATGAACCACTACATGGAGGAGGTTGACGGCCGGTCGGTCTCGGTGCTTGAATACTGGAAAAGCAAGGCCCAAGACGAGTACGACGAGCACATGGGCCTCTACGTTGATGCTGTCATTCGGCGGCCGCTCGGGAAACTTTTGGTAAGTAGAATTGTAGAAGGGTTTGCGGGTTGTTGCTAACACTGTGCAGGAATTCATCGAGTCTACGGAAACGCTTCTTGGGCAGCCTGGGGCAAGTGCTCAGGCTATTGCGCAACGGTCGTCACACTCTCGCTCTGTTTTCAAGAAGCTGGTGCACTCGCACGACGCCAAGGAGTTGCGCAAAGGCATCGAGTCGCTCAAGAAGCGAGTGGACAAGCACTTTGGTGACGCAGATGACCCGACCATTAGTCGTGACCTCGTGTTCAAGGTGCTCAAGGAGTGCGAGAAGACGTATATGAAGGTGTCGGAACGGATGATGACAATCAATCAGGATGTATATAGTGGCGAGGTGGAGATTGATTGGGGCAGCAAGGAGATTGACGCAGCGTTCAAGAGATAGTGTCTTCGGAAGAGCGGAAGTCGACATTTGCTGGGGTTGAGTTTGTGAGGGCTTGTTGCAATGTTAGCGAAGATGTTTTCTCTTGCAGGATTGAAATGCGTCATGAAGACTTTGGGCTGCATGGCGTTGAATGAGCGCAGCGACCACCGCAATAATACGTCCTTGGTCTCTACGCAATATACTTGGCTAGATTCTCTGTTCCGGCCTTGGTTCCGTGATACATGGCATGCATATCCCAGAGGACGTGGAATAGCCATTTGCATAGTGGCCGGGACCCGAATGCTCCGGGCCCTGCAGACTAGGACCAAACCCCCCTGTCGCGGTTAGTGGAACCGAGCCATGACGGCATCGATCGCAACTCTGAGTCTAGATTGCCAGATCTCATGCATCGCACTCGACTGTACATATGCGCCGCGCATCCAAGCCTAATCGCACGATTTCTCGCATTCGGTGCGTTGCGGCACAAAGCGCTCGCTAGCCACGTCCTTAAAGGTCTGGCAAACCATCCGACGGCTCCGTAATCTTACCTTTCTCAACACTCTTACACAAGCTTGTGCAGCTTCACAACACGCTGCCAATATGACACTTTTACAAACCCTATTGCGGGCAACAGCCTTTAAGAGCCCGCTGCTACGCACTCTTGTGCCTTCTGTTGCACTTGCATACGGTATCCAAGCTGCTGTCGCCATTCCTTCAATGGCAGCACAAACCGAGCGATTCTATGACCTAAGCGGAAGTTTGACCTACCTCTCCTGCACAGCCTTGAGTCTAGCCATGCCGTATCTGCGGGCCAAGGCTGCGGGAACAGTTACCGGGGGTCTATCAGAGTATCTCAGCAATCAGGGCCTGGGGCAAGGGACATGGTGGTGGAGACAAGCGCTTCTGAGTGCTGCGGTGGGCATTTGGGCTACACGGCGTACGGCACAATTCTGAACACGTGATGATGTGACTGACAATGAATACAGTGGGTTCGTACCTCTTCCGGCGCATATCCAACGACGAAGGCAAAGACTCGCGGTTCGACAAGATTCGCACCTCGCCGTCAAAGTTCTCCGTCGCCTTCTTCGCCCAGGCAACATGGGTTTCGCTCTGCACCCTGCCCGTTATCCTCGTCAACTCCATCCCGCGGTCTGCCTACGCTACGTCGCTGCTCGGCCAGGCGGTATCCGCCAAGCCCTATGCCACCGATCTTCTTGGACTCGCCATTTTCGCCTTTGGACTCGGCTTTGAAGTCGTTGCCGACCGGCAAAAAGACGCGTGGGTCCAGGCCAAGAAGCAGAAGAAGCACTCGGAGGAATTCCTCACCCACGGCCTGTGGTCCAAATCCCGCCATCCAAACTACTTTGGCGAAGCCACCCTCTGGACTGGCATCGCCATTGCCGCGGCGGGTCTGCTGGTTCGGCAGCCAGCACAGACGGCGCTGGGCCTGAGCGGAGGCATCACGGGACAGATGCTCGTCACGGGCATGTGTGCGGCCAGTCCGGCTTTTGTCAGCTTTTTGCTACTCAAGATTAGCGGCGTGCCGCTGAGCGAGAACAAGTACGATAAGCGGTATGGCGATCGTGAGGACTATCAAAGGTGGAAGCGCGAGACGCCCATGTTTGTGCCCAAGTTTTGGTAGATATTTGGGGCGGTGAGGATGCTTTTTCAAATAGAATAGGTCTTTTGCGATTGCGTATTGATGCGGAGGTGCTGATGCGATGGTATGCCTGATATAGATGTGGTGCTCGTACAAAAGTAGACTACTTGATACATTTTTTTTAACCAAAGCACGACTGCCTCACGCCTTTGTTGTGTATGTACATAGAGAACGCGCAGAATGTCAGTCTCGATGTATACAAGACACATGATGACATTCTCTAACGAAAAGAAACCCAACCGTACATCTAGTCTAAGTAGTCCTCCATTACAAAACACACAATACTTACACCTCTCCTACATCCATGCATATCAAAAACCGAACTGGGGGGATTCCCACACAACCCAAAAGACCGAAAAAAAAGCCCCCGCGCGTCTTCTCCATGCGGCTTGGGCGCTTCCTCTCCGCATAGTGTTTATCCCACATCAAGCGTGCTTTTGCATGGGGCTTGCCTCTCTGGCTGAAATCCTTAATCTTCTGCGTTTCGTTCCATGTCCACGCGTCTTCGGAGATTGGGACTGGCATTTGCTCGAGGTGTGGGGCTTGGTATATACATGTCCTCATGCCATGGAAGATGTGGGGGGGGCTTGCTGGGCACTGGTTGTAGATGTTGTTGTTGTTTTTTTGGTGGTGACCGCTTCTTGCGCGGTAGATGTATGTGTGTGAGTGTGTATGGCGGAAGACGGGCGCGTAGTAGATTCGTCATCGTCGTCGGAATCGGTATTGGAATCGGCGTTGGATATCGTTATAACGGGTCTTTACACAGGAAAAAGAAAATCTTCTTTTTTGATATCCTGACATGGGATGTTCGCGTCGTTTTGTAGCGGGGCAGATGGTTACTTTTTCTGCTGCCCGTGTCTGGCATTGGTACCGCTATCTTTGTTGCGCGCTGTATATATATATATATATATCGAAGCTATTGCAAGCCTCATCAGACTGGCCGTCAGACTGGCCGTCATCCATTTCATGCACAAATCGCGTGGAATTGCATATGCAAAAGGCCGTCGCATTTGATGAGTGAGATTTTGTCGTTGTCCGTGATATACGCGCTGATGGCGACAATAAGCTCTTTTGGGGTCGCGGAGAGACAAGTCATGAACGGGTATACTTTTTGCGATGGACTGCCTGCTCCGCGCAGAGGCAGAGACTGGAGCAACAAAAAGTATAGGTCGCTGACAGAGGCGGCAGGCGACTGGTGCATAGTTGGGCTTCCTGGTTGCAGAGAGCAGTGGCCGTCGCATCCACAACAACCATGTCTATCTCGGTATGTGTACTTGTATATTTTCGTGTTTTGATGGTAGTATATTTGCAGTAGATAATGGCTTCTTTTTAGTCGCTTTGCATCTTATCCATGGTGAACATCTCGACGTCGCTGAGCTGCGCACTAAGGCGGTACTCCTTACGTACTATCCTTGGCTTGAAGTAGACACCAATCAATGAAGCTTTGCATCGCAACTTAATAGGTAGCAACCTTTGCTATATAGGCGGACATGATAGCCACGTTAGACCTAGGGAAACCAGCCTTAAGAAGCTCTAAGACAACCTTAATACTATAAGGAATAAATGCTAGGTTATACCTAGACTTAGTCGCCCCTAGAAACTCAGTCTTGCCCTCAATGTCTATAAAGACAACGCGGCTAGTCGTCTTGAACAGGGCTTGGGCGGTCTTTAGCGCTAGCTGAGACATCGGCTGGTCTTAAATACTAGGGGCGACGCGCATCCGGCCGTGAGGAAGGATGAAGTCAACCAGGTCGTTAATGTAGGTGTTGGACCAGTGTTACTTAAAAAGCTAGAGAGTTTCTATATTGCTAAGAGTAAAGCGGTGGAAGACGGATACACCAACCTACTGTCCAAAAAGGTGTTTTTCGGCGGAGCGGCCAAGGACGGGAGTTGGCTAGCGCAGGTCGCCAAAGAAAACACGCGGGACAGTTCTCTCGGCGATGGCAGCCTAGGAATGGACGTGTTCTTCCTGGAAAATGGATTTGCGAACTGGTTAGGCTTGCGGCCGACTCGTGGACCGGCTCGTGTTGATGGTATAGCTGGAGAGACTGTGTGAAACGGGTTTCAGAGCGTAGGTGCTGGTGTCGCTGCGTTATTGATATACGGTCCAACCGGGAACTTGAGTCTTTTTGCAGCATTTGATTCCTGGCTGGCTGGTCCACACAACCACGCGTCATGATTTGTGTTATAGCTTTGGTCCCCCGGCCATGTTCTTCCTTCTTATTGAGCATGTTGTCGCGAGGGTTTCATGGCATATCCGCACATTGCTTGGCTGTCTTCAGGCTCCATCACAATTATATATGTTGCTTCTTTGTTGTTGCGAGCGCGGTCGACGTCGGCTAGGTAATGGCATGTTTCTGCCGAGTCGGATGTGAAGGTGGAAGAATGTAGAGATTGTTCCTCTTTCGCACTGTGTTTTATACTGTAGTGAGTTAGTACAAATGATCATAGCCGCTTGGAGAGGGTACCTACGTTGTTTCAGACCTGTGAGTAGACGGGGCTGAAGTCCGGGTTGGAATTATCGCGTTTTCTCGTGTTCGTCCGTCCGGGTCCATGACATGTTGATTTCAGGCATATATTTTGTTCTCACAGTGGAGTATTTGTGCCAGAGCCTACTGAATATGACAGAAGATTGATATATTGTAGAAGGCGCAGATACACTTGTGGCTGGATATACAAGGGAAGGCTGCGCTCTTCGCGTGTGGATTTTGGCATCGCCTATTGCCACCGTTTGGTTTACATATCGAGGTGGAAGTAAGTGGTATAGAAAGGGGAAGTAGAAGAAGAGGCAGTTGAAGCGGATAAGAAGAGGGGAGGTGGTTGAGGTGGAGGTAGAGAAGGCGGAGGTGGGTTGTAGATGTTCTTATATATCCACTCACTCTTTCATGCGCCTCACTTTGTTTGCCTCTCGCGCGTGATCTCTGCTTGACTTTGTCGGTGATCTGTGCGCGAAAACAGTTTGTCATTTACTGTAGTTTGCTGTGAGCGGTGTCTATGGGACTGGTGATATATTTCCTTCTTGCACGCGTAGTTTTCTAATTCCCTTGTTTCAAGAGCTTTCCGAGACGCTTAAGAATGGCTATTTTGAGCGGTACGGTGGAGGGAAATTCATCGTCTATGATGACACTCCCGTCTGCAGTAGGGGCGGGATCCATTTCTTCTTTGGTGCCTGGATTGTTATTTGTCACATTGGCATTTCTGCATCCTGGGGTTTTGTCGCATCCCGGTTGATTGCACCGGAAGATTGTTGCTTGTCAAGAGCAAGCTTACTGCGCTGTACGATCTCGCGAGTCTACATGGCAAACCTCCATTGAAAGAGAATGTTCTGATGTCGTATTTGCCGCTCCAAAGCACTCATTGAATTTGTGACCAAGCAGATGCAGGATGTACCTGCAGATTATCTTCTCCAAAGTAAGATGCTCACCTTGAAGTCTAGGACATGGCAATTTATTTTGAGCGTCAAGTCTGGCACACTCTGTTTGGATATTCTGCTTAACGGCGCATCTTCAATAGCTTAGACTGAACACGAGCCGTGTACGGATTCATCTAGTGAAGCTTCTCGGGGTTATGCTCATGCAAGTCTGCTTTGCTTTTTTTGTGCGCGCAACCTCCAACTTGTGCAGCAATCTCTTGGCCATGCTTCTAGTTCTCGCAAGCGTTGTGACGGACGCGAAAAACCAGCCGACACGCATAGACTATGACGTTGGAATTCACTCTTGACTAGGAATATTGCTCCAGAGCATCTGGGTCTTACAAGTATTTCTGACCAAGATGTAACTGCTCTAGATGCCGTGAATCCCCGGGATCTTATACTTGGCCATCCTATTCCAAGCCAGAAGATGCAGCGCGCACAAAGGAAGCTTTATCTCATACTTCCAAGTCCACACGCGTGAAGACGCAAGAGAAGCAAAGGCTTTCCAGGGAGCATATGCAGCCGTTCATTACGCGCTTGCATCGTCTTGCTGTAAGTAGCGTGGCGGACCTGGGAAAGTCTCGCGCGCCAGTGCAATGATGCTCTAGATTAAAGTGGTTCGATACAGTAGACACCAATTGGCGGCCTGAGTGGGGACGGACCTGTCACTAAGTACGGAGCTTGAAGCTGCTCAGCAGGATGTTGGAGAACAAGGCGACGAGTGTCGTGCAATCATTCAGCTACTCTGTGCTTGGCGTACTGAGCCTCTTATCCATGGTTCCTATCTTGACGAGGTTCTGTGCGCCGACGCGTGTGCAGAAGCTGCGCTAGCGCATGAGCGCCCTTGATCAGCACCGTCACTCTACTTACTCTACTTTTCCAGCCGACCTGTAGGATGCTACATGCCATTTCGACGAGGTAGTCAAAGTCGCTTTACTCACACTCAACGACGCACATCAAGATTTCCAAAATGCGCATGGCACTACAAAGCGTACTTAGCCAGGTCCCTTCTCCCAGTGCTCTTGCCAAAAAAACATCAAACTAGCGAAACCGGTTCCAAGTATCTGGGCCCCTCAAGTCACCAGAGCTTCCCTCGTGGCTCCTCCGCTTCTGCGTGTTCTTGTCGAAGTCGCGTGTTCTGCATATGAATACATTATGCGCGTGCACCAGTGCGCTTATTGAAATGAGCTACCGGCTATTATGTACTATTTATTTGTCGCGATACTGCACCAAAGGACCTGAGAGGACAATCCTCGCGCCTCCCATCGGAGACCCGTTGAAGTAGGAGAGCTACAGGACCGTGCATAGTCTCTGCCTGAACCTTGGGAGAAAACTCAAGGACTCGTCGTAATTCTTACTATATCGATATATTTGCTCCTGCCTGCTAGACTATGTCGCATTGTTGCTGATTATCTTGTATGTATACTGTACGGTATATTGTAGCTTGGTAAATAATCATTTAAATACTGTAGATTCTGTAACTCTAGCAGCAAGACAATAGGTGTTAAGCAGGTAGCATGTCTTGGATGACGAGTTGGGAGACGGTGCTGGGGTGCGACGCAGGGCAAGGGTAAGTTAGTCTATACCTTGCCTCGAGCCATGGAAGCAGAACAGTCCTGCGTGTTGGGATTATTAGTGATCAGATGGATGTAGAGAGTTACTAGTAACAGGAGCGGTTCCTTTTCGATGGGCGACAACCAATCCCCCCAGCGTTAGGAAAGTAGTACCTTGCGAATGCACTAAAGTAATTCCATCGCAGCTGATGCTCGATTGCCTCAACCATGTGTGCTCCGACGCTCTCAGCAAGTGTTGGAGCAGAAGCTCGCTGCATGTTTGCAACGGCGCAGTGCAAAGAAGCAGGACAGGTGGTGGGTGGGGTGCCGTCGAGGAAGACGAGGACGCTGGGATATACCGGCATGGAAGCTTATAGACGGTATGAAGTTGACGGGGGGTTCTGATAGACCTCAGGTCAGTCGAAGAGCAGCGGAGCTTAATGGGTTTGTAAGTTTAGTTTGGAAGGTTTAGTTTTGCCGCTTGTTGGCAGGTTGGGTGTCGGGCTGGACCTCGCGGTGCCACGACTTTCGACCACGACCGCGCAGTGGGTTCGGCGGGGGCTCTAATCGACGCAGGCGGCGGGCACCGCGCAATGTAGATCAAAAGTCATTACAAATTAGATACACTCACACGACACACAACCCAAAAACAAGCAACAAGATGATGGTGATAGTAAGAATGTGGTGGTACTGGTCATGGTGGGGCAGCATCTGAGGTAAGAGCAAGATTTTTGCCAAGGCGCTATACCCCATCAAGCAAGACTAGAACGAGCACGTGGGTCTTGGAGCCTCGCGCTCAAGGTGACACCACCACTTGATAGAAATCGAGCAACCCTGTTATTAGGTTGGATTCGCATTATTGCAGGTTCTTGTTGTAGTTGTCTTGTGGCGGGATATGAAATCATCCGCATCGAATGCACCATTGTATATTGCCTTATCGAGTCGCGAAGGCAACTATATTTAAATAGCTTGCTATGTATGCTAAGGACTATTGCTCTATTTCAATACTGATTGTAGAAACATTGATAATCTGGTAAATATGAGCTAAATGGGAAGCAACTTTAGCTACAGATTGATAGATAACGATAGGAATGATGGGAGACAGCCTCCATGGTAGTGACGGGCAGCCTGCGCCATGGTGATAACAGGCGCAATGTTACAAACAACAAGAAGGATTCTCTCGTTGACGAAGTGACAACTTGGCTGAAGGCCCATGGACGTCCACGTCAGAAGGTAATGATCATCGCGGGGCTGGTTCACGTGATGTGCCATCCCGCCAAGAGCAACCATCCGAGAGATAGTAGCATGCCTTGGGATGGCAGGACCAGAAGCAAGTAGTATAATAACGGGTCGGGCTTCGTTATTACACTCGTTGTGGTCAACACAGAATAGTTCACCTCTTACACAAATTAATACTGGTTGTTCTACTTTATATAGACTTGATTTGCGTATCTTTGGTGAAATCCTACAACTTTTCTCCATATATCATTCCCGACAAATCACACGGCTTACAGCCCCCCAGCTATCTCGCTCTGACCCGGACCGAGACTAGAGAAGTACAGCCCAACCCCGTGTAACGCGTTGGTGGTGTTGAGAAGCCTCTGTGGTGGTGGGCAGCTTCTACAGTAACGAGCAGCCACCGCGGCGACGAGAAGCCTCCGCTGTGGCGGCGGCAGTAGTAGAAAGAAGCCTCCATAGTAATGGGCAGCCGCCGCAGTGCTGGTGATGGGCGTCGATGGTGGTAGGTTACGAAAGTAGACCGGTGCATAGATCAAGCGATTCCTACACACTAAGAGCTGATCAGAATAGAGCCTAATTCTAGCAACTGAAATTGGTTTCTTTGAAGCTTTGACATTGTATGGTTTTATCTTTTTACGCCAACAGGAATTGGGTATGACTTCTAATAATACATTAACAAAATTAAACGGGCTCCTATCACCCGATAGGTTTACACAAGCAGAACAAATGAAGTATGCAATCCTTAGCATCCCTGAACGCTAAGCCCTCTAAACAAATACTTGTATCTATAACTCTGCTCCACTACCCATAGATAGATAAATCGCACTGCTTACCGCGTTTACCCACCTCAACAAAGACTAACCCTGGGTAACAAGTATACCTTACAGCCGTTTAATAGTGTGGTACTCTACTACGTTGTGAAAGCCGCTGCGTCCGCACGTCGCAACCACTCACAAAATAAAAACAAATCGAACGGTGCTAGTATGAATACAGTTAGAGTGTATTGGATTTGTTTTGAGGCGGTCAGAATCTCCGGTAGCCTCCGGTGTTTCGCGAGGGCCCCACCCACCCCGGTCCCAGCCCCTTTACCGCACGCATCCCCGGCTCTCACCACTCAAAATTATAACCCTCTTAATTCTCTGTCCCTTCGTCTTTCGAGACACATGGTCAAAAAAAAGATACAGAGAAGATTAGCATGGCCCCTGCACTAAGGATGACACGCTCAGTATGGCTTTTCCGAGAGTTGTGATGAAGACGATGTACTAACTGGCGCGGCAGATCAAAGAGAAGCTACCATTTTTTTTTTGCTAAATTCCTGTGAACTTGAGCCCTGTAGTGTAGGTTCTAATTCCAGGTAGTATGGTTGTCGTTTTTTTATTCGAATCTGGCTGTAAGCTGTGTAACAAGGTTAAGTTTGCAATTTGTTTTTCTTTTTGCCGGAGCCGCACTGACCTTTTGCAAATAACCTTTCTTCCTTTGTGAACCTAGCAGGTGATATAACTTGTTAATGTTTGTTGATATATTCCGACAAGTGATACCTGACTTTGATTAGTCAAAGAAAACCACCGTCTTTCTTGCTCAACAATGCTATGTTGGAGAAGCTGTTAATGAAAAGAAAAAAGAAAAGAAAAAGGAGAGAATGTGAGAGAGAAAGAGAGACAGAGAGAGAGAGAAATAGACACACACGTAGGGAGAGGGGAATAGATAGAGAGAGAAATAGACACACACGTAGGGAGAGGGGAATAGATAGAGAGAGAAAAAAAGAGAGATAGAGAGATAGAGAGAGAAACAAATAAAGAAATAGATATAGAAAGAGAGAAATAAATAAAGAAATAGAGAGAGAGAGAGAGAGAAGGAAATATAGAGAGAGAAATAGATAGAGAAATAAACACATATACACACATAAAGAAAGAGAGAGGAAGAAAAAGAGAAAAAGAGAGAGAGAGAGAGTAAGAGAGAGAAAGATAGAGAAATAAATAGATAAAGAGAGAAATAGAGAGAGAAACATACAGAGAGAGAGAAGAATGTGAGAGATGCCATGTGCCGTACTGCCTATCATAGATGATTAGCGCAACACTTGGTTCTCAAGCCACATTGTACCAGAACGATGACAATGCTACAGCCTCAATGGAATTCAGATTGCTCCCCACCCCGTGTGATAGCACGTGATACATTGATCACCGTATGGTTCCAACGCACAAAATACCAATAGAACAAAGCATTTTTTGAAGAATCCTCGGGAAGGAGCTTCTTACTTATTCTCAGTAGAATGGCTTTTTCCAGTCTTCCATCAATAGCGTGCATCAAGCCGAGTCAGCTGCATGCATTTCAGTGAATTCCGCGAGGTTGTTTCGGACGAGTTCACTTGGTGACAGGTGTTTCCTTACCCGCCAGCTGAGACCATTGCTCGCTGACGTCCAGTGGGTGGAGGGTATGCATGGCCGTATGGAAAGGTAGTGGCGGGTGTGAGTGTCTAGAGTGAGTAAAATTTTCAGCAGGCTTCCTTCTCTGTTCAAATCGACCGACGCGTGCCTTGGCGCGCTTCTGTGCGCTTCTGCTCGCTTCTGCTAATGCGTGTGGGCTATGTTGTTGGTAGTGTTCAGTTGGGAAGGAGCACTGCAGCACTTGCTTGTTCAAGACATCACAGAAGACTGCCGTTTGGATACGCATACATTTGCAGCACTATTCTTACTACCCATTCGAATCTACAGCTACTTCCTGGACTCCAGTTCTCGGCGTCGTCAATGCGAATACTGTGAGGTTGACGGTGGCAAACATCGCGACTTCCCCGCTAGGGTCTTCGTCGCTGAGCATTGCGGCCCCACCTGGACGCGTGCCAACGCGTAGAACCGCATCTTCGGGACCTTTCAGTGGCGAGCTGCAGTCAGATCGATATGGATTGACATGTCTACAGTACAGTAATATGAGAGGAGAACCATCTACTCCAACAAATCCATGACCAACTGCGGAATGACCTGCACACCCTCACCGCGGATGGCACTAATGGGCACAACCTGCGGATTCCGCTTCCACGCGTGCTTGCGGCTGCTGGGATGAGGCAGCGTGCCCTTGGCTACGGCAGCGAGATAGTGGCCCAGAGCCTCAAAGTTGGGCTGTGTGTCCGGCAAGTCGGCCTTTGTTGCCACGACAAACCACGGCTTGGAAGAGATGGGAGTCGAGGTGAGAAACGGCAGCGGTTCTGGGGACGGGTCGAGGAGATCAGCAACGTCGCTGGGCGGAGGACTGCGGCCGCCAGGCGTGTAGGTGACCATTCTGCGTTCTGTTTCGGCATTCAGCTCCTTGCCACGCAGCGTCTCGTACTCGGACACCTCGCGCCAGAGCAGCTTGAGCGCCTGCACCGCGTCGCCGGCAGCGAGATCAACGACAAAGGCCAGCACCGCGGCACGCTCAATGTGGCGCAGGAAGCCGAGGCCAAGCCCTTTGTCCAGATGGGCGTCTTCAATCAGCCCTGGCACATCGGCCACGGTAAAGTTTTCACGCAGCTCTCCATCCGGCCGGCGCGACGTGACGAGCGGGCGGCCCTTGTGATTGTCAAGCACAACGGTGCCGACGTTTGGCTGGAGCGTAGTAAAGGCCCAGTTGCCCACGCGCGCCCGGCTGTTGCTCAGCGCCCGCAGCAGCGTACTCTTGCCGGCATTGGGCAGGCCGACGAGGCCCAGGTCGGCGAGCATCTTGAGCTCGAGCTGCAGCGAAATCTTCAGGCCCTCGTCTCCGCGCGTCGCCATCTTTGGCCGCGAGTTAAAGGGCGTCATAAAGTGCGGGTTGCCCAGGCCGCCCATGGCCCCGGCCGCTATCAGCATGGGCGTCTCCATGTGCTTGTCCAGGTCCAGCCACAGGGGCGCCTGGGGCTCGAGGGCTGCGAGGTGCGATCGTCGCGGCGGCGGGAGCTTGGGAAACTTGATCCTGCTCAGCTCCGAGGGAATCGTGCCGGGATAGACGAGCCATCTGTCGCTCCGGTAGCCGCCATGTCCGTCTTCAAGGTCGTCTTGGTCGCCGCGCTGCTCCGCCTTCCAGTGCTCTTCCTCCATGACGGCAACAGGGTCATGCCTCTGCAGTTCGCGCACAATGGTCCCTACTGGCACGGTAATCAGGACGTCTGTTCCCCGCTCGCCGCCCTTGACCTTGCCCTGCCCATTGCGCCCCCTACCGGCCTTGATCAGCCGCCGGCGGGCGAGCTTGTGCAGAGACGTTTCGCCGCGAACGGCTTGGATGTACACGTTGCCGCCGCTGCCACCGTCGCCGCCGTTTGCAGGCCCTTCTTCAATATACTTTTCGCGCAAAAAGGACACGCAGCCATGGCCGCCGCCACCAGCCTCCACCGTCAGGATGCATCGGTCGGCAAAGGGCGTGAGCGAGTAGTCGTCGGCGGCGGGGTCTAGGCGCGAGGAATGCGCATGCGACTGTCCATCAGCTGTCGAGCTGCATCTTCGTTGTGGAAACGGGTTGCGGCGCACGCATGCACGAGCAAGCGAGGCGACTTGGGCCTGAGACACGGCCGGGTACAGAAACGGCGTCAGCGTGCCGCTCCAGCAGTTGGCTCGGGCGAAAGACATGCGGTGGTGCAAATGAGGCGCAAAGTCTGACCACTGCAATTGTTTCGACACTCCATCGCGTCGCGTAGCGAGTGATCCCCGCGCCGGCACAGGCCTTGCCCCATCTCGGCATCCTCCAATCCATCGACATTGCTCGCATACATCACTCTGCTCAGCTCATTCCCGTTCGTCTTGACCCTGATACTGTATGATTTCATGACTTCCTTCTGGCCTGACTGACTGGTCCATGTATGGTTCAGGGAATACTCAACCTGCCCCGGTACCACAAGTGTCAAATACCAGCCAAAACTATACAAGTGGTCGACGTGTTTCTTTTTCCTACACTCAAAACTGTGCGACATTTCCCGTCGTTTACATCTCCTCTCGTTATAGAACCCGTGGCCCACATCTGCATTCCACTTCGCCCCATCACCAACATCCGCCCCCATCATGATTCGGTGTGCCTTACTCACTCTCGGATCGGTCTTGATCCGAGTTGCCAACCCCGAATCGCTGGGCCTTGGCAGTAAGCCCGGGCTTCTCAGCGCCTTGCATTGGGGCCTCAAGTGGGCGCTGCCCGTATGGGCTGTAGTCGAGATCAACCAGGTGTTGAATCGCTGGGCCGTGAACCGATGGAGTCTCACCACCGACAAGAGCGCTTGGAACTGGGAGAGCGAGATTGCCGTCGTCACGGGAGGCTCCGCAGGTATCGGAGCCTGTGTGGTCAAAAGGCTCGTCTCCTACGGTATCAGGGTCGCGGTTCTCGACGTGAGCCCTCTCTCCGACGTCTTCACCAAAGGTCAGTCGCGGCACAGACTTGTTTTCCCTACTAACAAGGCCAGATGAGCTCGTTCTCGTACGATTCTACAGGTGTGACATTACTTCGCCAGACAACATCCGCCAGGCTGCACAGGCTATACGCGCCGACTGGGGCCACCCCTCCATCCTGATCAACAATGCTGGAATAGGAAATGCCTGGCCCATTCTCGAAATCTCCCAAGAACGCCTCAAGAGCATGTTTGACATCAACATTCTGAGTCACTGGAGCACAGTCCAAGAGTTCCTGCCAGACATGCTTGCGAAGAAAAAGGGCCACATCATGGCCGTTGCCAGTCTTGCTTCCTTTGTGGCTCTAGCCGGTGCTGCCGATTACAGCTGCACCAAAGCGGCCGTCTTGGCTTTTCACGAGGGACTTACGACGGAGCTCAAGCATCGGTACAAGTGTCCTCAAATTCACACCTCCATCATTCACCCGGACTGGACCAAGTCGGCCTTGACAGCACATTCGGCCATTAGCTCTGGGCTGGAAAAGAAAGGTGCCAATCTACTCGAAACAGAGCATGTCGCTGAGGCCATGGTCAATCAGATAATCGCCGCGGAGAGTGGGCAGATAGTTCTTGGTCCGTTCATCAACCGGACAGTTGGTCCCTTGATCCGTGCCTTGCCGCTGTGGTGGCAGGAGTATATTCGCGATGATCAAGCCTACATTGTCACTGGTAATGGCACCACAGGAAAGCTAGATTCTCACTAGAAAGTGCTGCTACTGGAGAGTTGATTCCAGTCAAGACTGACAGACTCGAGGTTGCTAGGTGCAACTGCGCCACTCTCATGTTGATAGATGTCTATTCAGCATAGTTCGAAAATGTAGCTTCCTGACCTACAATTGCCCTCATGGGAACAGATCCAAATATGCAAACGAGGACCGCCACAGCCGCATCTGAGCTAATCATAGTGGGTGCTGTGGTTATTCTCGGATTTGTATGCACATGTACCGACTCAGCCCCAAAATCCTTCCCGGCACTGCAGGTACCTACCTCACGCTTACCCCATTTCGGCCAAGACAAAGTGATGCACTAACCAAGGACTTCGGGCTTTGAGCACGAGGCGCGCGAGTGAATAATCTCAAGTCGCCGTCTTTGTTTCTAGTTTCATCATTTCCGGGCGTTTCTTGTCCTGTGTAATTGGATTGCCTCGCTGTTGATTTCTTTGCTTGCTTTCCTCACGTTCTTTGGTTTCAGGTTCGTGGATATGTGCCATGGGTTGGTCAACGCGAGTTTTGGTTGCTTGTTGCTCTGCATCGTTGATTGTTCGAGGTATGCGTATGCGGCGAGACGGTGTAGGTGGGGACAAGATACATGGGATATACTAACGCTTACTGACAGATGCACAATCATCACATACGGATAGACTCCCTGTATTGCCCCGTCGCGAACTCTATTTCAATAATAGTACAAAGGCATCGGCGACCTTCAGTAATACCACATCGGCATCAGCAACGGCTGATTCAGAGGTGGTTACGTCAACGGAATCGGTATCGACACTGGTAGAGTACGATGTTTCTACCATTCAGTCACGAATCACGCCATTCTCAGTATCAAGGTCGAATACGCCTCAACTAGCAGTCACATTGGGGATTAAACCCAGTGGGACCAGGTCGCTAGTATCAGTCTCCGATGTTTCTCAAAATACGTCCGAAACTGTCCCGATATTGAGTTCGTCCACCGTTCTGTTGTCGACGAGGCTTGGGACACAGCAACATGAAAGTAAAAGCACAGTGAGTGCTGCGCTATCCACTACAAGCATACAATATGTAGCTCTTCCAGCATCGGGGTATGGAGTCGCATACCCTATCACTCCAGCATCACCACAACAATCGCATACCAATGCGCCAACGGAAACTAAAAATGCACTGTCAATCTCCACTGCGATACCTTCAACCATACTCCCAATTTCGAGCAGTGGAGTATACATCACAAACGCCAGCACTGCAACCAGTCAAACTATTTCCGCAGACGGTCAGGAAATAGATACAGCGAGTCCATCAACCCCGATAAGTCATGGCACATCGTTGAACCTTGACACGACGACGTCACTGATCTCGACTCTTCCACCAACCACTACAGGACTGCTTCTGCATTCAGTTTCGAGCCTGACTGTCTGTTATCCAATCCCCTCTGCAGACAGTACCAATGGCCGCGTTAGCAGCTCGTTTGCTGTAACAACCACGCCAACCAGGATGAACTCTGAACAAACAGTACCTGCTTCAGAAAACCCGCCAAGTTTCTCAACGTCACCAACTGCGACTTTGAGTAACACTTCGACAGCCTATTCTACAACTGGGATCAGCCCGGGGAGCAGCATGGTTTACACCACTGTGTTACCACCCATCTCCAGCTGGTCCGGCACTCCGACTTCTTCAATCGACGTCAGCTACCCTACCGTCACTGAATCTGCTAGCTCGACAATAACAGGTACCGGTACTGGAACACAGCCTGATGGATCGTACGTTGCTCTTTTGCCAGGATACGGCTCTACTTCCTCGGAAACCCATCCAACTCCTACATGGAATACCGAGGGCGTCTCAAGTATGACAAGGAGCGATACACCTCTTCAAACCACGCAAACGACTGCACAGTATCCATCCACATCAGGGAAGTTTATGCAAACCTCAACATCTGTTTCTACTAGAGAGACGTCAGATGCTCGACTGGTTTCTAGCAGCATCTCAACACAGCCAATAGCCACTTCGGAGATTTATATAACTTTACCAACTTCTCTGCTGTTCCAGGCCAGCAAAATACCTCCGATGGGATATACGACTACTAGAGAGAGCAGCTCCTGTACAAGCACGCTAGGAGCCTCACACACGCATCACCCATCAAGCCTGCGCCTCTCCAGCTCTCCAGCAGCCCTCTCTACTTCTAGAGCAATGAGTGGCTTTGTGACAAAGATAAAGACACAATTTTCCGAAATACCAGCACAAACGAAATCAGTTCTAGATGCAGCCCAGGCAACTGCAAAAAGCAGTCCGACGCAGACAGCCGCAGCAGCTCCACCCCCACTAACAGTATCCGAAACTGCTGGTGTTGCCCTTGGGAGCACAGCAGGAGTTCTCCTGGCAATTGTCGCTGCAATCTTTGTTGTCCGTCGCTATCATGCAAGGCGTGCAGCAACAAGCGCGGGATCTTCAGGCGCATATCCCGAAATTGCTTACTTGTACGATGCTTCCATTCTTCGTCCCAGAAGCAGCAGTAGTGAAGATGGCGAGGCTTCAGCTTTCATGTCCGGGGGAGCAGGTGGCATAGCACGTACATCGACAGAAAGTAGGCTACCACCTCGGGCTCCTCACAATTCCTTCGACTATGGATACCGGCATTTGCATAGCGTGGACGGCATGCGCTACAGCGACCCCGGAAACCCCTTCTCGGATACGATAGATCCATTCTTGGACTGGAGAAGCAGCGTCGCCATCAACGCCCCAACTGATACTGTATCTGCTCTTGCTGCTGCAGTCGTAGGATATAGCAATGGTCCGCAGAAACCACTCCCTGCCCTGCCCGAGACGGCTTCTAGGCAAGCTTTCCGCAATCACGTTATTCCTTCGCCGACACTAAGCCCACTGATGAATGCCTGTAGCTTACGCCGCAGTCCTGCACGATCGTCTAGTCGGAGCAGCGTCAAAAGCCAGAGGTCACTGCGAAAACTACATTCGTGCACTGGTCAAAATCCCGCGTCAAGCAACTACTCGCCGTCGACGCATGGGAGGGGATTGAGACAGAGTCTAGCATCGATCAGGGAGACTGACAACAGCGAGCCTTTTTCAGATCCGATCGAGCATGACCTTCTCCTACCCGTCGATGTACGCACCGAGACCCCAGACTCAGTGGTAGTATACGCACCTACACCGATTTCGCGAAAAGCAATGCGGCCATTCGGACCTCCAGTTCTCCCCAGCCAAAACTCCATGACAATGCCGATAAACATAGATGCACAGCCTGCGAAGAGCAAAAGACTCCGTTCAACAGGCAGTCTCCTCTTCCCCAAGAACGAAGAAACAGCATACAAGTACTCGTCACTCGCGCACGACACACAGCCCTCACTGTACTCCACGGACCACTCATCCACCGACGACATCACACACAACGACTTCCCGTCTCCGCCATCAGCATCCTCAACGCCAGTCTACAAGGGCTGGGACGACATAAAACGGCATTCGAGCAGCTCCTCGCCGCGCCCACCCGCATTCTCACCGCCACCGCCGCCCTTCCACGCTTTTGGCCCACCGCACGCAAACCCATCGTCCCCTCCTCGGCCTCTCCTCAAGAAGCGCTCTCTCATCCACCCGCTCATGTCTCAGAACCCGTTTTTCCCGCTCACGCCAAAACCACAGTTTACGCATGCGTCTCCTTCTACGTCTAGTCAGAGCTTCGATGGCCCGAGAAGGAGTTTGCTGGCAAAAGTGCAGAGTATAGGGGAGATGAGGGAGGAAGGAGATGCGGGAGTGGAGAGTGGAATGGAGAAGAGGGTGAGGAGGGAGAGCTCTGTAGTCATGGGATTGGGGCTGGGGTTGGGGTACCGCGATAGCGTTTCTAGGAAGAAGGAGATGGCAGCGCGATGGGGGCCTGATGAAGTTGGGCGAATGGTGTGAGGGGTTTGCAGTGTTTGTGCAGGTTGCATGGCAGTGTGTGCTGCTTTTCTGGTGTATGTGTTTTTTTTTGCTCTGATGATGGATGGTGTAGGTAGTATTCTGTAATGACGTTTGAGATATCCCTTTTGCTTCAACCTGTTGGACATTATTTATTGTAAATTATTAGTAGACAAATTTCTGTTCGTATCTTCTGCATCACCGTGTTCTTATTATAAGTTCCTCTCGGGTCTTCTTAACCATTGCGATGACATGTCTGTTACCCGTAAGACGAACGAGTTTCTTCGCATGTACTTGATGAGGAAACAGGGTGTCTTGAGCACCTGTTTATCATGATTTTGCGCCGTAACACACATCAGAATACGTTGCAATATACACAGTCTCCAGCCGAAGAAGCCAGGAAACTAGCTCCCTTTTCCCCTTCGACAAGATGTCATTGAGTGATTATTCCAAGTCCCGCAACTGGTCTCTACCTTTTATACCTCCCAGACGTCAAACAAGAACACATCAACACCGGGATTACACACCGAGCGATCAGCCCGACCAAGTCCGATTGTCTCTCTAATCCCGATGTAAATTCTCTCTATAGTGCTTACTGCCATGTACGGTCAAACCGACATTTAGAAAGCATATCGGCTAACTATTTTGCCCTTCCCCGCTTCTTTGTCCAGGGGGGTGGATGTACTAGTAAGCAGACGCGTAGGTTCTTGTAGTACCTAGCTATTTACCTTTTCTCTACAACCTACAACAAAATAAGCATACTAAAGCATTTTTGCTTTACCAGGCACATGCTTGTAGGTGTAGTGGTAATCACGAAAGTAAAATAATAAGAATAATAATGATCCGCCAACTTTACTCCCACCTTGGTTGCTTTCTCACCCTGCAACATATACACGCACGCATACAGGTACCTTTTTTTGGTGTTTTCTTTTCTCAATCTCTCCACTCAAGCATGTCGCCACACAGCCCACAGGAAAACAACACAGACACCGGACAAAAGTAACAAGCCCGTCTAGTCTAGTCTATTCAAGGGGGAAAACGTCGGGGAAGATGATGAAGGGGTGTGTGTGTGTGCTACACAAGCATACCACGCGTCTCCCTTACTCAGCCGGAAAAGAAAAGATAAACCACCCCAGCTCCAGTCCCCCACCCGACACCCAACGCTGCACACGGTTCATGATCCCAGCCAATAAGTCGAAACCTTACTCATATGCACCAGGTGTGTTGCCATGGGATGCGGCCAGCCCCCCTCCCCCTTCGCTTCTCTTCCCCTTCCCTCCCTCTCTCGCTCGCTTCCCCACACTCTAGCCTCTCAACCAGCAGCAGCACCGCACCAGCACCGCACCAGCACCGGACATATCGCTTGCCTCGTGGCGCGCACGCGCATGCGTTGCGTACGTGCGCCCCCCCCCCTCGCTCCCATTCCTCACACCACTGCGTTTAACTTCCCGGATGCTGGTAGCTCTGCCAGGTGGTGCGGGGGGCCAGCGGAGATACCCGTCGACTATCCGTCATCATTATAGCCCCTTCTTCTCCTTACGCAGCGCCCAACCGGTGTGTATGAGCGTGGGTGGGTGTCGGTGTCGGTGTCGGTGTGTGGGTGTGTGTGCGGTTCGTAGCGCAACACCAAGCTCAATACTTGGCTTCGCGATACACTACGTACCTACCTATATCATACTACATGCTATAGGATGCTATTTTCCTTCTTCCTGTTCTCTCGTTGGCTCTTTTTTTTCTTTGCTTTTCTTTTCCTGTGGAGCCGACCTCTCGCCGCCATGCCGACCGACCTGGACCGACCTACCGACCGACCGACTACGGCAAGCCGAACGGGCGTGAGCGGGCGAGCGGGCGAAATGACGAAAAGAGACAGCAGAAAAAGAAACAAAAGCAAGTGAAAAACCTGGGCTGAAACGAAGAATGTGGAGGAAGTGAGAAAAGTAAAGAGACAAAAAAGGAGACACGAGAGAGACAGAGGGAAAAAAAGGGGACTTTGGAACGGGCATCACGTGTCATGAACTGCATCGAGCATTAACACACTACCTAGATATCGTACTAGTGTAATAGTGACGATGATAATGATAATTATTATGATTATCCTTTTTCTCTCTCTCTCTCCCTCCCCAAAAAGAAAACCAATAAACTAAATGCTCTCTTTCTGTTTGCTTGATGCTCCCCTCCCCCCCCCTGCCCCCCCTGCCCCCTTGCTCCCCTTGCTCCCTTGCATATTCGTTCCCCTGCAGGGCAAGCAGAGTGGGAAAAGAGAGACAAAAAAAGGGCGAACACAGACTTCCCCGCCCGATGCATATTGGGTAGCACACGCATGCGTCTTTTTTTGGACGAGGGGGGGGGGCGAGGGGGGGGGTGCAAATACGAAGGTGATTCAGACGCAAAAAGTAAAAAAAAACAAAAACAGCGAGATGCAGTGGGAAAAGGCGGTTTGTGCCGTTCCCACGCCCTACACCCAGTCCAGCTGGTGGGAATGCATTGCATTTGGAGGGGGGGGGGAGGGGGCACGCCGATGCACGGCCGAACCGTGGGGGGAAAAGAAAGGGAAGGGGGAGCTGAGAATGAGGAAGAGAAAATGAGAGATGAGAGGGAGGGAGAGAGAGAGAGAGAAAAGGGAAATGTCATGATCATAGTGTAATGATGATGATATCGGTGGTGGGGAAAATGCGCCGAAAAAAAAAGTAAAAGAAACCCAGTAAGTAAGTAGAATGGAAAAACAAAGGAAAGGAAGCAAAAGAGGGTTAGGGATAGGTGGTACAGCTACAGCTACAGCTACAGCTACAGCTACATGCGCATATGCACGTGATCTAGGTCCCAGAAAATGCAGGTTTATTGCACATACATACATGCGCTACAAGGATGTACGTACATACACGCCAGAGCATGTATACACATATACAAAGCTGCATCTACGATAATCCTCCTTCTCCACCTTCCTCTTCTTCTTCTTCTTTCATCTTTCATCTTTCATCTTTCATCTTTCATCTTTCATCTTTCATCTTTCATCTTTCTTCTTTCTTCCCGTGTATGTAATGTATCATGTATCATGGAACGTATGCAAGTACTCATTCTTCTCCATGTACATAGACACGGAAACCCTGGTTGCAGCACTAGTTTAAGATGCGCAAAAGGCCCAACAACAACAACAACAGCAATAACAACAGGCGTCTGTTATTTATTTACTTGGGTGTACTTGATTGCACCCAAGCAAAAAAAAACCCCCCAAGCTAACCCCTTCCTTCACCCCTCACCCTTTCAACCCCCACCCTACCAATAGACACACACACACACACACACACACACCCCTTGCTGATAAACATGGTTTGCTCTCCCCACCGCCCCCTCCACTCCACTCCACTCCAAAAAAAAAATCGCAACGCCAGGCCCAGCCCACGACCATGCTTGCTTAGCTGACCCTACGCTACGCCACGCCACATGGCCTACTACTTAACTGTACTTTACCCAGCTTAGCTTCGCGCTGACGGCAGCAAGCCCCCCCCTTCCCCTTCCCCTTCCCTTCCCTTCCCTTCCCTTCCGAACTTGGGATGGAGGGAGGGGGGGAGGGAGGGAGAAGAAGTTTCCGGGCAATTATCTTTTTTTTCCTTTTTTTTTTCGCGTGCGTACTTACCAAACTTTGGGCTGGGTAAGATGTTATGGTCCTGGTCCTGGTTCTGGTCCTGGTTCCCACGCACCCTCCCCCCCATGCGTTGATACTTTAGCGCAAGATGGGCACCGCCGTCACCGCCACCGCCGCCCCCGTTGTCTGTCTGTCTGTCGGTCGGTCGGTCGGAGGTGTGTGTGTGTGTGTGTGTGGGTGGTGAACCGCTTTGGTAAATGTGAATGTGAATGTGAATGTATGCACGCTACCGTAAGTTAAGCTAGTCCACCAAACCAAGTAAGTAAGTAAGTACAGTAACCCTCCACCAAACCCCCTTGTTTTCCCATTCCCCCGAAACAGTCTTCTTTCTCCTTCTTTTCTTCTTCTATTTTAACCCAGGGATCCTTGTCTTGTTCCTCGCTCTTTTCCTTTTTACATCCCCATTACGTTTTATTGCTGCTGCTTTTTTTACTTTTTCGACCTAGGAGAGCCCATGAACCGTATGCTGGGAGAAGAAGAAGAAGAAGTGGAATTAGGGGGGTGGGGGGCAGGCGTTCAGCCGGACTCGGCCGGAAGGGTGGGCGGTGAGGCCCAGCTTTTCCTTCACTCTACACCTACTTGTATAATGCACATAACTAAAAAAAACTTCCGAAACCAAAAGAAGAAGCAATCAACGGGCGGTGCCAGGGACGTCATGGGAGAAGATGCATATTCGCAATCTCCAATATGGATGGGCAGGAGGTGTGAGCATGGGCTCCAGGAGATCTCATCTTGCATATGTACGTACTACTACATATGTATGTATGTATGGACGTGCGCCTATGCACCAGGTGCAGAAGGGGTCTGCTCGATGCGAGCAATGGCCCACTTTTTTGCTTTTTGATCGATGTCATAAACTAGCTGCTGTACATCATAAGGTAGGATCATGAAATCTGGGGCTGGAGCCCGTATCATGAGACATCAGGCAATCCAGCTGTATGTACGTCCAGTCTGCGTGCGTGCAAATGCGGAAAGTCTCGCATGTCTTTTCTTTGCCTCGGCCCTGGCCCAGAACAATCCCGGCATGGCTCCCCTTTGACGCCTTATTCCACAACTGGAGAGCCAGATCGTTCCAGATCAGAGGCCGTTGACGGTTGGAGCCAAGCCAAGATCCGCCAACCCAATCCAACGTTGCATTTGCTCTCGCTATCGGCTTTTGCCATTCATCGCGATGCGTGGCTGACCGTTGGCTTCGAGTCAAAAAAACAAATGCGCTGATGCCCACGACATGCTTCCCGGTCCCGCCATCGTGTTCACTAATCCTAATGCACTCCCTTCAGCCAAGACGCTCCGACGCGTCGATGCAGTCGCACTTGCTCGTCCTGCGGCTCCATATTTCGATAAGCCACTGGTGCGATGTCTCAATCTCGATAGGGCCAGGGCACAGCGGAAGCTTCTGTCGGCATTTCTTCTCATACTCACGAATCGCCACATGACACTCAATCTCCTTGGCCATGCGCTCAACCAGCTTCTTGGCTTCTTCATTGCCTGCACCAAGCCCGTCAAGCATACCTTGAGCTGCGACTTTGGCTTCATGGCATGAAACCCGGCTGAGGTCGTAAAAGTACTGACGCTTGTACACCTCCAATGATGTGTCTTTGGGCGGGGCCAAGCCCCCAAGCTCGCTCGTGAGGATCAGCGGGCTCTCCGTGTAGTTCCACGTCTGCGCTTCATGTATTGAGTTGTGATACAATACCTGGATGTCTAGCACGTGGACCTTTGTCGCACCTACGTGGACAGAGTTTAGTAGTTCCTGCCTCAGACCGTTGCCATCTACGCTCGAGTTGAAGATGGGATTGTGCGAGTCAAGGTTGACGTTGGACGCTTCAGCCTTGGTGACGCGAACCTTAACAAATAGCGTGTGCACCTGTCCCAGGTACAGCCGAGGAATCTCCTTGCTGCCATGGCAATCGACGAGCTCGCAGCCTGCCCTGGTTCGCACGTCGACGCTCAACCTCGTCAGCTCACCCACGGGCCTGGCGCACCGAGCATTCTGCACAATGCGCTTGATGCGATTTGCAGTCGACTGATACTTGGACCAGTTGCTGGCGAACACATTGTGGCAGCAGCCATCGGCGCAGGGGCCATGTTGCAACTCTGGTTCGCGGCAATACGGAAGAACCGCGGGGTTAACTCGATGAAGGTATAGATCCGGAAACCATCTTGAGACGTCGTGAAGCACGTGAGCTGCTGGTGACAAGACGATGATGTGGGTACGCCCAGCCTTGAGATGCTCAACCTCGAGGGCTCTAGCTATGCCAAGGATGACATCAGTCATGGATGGGTTAGGGCGAGGCGGATCCCAAACTTGAGTACCAGACTGCGCAATGGTCGAGGTAAGCTCTCGGATGATTGCCTCCGTGTCTTTGCTGAAACGCCTTATTGGATAAAGCGTGTCGGGTCGATTTCCGGTGACATTACGGTGAGTGCAGTGCGTGGTGTATAGCGCCAGTCGATCCCTGGACGTGAGGTGATACCATAAAAAAGTAAGTAGGTGCCATTTCTTTTTTTCCTAATGCGGCTTACCAGGGCTCCGTTGACGACTTGTAGCGACTGTTCGAGGCAAGCTTCCGTCACGTAGTAGCTAGAGCTGGTGTTGGCTGCCATGTCCAAGACTCTGCAGAGGCACTTACCTGTTGTCTACCAGAAAGACGACATCTATTGCGCTATCTGCAAGAGGCCGCCGATTGTGCAGCACGCCTTCAATGTCCACGGCGACGGTGATTTCTTGCACGTCTTCTGTAAGAAGCTTGACTTCCGGAAAGAGCTTAACCGCTGCGCGTAGGGTAGTCGGCAGAACGAGGGACGAGTCTGACATGCATGTACCCGGCACCTCCCTGTCATGGTCCGTCGGTGGAGGGATGTGCTTTGTAAAATGATTCATGAATGACTTGAACTTGTCTCCGCTGAGTAAGTTTTAGCATCTGCTACACATGGAGATGGGGCCTGACGGACTTGCGAGCGTTTTTTGCCAGATAGGCCATGACACTATCTTCATTTAGGTCCTTTGGATCCGATACTTGGTCATTTTGGTCGTGGGCCGCAAGCGCTGTGACGACCGTTGACGAGGGCATGTCGGAAGTATCGCCGGCGGTGGCATTGGTATCTCCAGTACCCTGGCGGCGCAAAAGCGGCAGACTATTCGTAAAGAGCCGCAACTTACTCGACTTGCGGCGCTTCGGGGCTTCACTGTGGCCGTCCATGCTGTGAATCACGCCCTGCAGAGCCTGTTGCGCGCTGACGCGCTCAGTCCATGGCGCATCGGCAGCCTCGTCCTGACTGCAGGAGCGCGAAAACGCCATGGCATATCCAGAGCTCGAGCCAGAAGCTGACGAGCGGCTGTTCCTGTTCTTGCGTATCGTCAAAGGGTGCTCACTCGGCGTACGGCTGACGGATAGCGGTGTTGTGGCCCACAACAAGGGCGCCTTGAGTGGGCACGTCCAGTCCAGGACAGACGAGTCGAACCTATCGTCGGGCGGTAGCTCCTAGATATCGCTCTTGATCTCGTCGATGATGTCGTCTAATGGGCCAAATACGTACGGGTCGCCGTCGTAGCTGTGTGTCGACTTACGGAATATGCGCTGGCGGAACGTCGCTTTCCGTGGCTTCTTCTGTATGTGCAGCGGAGAGGGGCAGAGAGGGGCGTGCGCGGGCGATGCGCTGCCTGCTGTTGGAGTTGTTGTTGTGATCATTTTTTCAGGCGCCAATGTCGACAAACGGAGGCGACACTCTCGCTTTCACCTTGAGCTGCTGTAGGAGGTAGGTATTTTTGCACTCCCAACTTGCTGTCTGTACAAATGGAAATGGTTAAAAAGAGTCGCTGGTGCACAAGATGAGATGCAAAAGTTGCACACGTAATGGACAGAGGGCGAATACGTCGACTGAGATGAAGCTAGCTATTACCACGTTGAGAAGGCACGATGGAGGGGCATATCAAGCCACCTAGCGCGCCTGCCTTGCCAACCTGAGTGTGAGCTTTGTTCTTTACCCTGGGCAGCAACACTATTGAAAAAAAAGAGCTCTTGCAGTAGTCCAGCTTCCATGCCTGCACCACACAACACATGGCGGTGACTTGAGACACTACACCTCGGCGGTCCGCGCAGCAGCCATGTCTAGGTGCGCCTTCATTTTGTCCTGCATCTCTTCGTCCGCCTCACGAAAGCGAATCTAAAGAAACAAATGCTTAGTACGGCTTGACTAGCATGGGGGGGGGGACTCGAGACTTACAATATCTTCTCCAGCGCCGGCACCGAAGAGGACAGACTCTGAGAGGCTAGCCTTGACTGCTTTTTTGACACGATCCTCCCAGACACCGTCCCAGTTCCATTCTCCCGGGCGCCGGTTTCGGCCCAGGGCACTGCTGCCGTCGGGCTTTTCAGCCATGGGCTCGTCTGGACTGGGACATGGGGACGGCGAGTGGTGGGCATGCAATACGGGAGCGCGATGGGCTCGCCAGGCGTGGTAGGCACCCGGGTTGGCGGCGGCGTCGAGCGGAAGGGAGTCCAATATGGAGTCGTCACTAAAGGTGGAGCGGATGTACTCTAGCATGCGCACAATGGAGATTTGGTCAGTGTGCTGGGGCGCACCAGAAGCAGCCGAGGTGGCATGCCAGTCGGGACGTGCGGGACTGGCCAAGCCGGAAGCACTGGCATTGCGAGAGTCTGGCACGGATTTTCGAGCGCGTCGGAACCAGTGTGGGAAGCCGTGTCGCAGGCTGAATCCGCCGGGGGGCAGGCGCTCTTCATCCGTTGCACTTACCGTGTCCGAGTCGGCGGCGCCCGTCGTGTACGTGTAGGTGGTCAGTGGCGTGAGCAGCGGGTGGAAGACATCGGTGGAAAAGGTCACGAGAGGGGGGAGGGCAGGATAGTTGGGCGGGAAGGAGAGTTGGAAGCGTAGGACTGCAGGCGCATACGGTCCTATCACGCGTGAATACGGCCGATCTGGACGGACAAGAAGGCACACGACGGTCGCTTAGCCCTATGGACCACCCTACCTTTTCGCACGAAGATCACACCGACCCACAGCGATGGGTCGCCAGGCGTGATGCTCAGGAAAACGCCATGGAGCTGTGCATGGCGGAGGCGGGAGCTGTGTGCAAAGTCAGGGAACCGCTGGCCGGCTGGGGGCTGGCATGACGTACAACTCGACGAGGAGATGCTGTTTCCGAAAGGACGGCAGCGCCGATGCTGAGCCTGACAACGGCATCTTGAGCTGGCCGCGGGCGATGGATGGTTGGAAAGTGAGCAGTTCGGCATGCGTCGAGGCATGGCAGATGTGCATGCGCGTTTGGCGCTAGTGCTGGCCGCTAGCCGCTTTGCGCCATCGCCTTGGCTGGCGCGCCTTCCCCCCTCGTCCCCTCGTCCCCTCCCCCCTACCGCTCCTGCCTCATTTGCACTTGGGCGCAAGTGCGACACCACCAACGCTGCGCTCGCTCACCGGGCCTGCCAGGGCGACATGGGCACACGGCGGCAATGTGACGGCCTTGGACGGGGCGGCCAGCCGACGTGGCAGGTGGGCAGTGGTGACAATCACGTCAACGAGGTCATTTGCGACGGAACAAACAGCTGCGTTGGACAATGGCTTCATCTCCACCATGACCGCCACCTACTCAACGTCTGCGTCGTCGTCGTCTGCCATGGTTACACTCCAAGGACCGGCCTTGCTTTCTCCGACAGTGCCGGGCCCCCCCTCCCTGACCCCCGCCTGATCGTCGTGGTTCGTCTCTGCCACGCTCAACTCGGGATTCTAGTGTGCAGCAGTACCGAGTGCCTGAGGCCGAGTCGCTGCGCCCGAAAAGGCTGCACCGGTCCGGACAAAGACAAGCCAGAAGGTGGCAGAAGGCGCAGTGACTGCATGGGCCGTTGGCGTCGACGAGTCAAGGCGGCGCACACATTGCTACCCCCCCACGACCTTGGCAAACAAATACTGGCGCTGCCGTTTTTTTTTGGCAGGCTACCGAGCCAGGCTGGACATATTACACGGGCTTACAGGCAGAGGGCGAGGGATATCCGGTGGCAGGCTAGGGCGTTTGGGGCACGGCGGGCTGTGGCTCGTAGCGGTGGCCAGCTGTCGTGCGACGTTGAAGTGAAGAAGCGCTGACTGGAGCCAGCGCAGCGTGGGTAGCCTTATGGCGAGGGTGACACACAGTGGTTGCCCCGGCGGCAGCAATGACAGACAGCAAGCAGAGGACATGTCGAGCATAGCAGCAGCAGCAGCAGCGACAGCGACAGCGACGACGACGAGTGGTGCCCAAATCGAGACAAAGCTGGCTGCAACATGATCGAGCGAGGCCAATTTGGATCGACCCAGGCTGTCGGAATCGAGGCTTTGGGCGCTTTTGTATACTCGTTCCGACAAGCGCGTGAACGACCCCCCGAGCCTCGGAAACCTCGCGGACCCAAGCACACACAGGCACACACACACTCTCTCTCTCACGCTCACACACACTCAGGCGTGCTTGCTGCGGCGCTGCGAGGGCACGGCGAGGCACGGCAGTGGCTAGGGGCCAAAGCAGTATGGCGGCATGTTCGGAGGATTCCAGCAGCGCCAGGAGCAATCAGAGGGCCAGGGGGGGGGGCTTTGGCGCTAAGAAAGGCGGTGGCTGTCTCAGACGCAGGCGCAGGCGTAGGCGCAGACGCACCCATGCACCTGTGCCAGACGGCTAAACCCTGTCCTCGCGTGGAAATCTGCAGGCCAGCCTTAGATATCCACACCGCCATGGCCGCCATGGCCCACTCTGGCTGCGTCGAAACAGCCGTTATACTTTGACACCTTTGGCTTGTTGCCATGGCCAGCACAAGCAAAGCATGGCTCGACGGCCTGCGACGGCTCACGGGCAAGCTGCGACGCAGGTGCATCCGGCACCACCGGGATCGCTGGCGGGCGTGGTTGGGCGGGCGGACATGGGCAGCAGTGGCAGTGGCAGTGTAGTGTACAAAGCAGGGCGCTGCGTCCAACGCACATTGACATGGCCGCGCGAGGGTCAGCTGACGGGCGAGGCAATCCCCCAAGCTTGGGCAGCGTCATGGTTTGATCCAGAGTCAGGTTGTGACGTTGCAGGGCGCATGTGCGACGGGCCATGACAGATTGCCGCAGAGGACGAGGGCGACGACGAGGACGAGGACGACGAGGACGAGCAGGCGCCGCCGCCGCCATGGCAAGCCACTGCGCTGAGACGCGGTTGGGCCGAGGGCGCGCAGTCAGTCAGTCAGTCAGTCAGTCAGTGGTGAGAGGCTTCTTCAGAGGCAGGCTGACTTGGGCCGGGGTGCGGCGAGATGATACCTGGGGCAGCAAATGAAAAGGCCGGGCGCAGGGAGCCAGGCCGTGATCTGAGGGACACGAAACACGCTGCGTCGTCGTCGTCGGCCAGTCAAGCGGCACGACTCGTGTGTGCTCTGCGGCGCTGACGGCTACTCGGATCGTCGTGTATCGCGACAAAGCGAGGCAGGTTTGATGCGCGTCGCCGCGTGACCGGCTGGTGTGCAGGCGCGCAGACGGGCAGACGGGCAGGCGGGCAGGCGGGCGGGCAGGCAGGCAGGCAGGCAGGCGGTGCTTCAGTCATCGCCAACAGTCAGAGGGCGATACACCGCCATTCTTTTTTTTTTTTTTTTTTTGCGTGGTGCTGCAGCCGCCGCGAGCCAATGCCCGCAATGCCATGGCCGTCATCAGCAGCATGGCCATCATCATCATCACCACCACGAGACCAGCATCGCCAGCATCGCCAGCATCACCACCTCCACTCGACTCCACCGCGACGACGACCAGCGCCGCCGCCGCCGCCTCCGCCGCCTCCGCCGCCTCCGCCGCCTCGTCGTCGTGGTTGACTCCACCACCATGTGCGTACGTACATGCGACTACCACGACGACGACGACGACGACGCACGACGCTCCCCACTCGACGCCCCCCTGCCCTGCTCTCTGCCCTGCTCTGCCCTGGCCTGCCCTGGCCGGCCTGGCGCCAGCGACTGACCCATGGCCCACGCCTGTGCTGAGGAGCAGCAGCCCAAAGCCGGACGTGGTCTGAGCTGGGCTTCTCGAAATTCTTTCGGCGACTCTGCTGACTCGCCGGCTGTCAAAAAGTTTGGCCGCGCCGGGCAGGCCCCTCTGCCCCTCTGCGCCGCTGCTGCCCCTGAGGCTGGCTGGGCAGCGCGAAAATTAGCAGCGCACCATGTGCTTGGCCGGCACGCGGTCCCATTTGTCGGCCGGGGGCGCGGACAGCGTACCGGCGTCCGTTTACGGCATGTGAACGGCCAGCTGCGGCGCCGGCATGTCGTTCCCAGTGCGACAGGGGGGCAAACCCCCTGGCCGCCGCCTCGACTCGGGCTGCAGGCTGTCTGTGGCATCTGGTAAAAGCATGCGCGCGCCCCTCTAGCGCCGACGACTTGGGTCCCGGGGAGTCGGGCTGCTCTGTTGATCCTGTTCCTCTTACGAGCCACGTCCAACGCTCTTGCAACTCTCCCTGGTCCGCCTTACTCGCTTGCTTCTAGCTCGTCCAAGGTCGTGGATTCCGCCCAACCCGAACCACCTTGCACCAAGAGCCCGCCCGCGCAGACAGCGACGCTGCTGCTGCCACCGCTGCTGCTGCTGCCGCTGCTGCTGCTGCTTCCCCAGCCCCAGCCAGCCCTGGCCCACCACCCCTTCAGGGGTCGCCCGTCAGTCACTCAGTCACTCAGTCACTCAGTCGCTCGTCGCCAGCCAGTCGCCCGCCGTCGCCTTTGCATGCTCGCACAGTCACAGTGCTCGTCTGGTGACATGGACGCGCTCGCAAACAAACGCGCTGCTAGCACCTGGTTTGTGCCAGCACGCCCGCCCGCCCCTCAGCCCTTCGGTCGCTTATCGTCCTGGATGGGGGTTGTGTCGTGGTAACTATGCCATCACGGATCCGCTACTCATTTTACATTTGCTGGTCCCTCCGCTGTCCCTATCCGCCCACCCTACGTATCCATACCCACTGCCATCACCGCTTCTTCTCCGTTTCTTCCCCGCCGCCACCATCCTTGCTCCCTCCCAGCCGGCTATCCGTTTTCAGGACGCCACTTAAATCTTGCTGCTCCTTATATACCCTGTGACGCTCGCGTCCTTTGCAAACCGCCCTTCTAAACCCTGGAGGTACTAATCTGTCCCAAACCTCCGCCCATGTTTTATTAGTCTCGACCAACCCTCACTTGACAATACATACACACACACACACCCACCCACCCACCCTCCACCCACTCACCCGCCCACTCACATCCACGCACCGTCTACCGTCCTGTTTCTTTTATTCTCACCACCACCATCACCAGGGCCCCATACTTGTAACGACAACTACACCAACAACACCAACACCAACCACGACGACGACGACGACAATACTATTACAACCAGACCTCATCGACCGATTGGTACATCGACGGATATAGACACACTCACTCACGCACAACGACGACGACAACCACGACGACAACCACGACGGACGACAATGGCTCGGTATGGCGTGCCCGCTGCCATGGGTAGCAACAAAACGCCCTTTCCTACTCGACAGATGGCGGTACTTGGTGAGGCTCACCTGCACACTCTCCTTTCCGGCGGGCGTGGCCCATTGCGCGTGACGTCTCACTAACTCGTCTTCTTGCCCAGCGCTGTGCCGGATATGCGAACCCATCGCCTTCATGTCAATATTCCCCTATGCCTACTTCATGGTCGAGTCGTTCATGAGCGGGCAGAGCGCAACGCAAATCTCCATGTACACGGGCATGGTCACGTCGTCGTTTGCCTTTATGGAGTGCATCAGCGGCATCTTCTGGGGCCGGCTCAGCGACCGGGTCGGGCGGAAGAAGGTGCTGCTCGGGGGCCTCTTTGGCACGGGGCTAAGCATGCTTCTTTTCGGCTTCTCGCAGAGCCTGCCAATGGCTCTGATTGCGCGGGCGCTCGGGGGATTGCTGAACGGGTGAGGTCATAGTGCCGTCTAGCGCCATGGGGGCCCTCGCTAACCGAATATGCAGGAACATTAGCGTCCTCCAGACAACAGTCGCAGAGCTGATCACGGATGAGCGACACCAGCGTGGGTTTGGCCCAACTCTAATGGCGCCCGCCGATCAACGACTGACTTTTGCATAGCGCGCGCTTATTCCATCATGCCCTTTGTGTGGTGCCTTGGGTAAGCCCTGCCCACGCGTAGCTTGATTCGTCTCTCGGCTGACCGCTTCTTTGTAGCACCATCATTGGCGGAGCGCTTGGCGGCCTCCTCGCGCGCCCTGCCGACGTAATGCCCTTTTTCAGGCACACCCTTTTCGACACGTACCCGTTTCTTCTCCCAAACCTTGTTTGCACGGCTTTTGTTGTTCTCGGCCTCACGGTCGGCGTCTTGTTCCTCGAGGAGACGCACGAGGATCGCAAGTACGACCAGGATCGCGGCCGCGAGGTGGGGCAATGGCTGCTTCGCAAACTTTGGAAGCGAGACGCAGAGCAAACCTTTGACGACAAGCATGCCGCCCTCGACGAAATGACATGCATGCTCAACAACCACGACCACCACACTGCCCACGCATACCGCAGCACCGACAGCTCGCCCACGCTGTGCAGCACCCGCACCTCCATTTCCGAGCTGCCCGACTTTTCCCTCGACAAGGACCTGGCCCCCGCCCCGACGTTCCGCCAAGCCCTTTCCAAGCAGGTGTGCATGAATGTCGTCTGCTACGGCATCCTTGCCTTTCACACCATCTCGCTCGAGCAGCTGCTGCCCATTCTCATGTCCAAGAAGCTGCCCTCTGCCGCCGCCCAGCACCTCCCCTTCCGCTTCGAGGGCGGCTTTGGCTGGTCGACGCAGACGACGGGCGCTTTCCTCGCCGCCCAGGGCTTTTTGCAGATGTTTGCCCAGGTCATTGTCTTTCCCTGGCTCAGCAAGAAGCTCGGCAGCCTCCGCACCTTTTGGATTACTCTGACCTGCTACCCCATTGTCTATCTCCTCGCTCCCTACCTCGTCATTCTCCCGGAAAGCCTTCGTATCCCCGGACTCATGCTTCTCCTCGTCGCAAAGGTCACGTTCCAGTCGCTCTCGTATCCCTCTCTGGCCATTATCCTGGCAAACTCTTCGCCCTCGAAGAAGGTGCTTGGAACCCTCAACGGCATCGCCATGTCTTCTGCCAGTGTTGCTCGAGGCTTCGGCCCCACGGTATCCGGTGCCGTCGACAGCCTGGGCACCTCGCTGCACATGTCCGGCCTCGCATGGTGGGCCATTGCCGCTGTTGCCCTTGTCGGTTGGCTCCCCGGATTCGCGCTGCACGAGGGCAACAAGCGAACACACTTTAGCCCCCAGGAAGACGAGGAGGCCCTTTTGGACACGGATTCCGACGCTGACTCCATCATGACGCTGACTCCGGACGATGCCGTAGAGACGGTCCTCTCCAAATAGAAGGAAAAAGTTCACGACCAAAAGCAACACGGCGCATTAACTTTCCTTGGATATACCGCACCCGCCACGAACCTAATGTTCACGCGCTGGCAGCGACAAGATTTTTTTTCCACTTCTTCTCTTCTTCTTCTTCTTCCTCTTCTTCTTCTTCTTCTTCTTCTTCTTTTTCTTTTTCTTCTTTTTCTTCGGCTTCTTTTTCACACTCGATTTTTTTCTCTCTCTCTCTCTCTTTCTTCTCGGGATAATAGACGTTTAACTGGTGGAATGACGAGGATTCCAACACTTTTCATTGGGCGCATCATCATATGGGAGCGACTTTAGCGACATCACTTATTGGGCGGCACTTTTTTTTTGGAATCAGTATTACTTAGAAAGGAAAAAGCTCGATTGTAACCGGCGCCAGCGATGGTCGTCCTCGAGCAGGCGTTTGTTTCAAGAACATAATACCCCGGTAGTAGTATTTAGTTTTTGTGTATTTTTTTTTTGCTTGTTGCATTGTATGTATGTTAGAATAGCTTGCTCAAGCAGAGTTGACGACTTGAAATGAAATTTCTGGTCAAACACAGCAGCAGACTTTTCTTCTTCTTTTTTTCCTTTTCCCTGTCCTTCTTTTTTGCTTCTTTTGTGATTTGCTTTTCCCAAACGCATGCATGGCGCATGAAGCTGTCGGAGGGTGACAGATGGGATGACTCGGAAAAAGAGAGGCAGCGGTGAGACTGAAGCCAAAGCTGTGTGTGTGTGTGTGTCTCCACCAGAGAGAGGCACATACATGTGTCGTGTAGACGAAACAGGCCTAATGGGCTAGACAGGCGCCGCGCCATGTGGTACTTTGTCCTCGCAGCCCCCCCCCTCCCCCCTCTGCAATGTTACAAATGCTTCCTTTTTGCTTCGACGAGGTGCTTCAAACGGTGTGCTTTATGCACAGGGTTTTTTTGTCTCCAGGGTCTCGAGTCAGTGACCGCCCCCCATGGCCAGACACGGACAAAGACCCTGGCCTATTAATCTGGGTCGACTATAGTATCTATGTATGTACAGTAATCCACGACATGGTTGAGCGTCCATGGGTTGCGCGCGCGCACCGTTGCGGTGAAACGAATTACCCTTTTCTGCTCGAGGCGACGGGGTTCCTTGCGGCGGGGGAAACCGGGGCCGCCCAAGTCCAAGTGCAGGTCCAAGGGCGTAAGTATAGCTAAGTAGCGTATACATGGCTATCCACACCGACGCCATATCCATGATGGCCATGCGAAACACGGGCATTCCCATCCCACGACAATCCATCCATCCACCCATCCATCCATCCATCTGCCCACGTGACTGGCCTTTTTTGGTGCACCGTCAAGCAGCAAGCTCAAGCTCCCACACGCTGTCCCGCGCCGCCTATCTTCCGCTGCAGAGATAAGACCCGCGCGCGGCCTGCTGCTGGCCATCCACGAGCGACGCACGGCACGAGTTTGCTTGGGCGCCGCGCAATCGCATCCCACATGGATATCTGGGTCGCCCGTTGCGGTCGTAGTCGTGGTGGTGGTGGTGGTGTTGTGTGCCTTGGTGTAGGCTGCTGAGCGGTGCGGGGCAAAGCACGAGAGCCTGCCCGCCGCCCCGTCGTCTTTGCAGTGAGCTCGGGAATACGCCGCCCCAAAGCTCCAACTAGCCGGAACCCCGACATTTCCTTGCCATGCGCCCTGATGAGCGGCCTCAAGCGCTCTTTGGAGGAGTCGTCGCATGACGGGGACAGGCCCTCGCCCTCTGGCTCTCCTGCATCCGCTACGACGGTCAAGCCCGCCTCGCCCGCCGCGCCCGCCTCGTCGAGCTCCTTTCGCAATGTGAGCGCCTGCAACCGCTGCAGGCTGCGCAAAAACAGATGCGACCAACGCCTGCCCTCGTGCGCCTCATGCGACAAGGCCGGCGTCAAGTGCGTGGGCTACGACCCCATCACCAAGCGGGAGATTCCGCGCAGGTATGAGAGAAGTCGAGAGCGCGAGCTGTCGAGAGCGCCCGCCTCGGCTCACTGCTGACGCATGCGGCAGCTATGTCTACTACCTCGAAACCCGCGTCGCATACCTCGAGCGCCTCCTGCGAGACAATGCCATCGACTTCCACGAGGCCGACGACTCCAATCCAGCCTATACCTTCAACGACGCTGTCCCACCCACTTCCACCTCGGCTGCGCCGCCCTCCCGCAATGGCAGCAGCACCACCGCCGATAACAACCACAACAACACCACCTCCACCCCCACCTCCACCCCGAAGCAGACGGCCGCCCAGGTCAAAGAAGAGAGCGAGAGGTATGACCGCGAGAAGCTTACAAAGCTCGTGTCCAACATTGGCATGGTCTCGGTGCAGGGTGCCAGTGATCCGAGGTACCTGGGCTCAACCTCTGGCATATCCTTTGCAAGAGTAGTGTTTGCTGCGGTCAAGAGCTCCGTGTCCGGCTCGTCGTCTGAGCGCGGGAGCAACCGGGGAGGCAGGGCGCAGAGCAGCGTCGTCGACAGCGGTACCTCGATGCGCGACTCGTTCTTTGGACTGCAGACCAAGCCGACCATACGGCAGGCGCCCTTCCCTGACCGAGAGCTCGGCTCACGACTTGTTGAGCTGTACTTTGAGCACGCGAACCCACAAATACCCATCCTGCATCGGGGAGAGTTTATGCAGCTGTTTGAGCGTGTGTACGCTTCGGGGGAGCGGCACCGTACCTCGCGTGAATCGTACATGCTCAACATTGTCTTCGCCATAGGCGCCGGCATCATACTTGGCAGCTCCGACTCAGAGGGCTCCCCGACATCGGATCATGGCCGATCACCAAACAAATCACGCCTGTCTCCACCGAGCAGCAAGAAGCGGCGACTTGCAGGCCACCAGCACCAACCCGAGGAGTACCATGCATCCGCCATTGTCCATCTGGAAAACTTTCTAGGCTCGTCCCCTGCTGCGGACCGGCCCGACGGCTTCGGCGGCGGTCTCGAGGAACTGCAAGCTGTGCTACTCCTCGCGGGCTTTGCGCTACTCAGGCCCGTGGCCCCGGGCCTGTGGTATATTGTGGGCGTTGCCGTCCGCCTCGCAGTGGATCTCGGGTTGCATTACGAGGATGGAGTGGGTATTGACGGAGCGGGCGCGGAAGACCAAACTGTTGGGAACACGCCACTCAAGTCCAAGGGTAACGGCAACAGCACGGCTACCAGCAGTACCAACTCGTCAAAAATAGATGCCAAAGAAAGAGGCCGGAGACAGTGGGTCAGAGACTTGCGGCGGCGATTGTGGTGGTGTGTCTATTCCCTAGACAGGCTTGTGAGCACATGTGTCGGGAGACCGTTTGTAAGACCGCCTTTTGCAACCAAGTCTTCCAGAGCTAACACCTGGATAGGGCATCACAGATCAGATTGTGACTACAGAATTTCCCTCGTTGCTCGATGACCGTTTCATTACCAAGGAGGGATTTCTGAAACCGCAGCCACACCAGGAAAAGCCAACCTACAAGATTGTAGCTCACCATTACTTCCGCCTGAGACTACTGCAGTCGGAAATCTTACAAGTCCTGCAGCACAGACAGGCACAGCAGGCAAGAGCAAGTGGTGCAAACCAAGGAAACGAGTTTATGCACACCAAGCTCCCATCCCCGTTCCTGGCAAACTTTGAGTCGTTCCGCGCCTGGCGTGTGGATGTCGATAGGCGCTTGCTCGCATGGAAGGAATCTGCGCCAACGCAGCTTGACGCTGGCGTACAGTTTTCTCCACTGTTTTTGGAACTCAACTACTGGCAAGCGCTGATTATGCTGTACCGGCAGAGCCTGGTGGTTCCATCAGGTCTGCAGGACGAACTTGGCAATACGGGCGAAGACATGGGGAGTCCTTCGATGAGCAACCTTGAGGAACGCGAAGACGAGGACTTGGTCTTTCTCAAGGTGGCGGAAGCCGGCCAGAAAGTCCTCAAGCTCTACCGCCAGCTGCATCGTGTGCACCTGGTGAATTACACATTCCTCGCTACTCATCACCTCTTCATGGCTGGTAAGTGCGCCTAGTCTGAAGGCTTGTAGTATCCTGACGCGTCATAGGCATATCTTTTCTGTATGCGGTGTGGCACAGCGTGCATGTACGGAGCTTATTGGTAGGTTGAGATTATCCGATTGTGGAGTCAAAGACGACGTGTTTGTGTAACCTTCCCTGCTGACCATGGCAGTCTCTTGACGATGTCGACTTTACCGTGCTTGCCGCAACATCCGTGCTGGGTGACCTGATCGACAAATGTCCGCCTGCGGAAGCATGCCGCGATGCATTCGATCGGATGAGTAAAGCAACCATTCAGATGTGCATGTCAACGACAGGCTTTGGATCCCAGGCACTGCGTTCTCTCCCGCAGAATCAAAAGTATCATGCACAAACCTCACCAAGCACCGCACATGCGTCTGCAGACGCTGACAAGAAAGCGGATATTGAGATGCAAGGCTATAGTTCAGGGGACGCGGCAAACTTTTCCAGCCATCAGCACCAGCAGCAGCAACGGCAAAGACGCCCGATGCCACGCTTCGACATGAATCTCAAGGATCTCTTCTCCGAGGATGAGACAGACAAGCGGTCTTTTAGCCGCATCAGCAATCAAGTCAACGCCATGAGGCCCCCACCGGCACCCTTGAAACCCAGCCCACAGCTGCAGCAGCCTTTTACAGCCGACCTGAAAATCTCGCCCCAGTTCCGATCGCACCAGCAAACCAACTTCTTCACCGCAAGCCCGGAAATGACTAGCCCGAACCAGCAACCCAACTTTACAGCGTCACCACCAACCAACTCGTCCATGGCCTCTCCATACCAGGTATCAAATCAACTCCCCTACAACGCCTTTACACAAAACATCAATTCCGTCTACCCGGACCTAGGCTTCTCGGATCTAGACTTTCTAGATAGCTTCCCCATCCAAGGCAGTGCCGGCACCGCAAACGACGCTGCTGCCGCTGGCGCAATGCAGGATGTCGGCATCGGCTTTGGAATGGGGTTTGGAGACGGGACGCACGACTGGAGTGATGGAAATGGGTTGGATCTTTTTGATGGGTTTTTCTTTGGTGAGTCTTGTCTCGTTATTTTTTTCTTGAAACCTTGCATCTCTCTTTCTCTCTTTCTCTCTTTTTCTTCTTTTTCTTTTCCCCATCGTATCTACGCAGAGAGCAAAAATACTTCACACCCGTTTGAATCCTCCTTGGCTAACTTTAATAGGGCCCGGTGGCACAGGAGGAACGGGTATGTAGTTGTTTGACATATCCTATCACATATGAAATCAATGAGGCAAAAAGTAGATACATCGTGGAATTTAATGATATCGATTACATTAATTACTTTTCCCCCCTATGAGTACATATCCTTTGTTTCTCCTCGCACTTCATCCCCTTACCTGCCTCTCCCCCCCCCTAATCTGTTTTTCGCGCTTCAAGCTATTTGATAGTATTACTATGTGACTTGAGTTTAGGAAATGACGGTGCTAGCTTGTTCTTTTTGTTGTTGTTGTTGTTGTTGTTGTTGTTGTTGTTGTTGTTGTTGTTGTTGTTGTTTTCGTTGTGGATAATTAACTCGTATCTATCTATGGAACTATCTATGGAACTATGGAACTATCTATCTATCTATCTATCCATCTATCGAACTAACTAACTAATTATTAATTAACATTCCCCCCATACACACACACACACACACGCGCGCGCGCGCTATGTACTTTCCACTCGGCGCGGAATGTGCAAGGGGCCGTTTGAGTTTTTGAGAATCAAAAATCAAAAATCAGAATCAGAATCAGAATCAAAAATCAGAATCAGAATCAGAATCAGAATCATAATGAAAATGAGAATGAAAATGAGAATGAGAATCATAATGATAATGAGATGCTGAGAGTGCAGAGTGAGATGCGGAGAGTGCAGAGAGTGCAGAGTGCATGGCAGCGGAGAGCGCCGGACTCCGATTTCGCATCATGAGCTGATAATAATAGTAATAATAATAATCACATCTTGGCTTGAGCTGGAGCTGGAGCTGGAGCTTGCACCTGTGTCTATGCTCAAGTTTGTGCTTGGGCTTGGGCATGGATTTGTTTTTACATGGATTGTTTGTATCAACTTCATGGTGGAATGTTGGTTTCTTGGTTTGAGGCTACAAGGACGGCTCCGCTCTGTTAGGTTAGGTTTTGGATATGGTATGTATGTAGCAAGGGCTATTTGCTGGTATTTTTTTATATATAGTCATGGTGAGAGTATACATGTATCAAGGGCAATCTATTCACGGTTTCCGTATTTTCTGACGACACAGCGAGCTATGCATATCGACATGGCGGTAGAGCGTCAAGTTTAAATCACCTCTCTAAAGAGCAAATTCAATGAGCACTGCAATCAACAACTCACAGTACCACATCAATCATCATCATCATCATCATCATCACACCAAATCAACACCAAATTCAGGATGGAATAAACTTTTGAATTCCTTCTTCAGCTGACACGCAAAAGACTTGTCTAGACTAACCAGAGCATGTGGCTCGGCCTGCCCTCCATCCTCTTTCAGAAGTGGGCGACCACTGATCGTAATCTTCGTGGTATCGTTTTGAAGCTAACCGGTACTCCACCCAATGAACAAAAGCACAACAGCTTAGTTCATCTGCCTGACGAGAGCGTTGATGAACTCCTCACGGTTACCAAGGTCACCACCCTCGATGAAGTGCCTGAACTTGCGGGTGCGGAAACCACCAGTGGGCGAGGAGAGCTTGAAGGGCCAGAGGAAGTTGGAGACGGCCTTGAAGTTGGGGCCGACAGTGTAGATCTCGTGGATAACGTCCTCGATGCAGGTGATGCCGTACTTGCCGAGGTTCTCCTCGATGAGAGCGTTGTCGGTGATAGGCAGGCGCTGCTTGCTGACCTTTCCGTAACCGCGCTTGTAGACGAGCTCACGCACAGTCTTGAGGTTGGGGTATCCGTAGGTGACGAAAGGCTCGACAATCTTCAGCATCTCAGAGGTGGCCTTGGTGAGCTTGACGAAGACACCGTTGTTGATCTGGAGGAGACGGAGAAGCTGGAGAGTCTTGCGCTTCTTGGGGTCGATCTTGTTGATACTAGGCTGGGTTAGCATGCGCCGAGCTATGCTGGCAGAATTTTACGAACCCCTTGATACGGACAACAAAGGCAAGCTTGGCCTCAGCAGGGACGTAGAAAGAGTTGTCGCGCTTCGCGGCCCTCTTGGCCTCGATGATGTCCCTCTCGGCCTTGACGTACTCCTGGTTGTACTTGGCGGCCCTCTCCTTGATGACCTCGCGCTTCTGCTTGTTGGCCTAAGGAAGTCTTAGCCAACTGCGATACTCCTATCTGCTTGCGCAGGTTCTGGGAGATTTTATACCTCACGCTTCTTCTTCAGATCCGCAGCCTGGGACTCGGTCGCCTTCTGGTGAGCCTTTTGCTTCTTGAGCGCCGACTCGGGCATGGCGATGTCATTGTGGGAGGGAACGCTGTAAAAACCCACAATTAGTATGTGGAAAACGCTGTCGCGATATAAGACTTACGAGGTGCGGGCCATTTTGCTGGTGGTTAGTGGGCTGGCTTGTTGTTGTCGGGAAGCTGGAAGGGCAAAGTTCGGTGGGCAAACTCGAAATTCATGTGCGGACGCTAGTGCCCTCGCCAAGACAACGAGCAGCGCTAATGCCCCGCTCCATTGGTCCACTTCTCGCCGCCATCGACATTTTCCTGAGAGCTTCCAACTTGCGACAATTGCTGCAAGGTCGCCGAGCTCAGGCAGTACATATTTCAATATACAGCAATGGGACGAGGAGGAGGTCGCGTACGTATCTGCATCATGCGCCACGCAGAGAACATGACTAAATCTACCTAGGGCGGCGGTCGCAAACCGTTTCGCGGCAAGAATAAAGGTGGACGTGGTGGCGGTGGAGGAGGAGGACGAGATACGCGCACGGAGCCATGGTCCACGATTGAGCGCAAGAATGAGCTTTTCGAAAGCTACTACCGCATGGGAGGATTTCTCGACGAGGCAGAGTTTGAGGAAATGTGGAAAGCTCTCCAAGCCGACTTGCCCAACAGCTTTCGCTTTACTGGAACAAAGTCCGATGCTCTCGCTGTGCGTGAGATCTTCAAGCAGCGATACGTTCCCGCGATTGCGTCCAAGCATTTTGAGGGAAAGCCAGTCGAGCCTCCCGAGCCAGTCCAGGCCTTCCCTGACGAGCTCGTGTGGCACATGAAGACTCACAAAAAGATTATCCGACGACACGCGCCTTTTGCCGATTTCCAAAAGTTCCTCGTCGCTGAAGCTGCCTCGGGAAATATCAGTAGGCAGGAGGTTGTCAGTATGATTCCACCACACTTTCTCGACGTAAAGCCGGGCATGGTGGTCCTCGACATGTGCGCAGCACCGGGAAGCAAGTCGGCACAGCTGGCTGAGATGATCCACGGTGACGAGGAGGAGCGTGTGCAGCGGGTAGCGAACGGCGAGTCTGTCGACCTTGGCGCAGACGGCGACTACAGCGACGACGGACGCTCGACGGGTCTGCTTATCGCGAATGATTCGGATTATAAGCGCGCCGGCATGTTGGTCCACCAGGTCAAGCGACTCAACTTTCCTAACCTTATCGTTACGCAACACGACGCCTCGATATTCCCCTCGATCGAGCTGCCCAGCGAGGGTGGCAAGAAGCAGTACCTCAAGTACGATAGGATTTTGGCTGATGTGCCCTGCTCTGGTGACGGAACAGCCCGCAAGAACCCCAATGTGTGGCAGAAGTGGACACCCAAGGATGGACTCGGTCTGCACGGCCTTCAGCTGCGCATCTTGTTCCGAGGCCTGCAGATGCTAAAGAAGGGCGGACGCATGGTATACTCGACCTGCAGTATGAATCCTGTAGAGAACGAGGCCGTTGTTGCAGCAGCTATCGAGGCTTGTGGAGGAAACTCAAAGGTCCAGCTCGTAGACTGCTCCGATCACCTGCCAAACCTCAAGCGTAAGCCAGGTCTTAACGCGTGGAAGGTCCTCGACACATCGTCCATTACTGCCGGAGGAGAGAAGACCGCCCACATGTTCACCAACTGGGAGGCGTACCAAAAGGCAAGAGCCAAATACGACGCTGAAGAGCCTGAACGCCAGTTCTCCACCAAGGTCACTGCCAGCTGCTTCCCTCCTATCGCCAAGTCCGAAGAAGAGCGCATTCCCCTTGAACGCTGCATACGTGTCTACCCGCACCAGCAGGACACTGGCGGCTTCTTCATCGCCATTCTCGAGAAACTCGATGATATTAAGATTTCGCAGATTCAGAATCCAGAAAACTCTGCCAAGGCCCAGAAGGCCCAGACGCCGGCCGATACCACCACGGACTCTTCTATCCCAACGCCGGCTGAAAATATCATTGAAGCGGACGCTACCAAGACCGCCGATGATGTCCCTGACGTTGCAGCTCCTCTCAAACGCAAGTTAGAAGAGTCTGAAGATACCGATGCACCAAAGAAGGCCAAGACCGACGATGGACTCCCCGAGGCTACAGAGAACGGCTCAAACGCTCAATCCGGAGTGTCCAAAGAGGTCCGTTCCAAGCCTGAGAACCAGAACCAGGCCAAGGAGTACTTTGAATACCTTCTTTCTGATGACGCGACCATTGCTTCCATCATGGATTTCTTCGGCATCGACAGCCGCTTCCCACGTGACCGTTTTATGGTCAAGAACAAGGAAGGATTGTCCCTCAACAAGATTTACTACACATCTGCTTTCGCAAAAACCATCATTTCGCAAAACAAGGACCGCGGCATGAAGTTCATACATTGTGGTGTGGTCATGTTCGTCTCACATAAGGTCAAGGACCTGGACCGTACACAAGCGCCGTGGCGGCTGCAGAACGAGGGCATCCGTATCCTCGAGCCGTGGGCCAAGAAGCGCATCATCAAGCTGGAGAAGAAGGAGACGCTACACCAGCTTATTAGGGAAATGTTTCCCAAGCTACCAAAAGAGGGCGACACGGGACTTGGCGAAGTCGGTGAGCAGCTTCAGAAGATGGATGTGGGATGCTGTTTCGTCCGAATCGAAAAGGGTGAAGAGAAGGGCATCCCATTCCGTATGGTACTGCCTCTTTGGAGACATCCGGGTAGTGCGAACCTTATGGTTGACAAGGACGATCGCAAGGCCATGCTACTAAGGCTGTTCAACGAAAAGGATACCGAAATCATTAATCACGTCGCAGAAAAGGCCAAGGCTGCTAAAGAGGCTGAGGAGGCTGAAGACAACGACGCCAAGACCAATGGAGAGGGCGATGTGAGCGATGGCGAACAAGCCACGGAGGCCATGGTTGCCGAGGAAGAGGAGGGAAATATGAATGTCGATATGACCGAGGGCGAAGATGTCAAGATGGAAGAAGAGGCATAGCGTTCACGCCTGTTTTCAACAACATTCCAAGCCGCACATGACATTGGTTTCGTAACGGTTTCGGTTTGCATCCGGGTTGGCGTTTTTGTTTTCACCTACTTATCAAGTATGACTCTTCAACATATGCATCAAGTTTGAATGGCACCACGGAATCATGTAGTGATGTGTCGTAGTGTTTCGCAACTGTGAATTCTGTTTTAGCGACGACTGTACCCCTGGCCTATCTTGACCGGGGTTCGTGAACCTTGTCATTCTACGCGCTTTGCTGAGTTTGTACAGCTGGACGATGGCAGCAGGTTCTAGAACACTTGCACAGCCTATCTGTCAGACATCAGACGCACTTACTATACCAAGGGGTGATTCGGAAGTCTAAGGTTTGACTAGTGATACCTCCCAGTCTTGGCAGTATAGGCATCTAGTACGTACTTTCAAATGTCCAAGTATTTCACAGTTTACTCGCGCCACGTGACTGTGGGTCATCCTCCAGTCCTTAATTTGAGTTGCCCGCACTACAGTGAAACGGCGCATAACCTGATGTCTGGTAAGCTGAATCAAAATCAACGTGGCTAGTACACGATGCACGAGATCGACTGCCAGATCGAGGCACGAGCCAATAGGATATCCGGATATTCTCTCGGCCCGAGCTTAGCGCAATCTTCAGTATGAGTTCCAGAAACTTCTGCCCTCACCTCCCCTCTACATAATTCCCATTCTCAACCCCCCTCGCTGTAGCTGAGCACATGAATTTCTCGGCTCCAGGCTTCAGGCTCAACTACCAGGCTCACAGCGTGTAATTTGTAAGTCTTGCATTGTGTACTTTGCCCCCACTTTTAAATGATGAGACACAAGCTGGCACCAGTCTGAGAAGACTTGTACTCTTTGCATGCGGATCAGCTGCATAGACTTTTTAGTCGCCTACTGATAGTCGTTTTCACTGCACGCGCTTCTGGATTGATGTAGAGGCTCCGACACTGACTAGCGTGTAATAGAAAGCTTTCATACATCTCGAACGCGATGGTCCTACACAACCCCAACAACTGGCATTGGGTCAACAAGGATGTCTCAGGCTGGACGCGGGAGTACCTTGACAAGGAGCTCGTGCAAATATCAGCAGAGAAAGATGGCGTCACTGCGAAGATCGACAAGGTGGTGAGCATGGACGGAGACGTCGACGTGAGCCAGCGCAAGGGCAAGGTCATTACCATCTTCGACGTGAAACTGAAGCTGGAATATTCAGGTATGTCTTTTCTCAATTACACTCCTCTTGGGCGAGCTGACTCGGTCGGCAGGCAAGAACAAGGAGGGCGAGGAGGCCAGCGGCACTATTACCGTCCCGGAAGTCGCTCACGACACCGAGGAAGACGAGTATGTCGTATGTTCCCTTTGCTTGCACCCCGTGTCGCCTCTTCCAGGGAGATTTGATCATTTGCTGACGTTTTACGGTAGTTTGAGGTAGACGTGTACTCGGATGACAGCAGCAAACAGCCCGTAAAAGAGCTAGTGCGCTCTGATCTCGTACCGCAACTGCGAAAAGCCTTTGCCAAGCTTGCGCCAGCCGTCATGGCTGAGCACGCAAAGGACATCCAGCATGCGCCAGGCACCAACCCTAGCAGCAACTTTCCGGCTGCAAAGGTGTATTCAAGTTCGAGCGTCAACAAGTCGAGCAGCTCCAAGCCGGAAGCACCCTCTTCTCAAAAGAGCAGCTCTGGCGCAGTTGTCAACGTGACGACAATTACCGACAGCGCGGAGTTTCGGACAGATGCAGCCAATCTGTACCAGACGTTTACCGACCCTCAGCGTCTTGCCGCATTTACGCGTGCACCTCCGCAGAACTTCACGGGTGCCAAGCCTGGTGGCACATTCGAACTGTTTGGCGGAAACGTCAGCGGAGAGTTTACCGAGCTCCAAGAGCCTACACATATCGTCCAGAAATGGCGACTTGCACAATGGCCCGCGGGACACTACTCGACACTGTCGATATGGTTTGACCAGAACGACGTGGACGCGGTCACGGTCATGAGGGTGGAATGGCGCGGAGTACCAGTGGGGCAGGAAGAGCCGACCAAGACCAACTGGGATCAGTACTACGTGCGGAGTATCAAGACGACGTTTGGCTTCGGCACGGTATTGTAGGTGCCTGGGGCTCAGTTGCATGGCATTGCGGCACTGGAGTATGAGGCGTTGGAAGGAAATTACGAATGCATACGAAGTGACGGACCTGAAAGATTTGAATGATAGCTACAACGAATAGAGACAATACAAGAGCTCTGAGCAGCAAATGACGATTGACGAGCACTGTGCACGGTGTTGAGAATGGCGAGTGGTGACATTGTGGCGTATCGAGTCGGTTTAGCTGATACGAAGAGGCTTTGCAGGAACGACTGCCGTTGTCTTGCATGACATGGGCTAACTTGTACAGTACAAAGTATGGCGGCGACGCCACTGGGCAGATAAAAGCCGCAATTGTGCACGCGTGTTTTCCAAGAGACAAATGGAGGGCTGGGTATGATGCTTTTTTCTGGCCGGCCGGGTAAACCGGCGAGTGGCGCATGTAGGTACCTTCCTGAAGCGGCCTAAGATGGTGGGCGATTATAGCAAGGCGGCCATTAAGCTTAGCAAGCTTTTCACAAGCTCGCACCAAGACATGCGCCGTCGGGATCGAGTAACGTGGGGTAACGCAGTTTGGATGTTGTGTGGATTGCGCGTTGCCAAAGGTATTTTGCTCCCAACGAGCCTACGAAGGCGCAGTTTTGAGTAAAAAGAATAGGTGGCAGGCAGTCATGTCTAATATTCCAGACCCTGGATGGTATTATATGCTGAAAATAGCTAGGTAAGCGTTTGGTATTGGCGCGCAGTGTCTTTCCACTAAGCCCTAGTAATGCAGAATACATCCAGCAGCGCGGTGTAGTAGAGCCGTATCTTTGGCCGATGTCCATTACGTAGATGTTGGGCACGACACTAAGCCTCATTGCGGTCTAGCGGCCGGAGATTGCTATGAGAGTGGTGGCTCCGAGGCCCGTGTACTCCATTGCGAGTACGAGCAGATGAATGCGACGACTGAGACTATTGGGTCCTCAATTCCGGGACTAAGATAAGCCAGTTCTTAGCCAGCACAGGAAGGTCGTACTGACGATATTCTGCAGCAAGGCTAGCCAGAATGAAGACCAAACCGGGGTTTTTGTTCATTATATGTACAGGCGCTGTCGTCCGCTCCGAAGCGTACCAGCTGCGTCTTTTTTTGTTGACGGTTGTTGATCGTGGCAGAGCTTTCGCCATTGTCTGAAAGGTATGTTTTTTTCTTTCCAAGTTGGGTTCTGTTAGGGCTGACAGGGAGGTGTTACAGCTACTTCTTTAATTGAAAGCGTCGCAATGAGGAGCTCGACTAAGCTCGTTGTCGCGCCTTTGCTGGCAGCAGGCGCTCTTGGGCAATTCGTGCCTGCGCCCAAGGATCTCATAACCAAGAAGGGATATGCCGACATCAGCGTGCGGTACAAGGAGGTTCCGGCTGGTATCTGCGAGTTGAACCCCGATGTGAAGAGCTACTCGGGGTACGCAGACGTTGAGGACAACCAACATATCTTCTGGTGGTTCTTCGAGGCGCGCAACCAGGATCCCACGGATGCTCCTTTGACAGTGAGTGGACCTTATGCGCGCAACGAGGATTGTATTAACATTGTGTAGGTGTGGATCAATGGAGGCCCTGGCTCAACGTCCATGTATGGACTGTTTCAAGAACTAGGCCCATGTGGTATTGGGCCGGACATGAAGCCCTTTGACAACCCGTACTCGTGGACCAACGCTAGCAACATGCTTTTCATCGACCAGCCTACAACGACAGGATTCTCGTATTCCATACCTGTGCCAGGCTACACTGACTCGGACGGCAACCTGGTTGAGCTACCGAATGCGACGTGCCCAGAATATGCCACACAGTTCGGCTCATGCGGAACATATTCGAAGCAGGATCTTAGCCTGACGGCCAACAGCACGGCTGCTGCAGCGCCAAACATGTGGAAGACGCTGCAGGGATTTATGGGAGCCTTCCCGCAGTACGCTCGCAAGGGCTTCAACTTTGCGACGGAGAGCTATGGCGGACACTACGCGCCCATCTTCAACGCCTACATCCTCGATCAGAATGCCAAGAAGATCCCGGGAGCACACAAGATCAAGCTGGAGAATGTGCTGATTGGCAATGGGTGGTTTGACCCCATTGTCCAGTACCAGGCTTACTACAACTTCTCCGTGTATCCTGGTAACACGTACGACTACGACCCGTTCAACCAGACGTACAAGGACGAATGGTATAACAATCTGTACGGTCCTGGCAACTGCATGGACCAGGCCAAGCAGTGCAGGGAGCTTGGGACCAACGCAATATGCTCTGCGGCCGACTCGTTCTGTGCGAACAAGGTCGAGTCCATGTACGACAATGCGCTTGGACGAGATGAGTACGACGTGCGATACTTGACGCCGGACCCATTCCCATATGGATATTTCAAGGGCTATCTCAACCTGCCGAGTGTGCAGCAGGCTATCGGGGCTTACCAGAACTTCTCTACGTCGTCGAGCATAGTTTCGGCGGCGTTTGGAAATACGGGTGACGACAACCGCGAGGCGGGCACGATTGAGGCGTGCCAGAAGCTGCTTGCTGCGGGTGTTCAGCTGACCATGTACTTTGGCGATGCGTAAGTTTTGTGCTTTTTTTTGGCTTGGTTGCATGAGGGTAGAGTCTAACCATGGAACAGCGACTACAACTGCAACTGGCTGGGTGGGCAGGTGATTGCAAGCATGATCAACGCCACGGGCTTTTCACAAGCGGGCTTCACAAACATCAGCACCAGCGACGGGATTGTGCACGGCCAGGTCAAGCAGTCGGGCTTGTACTCGTTTCTGCGCATCTACGAGGCGGGCCACGAAGTGCCGTTCTATCAGCCGCTCGCGGCGCTGTCCATGTTTGAGCGCGCACTGAAACGCGTTGACATGGCAACGGGAACCAAGAAACTCAGCCATAATTACAGGACCGTGGGCACGCCCACGAGCGACTACCGCGAGGGCAATGCCACCATCCAGATGAGTGTGACGCCGGCAAATGCTACATACAACACGACGCTGAATGCACCGGACGCTACGCCGCAGTGGTCTCAGCAAGGTTTCCTGGGCAAGCGAGGCGTGGCGGGAGGACTGTGGCGGCCGAGGATGTCGAGGCGTGGAAAGCGGGCTGCTTGAGGCCAGGAGGTAGGCGGCTAGAGAGAGATGGATAGTGGTGGATAGATGAACGAATGAATGACTGAACGAATGAATGCCGAGAGACAGCTCCGTGACTGTACTGTTGAGAGCGAACAGCCAATGTCTGGTAATGCTAAGGGCGCACATGGTTGGCTGGTCCAGCAGGCGGGGCAACGTCATAAGGGTCTTTTGTGATGGGCGTGGATGAGGCATGCTTACATGTATACGGAGGTGACTGTCAAAAGTTCTTGCTGACAAGGGGTGCATTGATTACTGCCGAAAATAGGGCCGAAGCTATGTAGATCGGTCCCGCCGCCCCTCTTTGTACTCATTGCCACCTTCAAGTTTAATGATTTCTTGAATATGAAACGGAATACGCTCTATCCAAGCTTGAATTTGGTGTTGAGGTAGCTCATCCCAGTACTGTTGCCATACTTTTGTCCCTTCCGCCCGACTTTTTGGTGCGCCTCTTCGTGTTGTTTTTCTTTTGAGCCATGGCCAGGCTGCTTCAATAGCGTTGAGATCAGGTGAATTGCCTGGCCATGGGAGCTGCTCCACCTCAGCGTTTCGGTATATAGTTCTTTGAGCGTGGTGGGTATGCGAAGGTGCCTTATCTTCTTGAACAAAGACACGTGGTCTCTCTTTTTGGCACTCCTTTGCGAAGGGAATTAGCTTTGGGATAAGAACTTGAGTCTGGTAACG